CCCTGGTTTATATTTCCTATATTCAACCAGTCATGTGTCTCTCAATTGGTTTACCTATAGTTGTAAACAAATAAGTCCATAAGTGGAAGTCTAATTTAAAGTGGTAGAAAGACACACTAAAGAATACATGAACTACTATAATGTCACAAGTAGTCAGTCATGATTATACATATTTAGATGAGAACAAAAATAGTGTTTAAAGACACCAGTTAAAAAGTGCAAGTAACTAAAAAGGTTAAACAAGGTTTAGACAACAATTGTTGTATAGCATACTAGCGTACAATAAAAAGCCACATAGTCACAGAATCAGTCCCTGTATTATATGAAGGTGGATTAAATAAGGTGCCAATGCACAGTATGATGCTACCTTTGGATTTTTTGGTGTTTTCATTAGAAGTTGGCGATCAGTCAAGAGAGCCCTGGAGTAAGTCCTTTTTAAAACCCTATTTCGGTACCCCTTTTCCCTAAATGAATGTTGTAAAGTTCTAGCTTTATCCTTGAACTCATCAATGGACGAACAATTACCGCGTAACCTTAGGTATTGCCGAATTGGAATCCCGCTTTCCAAGGGGTGGGGTGATAACTGGACCAATTAAGTAGGCTTAGTTGCCGTCTTTTTTCTGAAGAGAGTGGTCTGAACCTTACCATCCCTACACAGTTGTATGGATACATCAAGGAAGCAGAGGTTAGAGCCACCTATGCCGCTAGTGAAGCGTATATTAAAGGGACTAGAGTTTAGGATCTGCACAAACTTATCCGTCGTGCCAAGCCAGACAACAAGAATTTTGTCTATATATCTTTTCCAATGTAGGACTTTGTCCATATACGGTTAAAGGTTCGGGTCAGTCCTAGTACTCTTCTCCCACCAGCCTAGATGTAGATTTGTCTAAGATGGCGCACAGGGCGTGCCCATAGCAGTTCCCGTTACTTGCTGATAGAGTTTGCCATTGAATAGAAAGATGGGCCTGAACAGCCCAAATCCTAAATACACCACTGCTGCTGGGTAGCCAGAATATGAACAGACCACCCACTCCTCTTCTCATGCCAGTAGCTCAGAGGTTTCTCAGTAGGAGGCAAATTAGGTTCAGACAGGTAAGCTCTAACCATTTCAGAGACACAATTCTCCTTGTGGCTGCTTGGTGCTTTACCTGAGCCCCATTAACCAACACCATTAAAACAAAACGTAACTGTTCCACTCTGCTGTCTTAGCAGTTATGCTGCAGGCACTCCTGCTGGTAGACAATGCAAACATGGTGTGTTTAATACGCACATCTACATCAACCAGTATGCCTCTCTTTCTGCAAATCACAGGCCTTAATATCTTCCCCTCCAGTATATCAGGCTGTTGGATCAGAATGCCACTTGGCTATTAATGTTAGGTTAACACGGCGAAGCTAGCATCTGTTTGGCATTAGCTAGGGTTGGATTAACTAGCAATAGCTAGGTTAGTGCAACGTAGGATAGTTAAGGTTAGATTTCGAGTTAGCTGGGGTTAGGATGCAGGTTAAAGCTAGTGTTTAGGGTTTTTTATAGTAATTACATCACAGAAGGTTTGGTTAAAGCATGCATGGGGATATAAATGTAGTTCAATACAATTTTAAAGGGGATTACAATATACATTAAAATTCATAATACAATACGTTCAGGGCATTTCTAATATGACCCAGTCGGGATTATTTACTAAACTGAGAATTCAGTGTAAATTCAAACTGAATTTTACATTTAAGGCCAAAGTGACTGAACTGGAAGCAGAGCTGGCTTAGAGAATTTTTCCTGGTCAGCTATTTTTACCTTGAATTTTAAATTCTTTTTGATGTCACTTTTTTATTTCTGCTTTTAATGAACAACCCTGTAGACATAGAACTGAGTATATGCTTATCTGGGCATTTTGAAATTGCAGAAAAGTGCTCTAGTTTAATGTTTTCCTATAATTTTACAAATCCTGTGTGATCCGTATATTATCTTGTGATTTTCTCTTTACAGGAGGCAGACATCACTAAAGCCTCTAATAGGATAGGAGTGGGTAACATTGCATCCTTAACCCCTTAAGGACACATGACATGTGTGACATGTCATTATTCCCTTTTATTCCAGAAGTTTGGTCCTTAAGGGGTTAAAAGTACAGGCACTCAATGAAGTAGTCTGGGTTTCAGGTCCCTGTAGTTTTTAACCCTGCAACTGAAAACATTGGCTTTCCAAGGTCACACAGAAACTGCAAAAATTATGATTGCAGGGTTAAGTGTATAGGGTCACTGCACCCAGACCACTTCAGTGAGCTGAAGTAGTCTGGATGCCTATAGTGTCCCTTTAAACTTGGTTATTTCAATCAGATGCTGCTCATAAAGACCTTTTGATTTACGCAGTGCTGTGTTTTGCCATGCATCTGCACTAGCCTTCTAATTTTGATGATCTCAGCCATGCAGGCAGGGCAGGTTTATTTGGGGGAGCAAACGCATGTACTATACAATTAGGAATATGTGTCTGTATTAATAACGCTATATAACGCTATAGTGTTTATGTGCTATACTGTACTATATCTACAATACTATAGATTTAAATTGTTTATATTTTATATTTGACAATTAATTCCCAATTCTATCCACAACATACTGATGGAATATTGGGAGCTCTATTAAATAGAAAAGAATCAATGAAGGGGAGAGTTAAATCACAATAAGTCAGATTATTTTATGGTTTTACTAGTAGTAGTGTTTCTGTGTTTCCATAATATTGCTATTTCTGCAGTTTTGCACAAAATCAATCATTTATATGTGCCATTATGCACCCCATCCCTACTCTCAGCTGATGAGAAAGTTGGATGTTGCCACTGGCCATAGAGGACCTTTGGCACGTGACGAGGATCTGAGTAAGAGGGCAAACCATTTAAAAACAGTCCTGGCATTATAACCACTAAAGTGGTCTGTAGTGATTATGGTGTTTCGCATAACCTTTAACCATTCATTGCAATTCATAGATATATTTTTACAAAACCTTTATAGATGGAACATAAAAGTTAAAGGGACATTATAGTCACCAGAACAACTACAGCTTATGGTATTTGTTCTGGCGAGTAGAATCATTACCTTCAGGCTTTTTGCTGTAAACAGTGTCTTTTCAGAGAAAATGCAGTGTTTACATTACAGCCTAGTGATAACGTCACTGGCCACTCCTCAGATGGCTGTTAGAGATCCTTCCTGGGTCCTGGCTGCCTAAAATGCATCCAAACATTCAGTGTCTCCTCCCTCTGCATGCAGACACTGAATTTTCCTCATAGAGATTAATTGATTCAATTCATCTCTATGAGGAGATGCTGATTGGCCAGGGCTGTGTTTTAATCATGCTGGCTCTGCCCCTGATCTGCCTCTTTGTCAGTCTCAGCCAATCCTATGGTTGAAGCATTGTGATTGGATCAGGCCAAAGACATATAATACCTAGACGCCGTATTAACCGCTACTTCCTATTGGTGCTAATGAGCCGCAGGGCCACCATCTTGGATCGGTCACTCACTAGAATACAGGACACAATAGACATATAGGTTTGGCGTATTTTAACTTTAACCAGACCCCATGTAATAATACAAAGCACCATCCAATACATAGACAATAACCAGATCCCATGTAATAATATAAAGTACTGTCTCAATACAGACACAATGACTAGATAACATGTAATAATATAAAGTACTGTCTTAATACAAAGTAAATCACATAATACAAGTACTGTTCCATGCATGCACATTTAAATTAAATAAATTTAATAAAACAAAGTGCTGTCCAAAGAAGATAACTTGACGATATTACATACAGTAACAGAGTGTAATATTATACTACAAATATCTCTAAATGCAGAATACTGCTATAAAGTGACGGTACACCTTACAGGATCACTGTGAGAGGAGAGATAGATAGATATATATTACACACAGCTAGGTAGGTAACCAGGACTGTCGCTGGCTGTAACACGTTAAAGAAAATGTTACGCAAATGTTAAATAAGTTTAATGGATTTTCTGTTTTAAATCCCTGCACCTACCTGGTTCCCAAGGTGCTTTGTAGAGCGGTAGCAAAATCACAAGCAAACAGGCTGCTGGCAAAGAGACGAATCTGATCTGCCGGGTACCATAGACATATGTATGTCTATGCCGGGTACAACCGGCCCAAAATGGCGCCCTCATTTCTCGCACCACAGCGGTCAATGCAGCGTCTAGGTATTATATGTCTATGGGATCAGGCTACCACTTCTGGTGATGTCAGCAGACTGCTTGTTTTTTTTGAGGCAAACAGCATGCAGATCTACATCTCCTGGCTTGAATACAGTAAGATTTTGCTATATTTATGGAGGCATGAGAGGTCCAGGGGGGCTGGATGGTGTTTTTAATGCTATAGGGTCAGGAATACATGTTTGTGTTCCTGACCCTATAGTGATCCTTTAAGCCTGTTATTATTCTCTTCTTAATGTGCTCTGGGTTTTATTCAATAAACTAGCCAAATAAATAAACCAGAAATATACAAAAAATTTTTGTAGTATTAACTTTTTTTTTGCTCTAATATTTTCAGTTCCTTTGCCTTTTCCTCACAATTCTCAGTCTAGTAAATAAACCTCAAAGCATTCATTGGATGTTCATTTTACTCTTACTATAACCATCTATATTATTATTGACAGTGAATTTAAATCCCATTAGAATCAGATGGCTAATACGTGTTCCGTGTCACCTGCTGCAGTTCTTTTGAGTTCTCAAATGACACCCTTCTATTTACCTATCCATATCATAAGCACATACATGTTAAAAAAAGCCTCCAGGCTCTAACATCCTATCATTATCTTTCTGTTAAAGCTGTCATTTATAGAAAACGCTGTTCTCCTCTTGTATCTTAGTTCTCGCAGGAGAGCACTCAACAACCACTTGATAGGACGGAGTGCATTAGCCCCTGCACATTGGTTGTTTTGGTCCAGCGTACTTTCTTTCCATAATCAGTCTTGTTTACTTTCCTGACAGAGCAAGAGGATTGCATGCTTCTTACAGACGTCAGTATTGGCAACAATTTTTTTTTTTTCGTTGTTCAAAAGTCTCTTGCTCTCTGCACTTTTGTTCGCTCCTGTCCTGATGTTCACAAACCAGTCTGCTCTTACCTGTACCGTTTGCCATCCAAAATGTTTTCGGAGCCGGAGAGAAAGGTAAAAAGATATAAATCTGAATTGTTCATATTGTGCACCTTTTTTTCGCACTACTTCCTGGTCTATAATAGGAGCAGGGTATTAGTTGAACAGTATTGTCTGTTAATGTACTGCTGTTTTTGTTTTGTTTATTTTACTGTGCCTTAAGTTTGTCTACACTTACTACACCTGGGTAAGTTGGAGTTTTTTTTAATTCTTTACTAAACCGTGAATTATGATGAACTGAAAACCGAATTCTAAGAGTAAGGCTGAAATAGTTTCTATGCAAAAATGCATTTATTTTGAAGCATTGGCTATTTTAGGATTATATATATATATTTTTTTTTATTGAGTTTTCCTGTCGCTACTTGGAAATGAAAGGTCTGAAGTTACAATTAAGGAGCCTCCAAATAAAACAGGTTAACTTTGATAAATCTCTAGGCTCTTGTTTCATGCCGGCTGAGGATCATGTGCGATGCAGTTCAAACACCTATAGAAATAAAAGAAACTGCAGCGTCAACTAACCCTCCTACTCTATGTCCTTAATAGGCACATAAAATTATACTGTACATACTGCAATGCATACGTTAGCCTTGAAGCAAGATAGTTATTTTATAAGTTATTTCCACGTCACCTGTGGCAGATGGAATCACTTCCCCAATGTCAATTTTTTGGTAAACTTTTGCTTTAATAATTACAGTTTTATATAGGATGGGTAGAATGGATTCTAACTGAATTCCCTGGCCAGTTTAATACAAAAACAATAGTTTCAGAGCTGTCGTAGTCAGTCAGGGGCTGCAAAACCAAGCCCCTGGTTTGGCAGCCACGGCTAATTTGTGGCACACGGCGTGAAGTGGTGTGCACATGCCTGTAGCCTCTGATCAGCTGACACATCTGTCAGTATAAACAGAACTATATCCTGCCAAGACTTCTGCATCTGGAAGACTGCTTTGGGCTTTTAACTTCTCCCTCTATGTTATAAACCAAGACAACAAAATCAAAACATTTCCTTTCGCAAAATAATGCCATCATAAAAGTCAACTCAACGGAAAACAAGTCAGGGAGAATGTGTCAGGCTGCTCATAAAAAGTCCAACAAATATTCAAATATTCTATATCTAAATAGATTGTGTTGCTTCATGTGCTAATACAATATTTTAGAATACTGGCATAGAGTCTTTATGGGCCAGACAGTGATAACAGAATGTAGTAGCACGGTATGAAATATTATTGGTCTTTGATGGGTTAAGAGAACATATTATAAGAGATGTAATATCGCTGCTATATATGTAGTGTTCTACTATTAATAGTTTTCACTCCCGCAAAACCTTTATTTCCTTGTAGATCTAATTTCTACTATTTTGTCTCTTGAGATGTGTTTTTGCAGTCAGTAGCAAGAAGTTCACTGGTGCTATTAATCACTCGTTAATTGAGCTGTAGTTTCTATTTATAAACACTTTTCGTTGTTTGTTTTTTTATTACAGAAGACAAGTTAATACTGAGGAAACATTCACTCAACAAGGGTTAGGGAGATCAAGTTTGTCATATTATAGCTAATTGGGTCTATATTTATAGGAAAGCAGGATTCTACATCTCTAAATCCAAAATTCCAAAACGTTCCTTTCCACGAGGTTATAAATATTTGTATTCTTATTATTTTGAAATATAAATACAATACACTCTTTCACTTAATTACCAATGTATTGTAGTGGGTACAATAAGTGGACTCAATGGAAAATGCATGTGAATTCTTTAGAAATTGGTTTACATGTTGTGAGCTTTAAAGGGACACACCAGTCCCCTAAACTGAGTTCTTTATGGATTAACTGCATTTCATCTCTGGCTTGTTTCATAGACGTGCCCATTTCAAGAGAAATCAGCACATTACAAATCTCCTGTTATGCAGACAGCTGTAAAGGTTTTTGAACTAGTTCAAATGAGAAGTGAGCACCATTTTGTTTCAATGCTTCTCTTTGAGAAGCATCTGATTAGACACATCTCATCAGTAATAATGGCTTTGCGGGAGGAGGGAATCAGAGCTGCTGTGAGAAGCAGGGTCAGACTGGGAAAACATTTTCAAGGATTTATCACCAGGGAATCTTATGGACAGAGCTCTGCTGAAGAGCTCTCACATAGGGAAAATGCCCTATTTTTGTTTTACACAGCGCATGCAAATTTAATGACACGGTTGCGCAGTGTTTACAGGTGAATTGTCTCTGGTGTCCCCATAAGAAGAATTCCAGAGGACAAAAGTAGGACAGGCCGGTACAGAGTGTTGAGCTTGTGTTGGGAGGTTGTCTGTGGGACTGCATTTGTGTAGAGACAGCTGTTTGTGGTGTAGTATGCGTAAAGGGGCATTTTTAGTGGTGTATTATGTGTTGAAAGGGCTGTAGTTTGAATTTGTGTCCACACATAACGTGTGTAAAGGGTGTGTCTATTGGTTGTAGAGATTGTGTGTGTGTGTGTGTGTGTGTGTGTGTGTGTGTCTAGAGGGTGTAGTGTATTTGTCCATGGAATGTAGTGTGTGCCTAGGGCAGTGATGGCGAACCTATGGCACGCGTGCCACAGGTGGCACGCCAGGCCCTCTCTGTCGGCACGCGGCCACAGGTTCGCCATCAATGCAGAGTAGGCACCTGCCTGCCCGAAACGGCAGGCGCCTACTCTGCTTCCGGGTCGGGAGGCAGGGGGAGGGATCTGTGATGCAGCTCCCCTGTCCTCCCGCGCGATGCTGTGTGGAGCATTGCCGCACGTTACCATGGCAACGCTCCACATAGCATTGCACGGCAGGACAGGGGAGCTGCATCACAGATCCCTCCCCCTGCAGTGCTTACCATCACCGGACCACCAGGGATGGCTGTGTGTCCCCCCCCCCCACTTCATTAAAGGTAAGAAGGAGGGAGGGGGGGTATACTGACACAGCACCCTTACCCCCCCAGCACTACCCTTACCCCCCCCAGCAGTACCCTTACCCCCCAGTACCCCCCAGCAGTACCCCCACACCCCCCAGCAGTACCCCCACCCCACCCCAGCAGTACCCTCTACTCCCCCAGCAGTACCCCCCCAGCAGTACCCCTACCCTACCCCCAGCAGTACCCCCACCCCCCAGCAGTACCCCTGCCCCCACACACACAGTACCTCTACCCCCACACAGTGTACCCCACCCTCCAGCAGCACCCCACCCCCAAGAGCACCCCTTACACATACAACACACAGCACCCCCCACACATACACAGCACCCCACACACACACACACACAGCACCCCACAACACACACACAGCACCCCCACACAAACACACACAGCACCCCCACACCCCCACACACACAGCACCCCCCACACACACACACACACAGCACACACACACACACACAACCCACACACACACACACAGCACCCCTCACATACAACACTCACACACATACGCACCCCCCCACACACACACAGCACCCCCCCACCTCAATGCAGTATGTGTGTATTCAGCAGTGTGTGTGTGTGTGTTTGTATTCAGCAGTCTGTGTGTGTGTGTGTGTGTATTCAGCAGTCTGTGTGTGTTTGCGTGTACTCAGCGGACTGTGTGTGTGTACTCAGCAGTCTGTGTGTGTGTGTACTCAGCAGTCTGTGTGTGTGTGTGTGTGTGTACTCAGCAGTCTGTGTGTTTGTATTCAGCAGACTGTGTGTATGTATTCAGCAGTCTGTGTGTGTATGTATTGCTTTTGTTGGAGATACTAATAAATATAAGCTTAATTTTATCTATTTATATCATTATTTAAAATTTGTATCATTGAACTCTCTGTGTTCTTTTAAAACTAAAGTTATTAGTTCGGACAACAGTACGAGTTGTTTTTTCTAAACTTAAACCTCAGTATTTGGGTTTAATTGCCGTGTTGGCACTTTAAGGAGAAAAAAAGTTGGCATGTATTGCGGTTTGGGCACTCGGGCTCAAAAAGGTTCGCCATCACTGGCCTAGGGGAATCTCTGCGTTAGCATAGGGCCTGTAGTATAACATGTACAAAGATTGTATGGTGCATAAATGTGTATTGGAGCCATAATGTGCATGTAAATGAATAGAGGCTGTTGTGAGTGTGTTCATTAGGAGCTCTTGTGTGGGCTGTTTGTGTATGTACAGGAGCTGAAGTGTCTGGGTATGTATAGGGGCTGTAATATGTGTGTTGTGATGCATAGGGGCTGGAGGGTGAGAAAGAAGAGCATTTAGATACGTATTTTTAAAAAAAAATATCCCCTCTTTTGTTAGCTTTGGCCCAGGGAAGCGGGGACACCCTGGTGGTCCAGTGGGCTGAGTGCTGACAGGAGCTCATGAGAGCAATGCACTTTGTCCACACCAGCCTGAAGTGTAAACCAGATACTCCCTGCACAACTCTGCCTCTGTGTGCAACGCGCCGGTGATGGAGATCTGTTATCTCCCTACTGGCCCATGAAGGGACTGATCATAGGACTTCCAGCCTTGGATTGAATGGGCAGGAATATGCTTTAAACTCTCTGGCCAGCCTTGGCACATGGCCATTGTGGCCCACCGGGCCAAAAAGGTTTACTGGAACTGGAATTACGTTAGTATAATTGATTTTTAATTGCTTTTTATACCTAAGTGAGTGGAGCTAGTAATGTACACTCCAATAAATAAAAGAAAAAAGATTATACACTGCTCATAAAAACAAAGGGAACACTTAAACAACACAATGCAACTCCAAGTCAATCACACTTCTGTGAAATCAAACTGTCCACTTAGGAAGCAACACTGAGTGACAATCAATTTCACATACTGTTGTGCAAATGGGATAGACAACAGGTGGAAATTATAGGCAATTAGCAAGACACCCCCAATAAAGGAGTGGTTCTGCAGGTGGTGACCACAGACCACTTCTCAGTTCCTATACTTCCTGGCTGATGTTTTGGTCACTTTTGAATGCTGGCGGTGCTTTCACTCTAGTGGTAGCATGAGACGGAATCTACAACCCACACAAGTGGCTCAGGTAGTGCACCTCATCCAGGATGGCACATCAATGCGAGCTGTGGCAAGAAGGTTTGCTGTGTCTGTCTGCGTAGTGTCCGGATCATGGAGGCGCTACCAGGAGACAGGCCAGTACATCAGGAGACATGGAGGAGGCCGTAGGAGGGCAACAACCCAGCAGCAGGACTGCTACCTCCGCCTTTGTGCAAGGAGGAACAGGAGGAGCACTGCCAGAGTCCTGCAAAATGACCTCCAGCAGGCCACAAATGTGCATGTGTCTGCTCAAGCAGTCAGAAACAGACTCCATGAGGGTGGTATGAGGGCCCGACGTCCACAGGTGAGGGTTGTGCTTACAGCCCAACACCGTGCAGGACGTTTGGCATTTGCCAGAGAACACCAAGATTGGCAAATTCACCACTGGCACCCTGTGCTCTTCACAGATGAAAGCAGGTTCACACTGAGCACATGTGACAGACATGACAGAGTCGGGAGACGCCGTGGAGAACGTTCTGCTGCCTGCAACATCCTCCAGCATGACTGGTTTGGCAGTGGGTCAGTAATGGTGTGGGGTGTCATTTCTTTGGGGGCCGCACAGCCCTCCATCTGCTCGCCAGAGGTAGCCTGACTGCAATTAGGTACCGAGATGAGATCCTCAGACCCCTTGTGAGACCATATGCTGGTGTGGTTGGCCCTGTGTTCCTCCTAATGCAAGACAATGCTAGACCTCATGTGGCTGGAGTGTGTCAGCAGTTCCTGCAAGACGAAGGCATTGATACTATGGACTGACCCGCCCGTTCCCCAGACCGGAATCCAATTGAGCAAATCTGGGACATCATGTCTCGCTCCATCCACCACCGTCACGTTGCACCACAGACTGTCCAGGAGTTGGCAGATGCTTTAGTCCAGGTCTGGGAGGAGATCCCCCAGGAGACCATCCGCCACCTCATCAGGAGCATGCACAGGGAGGTCATACAGGCACATGGAGGCCACACACACTACTGAGCCTCATTTTGACTTGTTTTAAGGACATTACATCAAAGTTGGATCAGCCTGTAGTGTGTTTTTCCACTTTCATTTTGAGTGTGACTCCAAATCCAGACCTCCATGGGTTGAAAAATTTGATTTCCATTGTTTTATTTTTGTGTGATTTTGTTGTCAGCACATTCAACTATGTAAAGAACAAAGTATTTCAGAAGAATATTTAATTCATTCAGATCTAGGATGTGTTATTTTTGTGTTCCCTTTATTTTTTGAGCAATGTATATATTTTGTTTTTCAATTGGAGTGTTTCTTTAAAATATGATTGCTTCTTATCCATATGACATATTTGCTGAAGTAAAATAGTATGGTTGGAACCAGCGTGTGCATCCCGCGTGCTCAGTCCTTTCAGTCCCAAGAAATGAGTAACTCAACACATCCTGGCATTATTACCTCAGTCAAGTAGCATTTGTTCCTTTCATTTCTTTATAAGTTAAATAATTAATACTGACATTTTACAGTATTACTTTGCTGAGATTCAACTGAGCCAGGAAATGCTGTCTAAATCTTAATGACAAAGTTTTATTAAACTAACTCAGACCAGAAGGACAGCAAACCTCAAATAGCAAGATAATTGCCAAACTTTTTCTAAACGGTTTGATGAACTACCATTGGCCATCAAATGAAGATTCCAGGCACCGTAACCAATACAGAGTGCTGTGGTGCTTGTGTTATCTAAAATGCCCTTTTAAAAAATATTTATAGTTTGATTAACTAATTTGACTTCCCTGATGTTGGCAGTGAGTTTTTTCTCTGTTTCATCATAAACCTTTTAGACATATCCATTTACAAAATGTGCCTTTGTACATGGTACGCATTTTGCATGTTTTCACAAATAACTGAAACCATGCTCTAAGTATACAGTACAGGCACTGAAGTTTGGTTTCCATGGCGTAAATCATTGAGAGCCGTCACCAAGTGATGACTGAGGGCCTTGGTGTCATGCATTGACGTGAGATATGGATGAGGGAGTTGCCATGGTAACTTTCCTGAACAAATATTGGACAATCTGCTTGGACTCTGTTTACCTGTCACAGGAAGTCTGAAAGGTTGAGCTTAATGTACTCTGGTAAAAATCTAAAAATAATTTCATGAACATACAAGAAATAGACAATAAACACAATAAATAATCCCAGTATATATAGGGCATTCTAATTTCAAAGAGTTCAAAGAGTGCTACTGAATATTTAAATGATATAATTCTAGTATGCATGTTAAACAATCGCCAATCTTGATACTCGAATAGCTTTATGTAGGAACCTTGTGTCTATAGATACATAGTTCCTGCAAAAAAAAAAAAAAGAGACTAATTAAACATTAAGCCATACATTACACCATAGACATGTGGGTTCCTGAAGGGCCCTCTTATGAATCTAGCATCATGTTATACCTAACCAGAGCGATTTATAGTTTCCCAGATGAAGGTGATGGGTGTGCCAGTTAATATAATACTCAGACAATAATAAAATAAACTAGCCAAGCACCATTTATACAGAGTTTTCAGTCTACAACAGTGAGGTGAGGTGAAGAGTACTATGGGACAGTCAAGTTAAGAGAATATGAAATCCACACTATAACCTCGATTTCTTAGTGCTTGTAAAAACTGGGATTAACAAATGATTTATGCTTGTATTTATTTTAAAAGATCTGTGAGACATATGAGTCTAACTCACAGTATCAGGAGGTAGTATATGTACAGTTCCAGTATAATAAAATGTCTTGGTTTTAAGACTTCAAAGTTGGGGGCATATTAGTTACTAGACTTGGAGAATCGTTTTGGTTTTAGCTTCAATTTGTTGAATTTGGGCTGATTAAGTGATTGATCAAATTCCCAAACTCTATACGAGATGGTTGAGGATTCTTGTGTTCATTCCAGATTTAAAGGAAAAAAAGATTATTGAGACAGTCACTAAATGTTGATTTTATTCACAGATTAAATGAAAAGTAAGCAATAAAGGGAAAGAATTTGAAGCAGTAAAAAATAATCTATATTTAGATGTTTATATATCATATGTGTAATAAAAATATAATATATATCATTGAAAAAAAAAATTATACTGCTCCTACTATTTTTCTTGACCATTGTAAACCAAGTGGCAGAAAATGCTGCTATCAGTGTACTGAAAAATATATACATAGAATTTGTGTGACCTTTTAATTTCTCTGATTTGATTCCCGCATCAGTTTTTCAGTACTGAAATTCTGCCGAACCGACATATAGGCAAAATTCGGAAGTCACAAAAAATGTAACATTTTCAGGAAAAACGGTTCAGGCAATCTGAATTTACTCGTTGTACACAAATCTTTGAGAAACACCAAATAATGTTCATCAATGGAAAACTGAGAATCCGCCATCTCAGGGTTGGAACCAGTTGCTAAATTCTTCCCATTGAGAGTAATAAGAGCTGTTAGTGATTGTCTTTTATTTAGTGGCTGCCGTTAACTTCCTGTCAATGCTTGGGAAATGTACAAAATAAAGATGAAGGAATAGCGCACACACAAAAATACGTTTTAAATTGTACAATGCTACTTATAATTCACCTATCTCAGCAAATAAATAAGGGGATTCAGTTCCACCATATGGCCATATTGTGTTAGTCCTCCACTACGTCACAGTACCCCAATATCGTTGGCTCCTAACCTAATTTTGACATGTTGAGACAAACGACTACTTAAATAGTGACAGTACTAAATTAATATAAATTATATTAAAGTGCATTGAATTAATCCTTAACAATACCTATTTGATATAGAGCAGATTTATCACAATGCACTGTTACTGTATAATTATAAGTTCTGTCACTTAGGGTTAGGGCTTGTAGTGTGGGGCTATGGGGCTGTAGTAGAGGGATGCTAGTTGTAAATGGGGCTTAAAGCCTGTAGTGTGGGGAGGGGGTGGAGAGGTGCTGTCATGTGGGTTAGAGGCACTAGTGGGGTGCTATGAGCTGTAGTAGGGGTTATGGTGTGTTATGATGGCGTGTAGTGGGTGATTGTGGGGTGTAGTGGGGGTTAAAAGCCAGAATGGATTGCTTAGCACCTGAAATGGTTGTTAGGGGATGTAGTGTGGATAGTAAGGGGCAGTAGTGGGCTTAAAGAGCTGTAGTGGGGGATAGTGGCTGTAGTGGGGTATAAGGGCAGTATTAGAGGATGGGCAGTAGTGGGGTTTAAATAGCTGCATTAAGTATAGAGATTGTAGTGGGATGTAAGAGCAATAGTGCGAGGTTAGGAGCTGTAGTGGGGGATATGGGGTAGAAGTGTAGGGTTAGATGCTGTAGTGGGGAATAGTCAGTCTCACTCCCCAGCGCCAGTGCTTATTACAGGGAGAGGAGACAATCGGTCTCTCTCCTTAGCCGCAGTATCTCTCTCCCCAGCAGCAGATTGTGTTCCAGGGAGGGGAGACAGTCAGTCTCATTTTCCAGAGGCAGCAGCTTTCCTTCCCAGCAGAACCCTGGATTTACAAAAGGGAGCTTGTGGCACGAGGCCCTCTGGACAACTGAACCTTTTGAGAAAGGTCACCAGACTAACACAGGGTTTGGTTAGTCTCCCCAGGAGGGGCAAGATATGTGACAAACACTCTTTTCCATCAATGCTTGCCACAAACTACTAGAGGATTGTGGAAGCTGGCCTCCTGCCCATCGACTATAGTCCAGGTCTGAGACCCCATTCGAGAGTTACCCTGCCCAGCAGCCATTAGCAACTTTCCCTCGGTGCCCCTGTTTCAGCACTTTTCCTTCTTACGAATGAAACCAAATGCTAGCTCCCTGGTGGCAGTTGGCATGAACAAACCAACGAAGGGTCCTCATCGGTACTTAGCCGAGAACGCTATGGAACTAATTTCAGCACGAGGACTTTGTGGTTCCCGGTCACCTCGAGCGGTACTTAGCCGCAAATGTTATGGAACTATTTTTGGCTAGGTGACCTTGCGGTTTTCTGGGCAATTTGGTCCAGGGTTTTGAACTACTTTGCAACCCACCAGGAGAGCACTTTTTGAAAGGAAGGTGCCTGAGACTAAAGGGAACAAACGCTCCCTGAGAGCCAGGCGGAGCACCCCATATTTCGGACGCAGGATGTAGGACATGTGGGGTTATTATACGTTTTTATGATGTTTTGGGGTCATTTTATGTTTTTGTGTTTTTGTTTGGCTCTCTGCACCTTGGAGATAATTTGCTTATCGGTCATTAACTCAATTATCTCCCAGGCCCAGAGATTAATGGGAGGGGCTTGTATTGTATTGTTTGGAGACCTCCTGCTGTACATAAAAGACCAAGATTGGCTCATTAAAATCAGTTTTACTCCCAGAACAATGTGTCGTCTAGTTACTGGGAGGGGAAAGAGCTATTCACTATCCTGTTCCAGCTCATGGAAAATTCACCGGGAAAAGTCCTTGTAAGGACTATTGCTCCCAGGACTGTGTGTTGTCCAGTCACTGGGAGGAAATAGAGCTAGTCCCCTATCCTGTTCCAGGACGGAGAGGCTCCTGTCAAACCATGGTGACAGGGGCAGAAGCGATGAGGTTTTAGCAAGAAAGCGATCCTTGGCAGAGGTTCCCATCCAGGGTACAGGGAGCTCCACTACAGAGTATAAGTGCAGTATTAGTTAAGGGCTGTGGTTAGGGGCAGTATTTGTAGGATAGGGGCTGTTATGGGGATTAAAGAGCTGTGGCAGGGGATAACAACTGCAGGGGGGTATAAGGACACTGGTGGGATTTTAGGAGCTGTAGTGGGGTTTAGTGGGAGTAGTGAGGGGTTATGTGCAGTAGTTGAATTTAGGAGCTGTATTGGGGGTTAGGGGCAGTAGTAGGGGATAGGGACTGTAGTTGGGGACTGGTGCTGTAGTGGGGTATAGGGGAAATAATTTTAGGTTACAGGCTGTAGTGGTGGTTACGGACAATAATGCGGGATTATGAGCAGTAGTGTAGGTTTGTAGGCAGTAGTGGAGGCTAGTAGCTGAGGGTAAAGTTAGAAAAACATTTTAACTTAAAAAAAAAAAAAAGTTTCTTCCCCACTCCATAAAGCTTGCCTTGTAGTTATTATTCTAACAATAAATGCATACTAATAAAATTCTATGCCCTTATTCGGTCACCACAAGATGACCTGGCAACAGTTTCTACCCTTTCTAGTCCTTTCCATTTTGGGTTGACTGAATAAAGGCACATATTTATTTGAAAAACATGGTCATTACTTATCACTGTATTTGTTGGGGTCCGAGGTGGAGTTCCTCAGCTGAGATGTATACATAACAGGTGTGTTTTCAATTTGATAAGAGCAGGGAGCAGCCATCCAGTGTGCCCGGGGTCCACATTTATTGATTGTGCGAAATGAAATGAACACTCTACTCCCAAAACAATTTTATCTTAATGACATTGTTTTGGAGATTTGAGTTCATGGATGCTGGCTTACTTTAAAGTGTTAAAATGTTATTGAATGGTTTAACTCCTAAGCTGATCCCTGGGCAGCCATCTACACTCTTTATTGCCTCTTGTGTTCGGCAGTTGCAGGAGAGCAGGAAGGGAAGCAATGGGCGTTGATGGTACTTACATGGTTACATAGTTACAAAGGCTGAAGAGAGACATGTGTCCATCAAGTTCAGCCTCTCTCTTATATCTTTTTGCCTATTGATTCAAAATAAGGCAAAAAAAAAAAAAGTCTGAAGTGCTTTCAATTTTGCATCCAATTTGCATCAAATTCCAATTTATCCAGTTGCTGTTTAAACATCACTCTGATAAAACCACCTCTTCATGCAAGAATTCCACATCCTTATTGTTTTTACTGTAAAAAAACCTTTCCTTTGCTTTAGACTAAATCTCCTTTCTTCCAGTCTAAATGTATGACCTTGTCTCTTATGTATAGTTCTGTTTATGAATAGATTTCCAGACAATGGTTTGTTTTGGCCCCGAACATATGTGTATAATGTTATCATATGCCCTCTGAGACACCGTTTTTCCAAACTAAAGAGATTTAAATTTGTTAACCTTTCTTCATAACTAAGCAAAAATTCTGTAGCCTGCCTCTGCACTTTTTCTAATGCCATAATATCCTTCTTTAGAACAGGTGCCAACAATTGCACAGCATATTCAAGGTTGTGGGTCTTACCAGTTATTTATAAAGAGGCAAAATTATATTTTCATCCTGAGAATTAATGCCTCTATTTATACATGTCAATACCTCACTCAGGGCCTGCGCTACCATAAGCCTTAGGGCGCTCTGGCCGCAAATATCCAGTTGACCAGCAGGAGAGAAGTGCACAGCGCTCCTCTCCTGATGGTCATTTACTGTAGCGTGGTCGAGCGCAGCAGGAGAGGTTGCCCGAGGGAGCTCTGATCCAGATCCACATTTCCTGTATAGCTCTCTCGTGCGCCCTGTTTAGGTCCTGGGAGCTGGAATATGATGTCATATTCCAGCTCCCAGGACCTCTACAGGGTGCGCGAAGAAGCTATACAGGAAATGCGGATCTGGATCAGAGCTCACTCAGAGGTGCACTATGGCAGCCCACTGGACACCAGGCTGTGCATCCACTCCAGGTCTCCAGAAGTTAGTGAGACTGGGTGGATTGAAAAGTGTGTGTCTTACAATACTACCCCTGTCCCCTTACCCCCACAATAGCTCCAGTCCCCCATAATGCTGCCCTACCCCATACTGTATCTATCCCCCCAGTACCCTGCAATGCTGTCCCCTTCCCACCATAGCCCCTGTCCCCCACAAAACTGTCCCTTCCCCCACAATAGTCCCAGTCCCCCATAATGCTGCCCTGTCCCTCAAAACTGTTCCAATCCCCCCCCATAGCCCCAGTCCCCTACAATGCTGCTCTACCTCCCACAATACCGCTCCTGCCCCCCCATACTGTTCCTAACTCCCCCAACATTGCCACAGTCCCCCACAATACTGCCCCTGCCCCCCCACTAAAGCTCCAAACCCCATAAAACTGTGCTGATCCCCCCAATATAGCTCCAGATCTCACAATACTGTTCCTATCTCCTCCACCATAGACTCAATCCCCCACAATACTGTTCATATACCCTCACTAATGCCCCTGTCCCACACAATACTGCCCATATTCCACCACACTAAAGCCCCATCCCCCAAAATACTGTTCCTAACCCTACCACTAATGCCCCAATCCCCTATGATACTGCCCCTTTCCCCCCACACTAAAGAATCAGTCCCCCACAATATGGGCCCTGTCCCCATACTAAAGAATTAATCTGCGACAATACGGCCCCTCCCCTTGACGGAAGCCCTAGTCCCACAGACACACAGTACTAAAGCCCAATTGTACAGTGCTACAGAATTTGTTGGCGCTATATATATTATAATAATTATAAAGTCCCTATCCCACACAATTCGGCCCCTATCCCCCACACTAAAGCAAAGTGACACAGAAAGGGGCTGGTGGGCAAGTAAGAGACACAAGGGCTCAGGGAGGTGTAAGATACTAAATGTGGTATAACACACACAGGGATAACACATTCAAGAGGGGATATGTAACACTAAAGGGGGTAAGAAATTACAGCATCAGCTAAAGCTGCCAACCTATGACTGGCTGCCCGATTTAAGTAGCAGTATTCCCTGTTCTGCTTTGCTTCCTGCTCTTGTATGTAGGTGGACCAATCATCTTTGTACTATCTTGGCTTTTGAATGGTGTCACACATGTTTAATAGCTTAAGGTAAAATGGATCCAAGGGACTCCAGTCCCCAAAACAGCTTTATTGAAACAAGGCTTTTTTTCTTTAACTTTGTTTGGCGGAGTGGGAGGTTCAGTGTTCCTTTAACAGCATAGAGCAGTTTATTAACCCCTTCAAATCCAGGTGTCTATTTTTTTGAGGGGGGCACAGGGGGGATTTAATGACAGGCAACTGTCCTATGTTTGCTTCGTGATTGAATTTTCCTTTAAACAACATCAGACTTCAATAATAAAACTCAGTTTTAATGGCACATTTAAAAATTTTACTTGAAGTTCTTGCAAATGGGGTATTTCAATTTTTGCAATATCCCCCTGTATGCTGGAAACATACAGGGGGATATTTAAAAAGAGAAATAGTAGTACAAAGTTTTATGTTAAATTATCACGTGCATTCTACTAGTTTTAAAGGTAATTATTCCACTTTTAAACCACACAATTCCTCTTAATCCCAAACTTTCTAGCACCCTTGGTTATCAATATGATCAGTATATTATTATAGTTATGATGATCAATTCGAGTGGTGCCTCTTTCATAAAGACTGTGCTTGCATTGATTTCTTATGCATAACATGGTTATAACCCACCAACATTGGGATCCAGTAAAACAGGATGCTGAGTGGCAGGATAAAAGGGTTCTTTACTGGTAATATGAACCATGTCATGACCTACCCAGAAAGGGGACCGTATCGATTACTGTATAGGCAAGTCATCCTGGATTGAATTAACTTCCATTCACGCAGACCAGCCCACCAAAGGAGAACCATGCAGAGAGAATTGAGCATAGCAAGCGTGTCTAATAATGTGCTTGTGCTGCACTTTCTAGGCACAGTTCTCTGGTGTCCCCAAAAGCAGTACACCAGGGAACAATCTTAGTCAGTGCAACAATGCTGGTGTAGGAACTGTCCTGCTGACAGTTGGGAAGCCCACTGTAATGAAAGCAGGGAGTGCTGGGGATGGGTTAGCCTAGCAATGCCATCCAATTTGGATGGAATTGCATTTGATTCATCGGAAGAACAATTTCTATATTTTAACGTCTGGAAGAGACCAATTTTTTTAAAACTTCTGCAAAACTGTTCTACAAACAAACTAGGGATTTGGCACCTGTATTTGTAGCACCAAAACTGCTATGGAGCTGTAATGGGTATTCTGAATCTGAAATCATTGGGGTCTGCAGTCTATGAACATATTTTGCATTTGGATAAAACAAAAAGAAATTTAGAGCAACTCTGGGGAAAACTCCTAAATGTGGAGCTAAGCACATGGAAACAAACTGTGGCTTCTTCTTCTGATATAGTTATTAGCAGAAAAATCTCAAAATGATTGTTAGGTCCCTCTACAGCTCTATCTGTGCATTCTCATATCACCTCCAGGTAAGTTCACTGTTCTCTGTATGGGAATATGTGGTTGCATTTTAGTGAATTTAAAAAATTGCCAATGCAGGAAGTCTGGACAGCAAGCAGGAGACAGGAGCCAACTGAGTGTCTCTCACAGCAAAATTAGCTAATTTTAAAAAAAACAAAAAAACTTCCAGAACCAGCCTATATTGTTTGAAGTAGTGAGAATTTTTAATAAAAATTCTATACATATTAAAAATCAGCTTTTCTTTGAATATGATGACCAAAATTAACCATAAATACCATATTCTTTTATCAAGTGAATTTTTTTTTAAAAACAAGTCATTTTAACAGAAACTCGATTCAATGGAATGCTATTTGTTTTAAAATCACACTCATGTCACATTATTTTATTAACACAGACTCATTTCTAACCATGTTTCTTTCCTTTTAACATCCAGCGCTCCCTTCAATTTCTGGAGTTCTCTTTTTGGGAGGTCCGAAATGCAAGAACTCGCCTCTCCACCATAAGAAACAAATTCAAAGCTTCTAAATCATTCTATATTAACAGATCACTGGAAACAAGAGAGGTAAGAAACATTGGGTCCTCCTACTATAGGAGTTTGGCTTTCTTCATAACCATTTAGGCCTAAATTAAACCCAATTAGAGAATTTAACATAAACCAGTTCAAATGTTGCTTGGAAAAATGTCAAGAGGACTATTTCATTATTTGCTCACTTTTTATAAGTAGAGCAAAATAAAAGTGATCACCTGTTACCAAATATTTGAATTGACGGTTACAAATAATGTTACATTATAGGTCTTTCCTATAACCCCATAGGGTTTTCTATGCATAACCCAATGTGTTATATATATCTTCTTCTGAATTGTAACAAAATCCCTCTCAATCCTAAATAAAGGGGGGAAAAGATAAATTTGATATTGTAGATTATTTCAATATACAAAGCAGTACGACTTCTGGCAGCATTAGCCTAGGGCAGGGGTCAGCAAACTATGGCACGTGCAATGCACGGCACTCAAGGCTGCCACAGACAAACTGACTCTGGCTTCTCAGGGTCCAAACTGTGTTTGCAGGAGGTGAGAGACAATCCTCAATTTACGCATCTCAGCACTTGTAAACGGGAAACCACTTTTTAGTAGAGCAGCCCACAGCAGCTATTGCGGCTCCTGCCCGTGACCTGTACCTGGCCTGCCCGGTCCCCACTGGACCCCAGGGAAGCCACCCACACTGCTAGATATACACAGAAATTCATAATAACCCTCCCCTCATACAAATAATACAAAAGGCCCACACACAAACACAACACCTCTGACAATCCACACACACGCACATAACCCCACAAGCAGCCTCTCACATGCAATACCACAAGCAGAATTACACATCTACACATCATTAAACACACAATATGACATATCATTCACACACACAATTCCACAAGCTGCCCCCATAAACAGCCCACATGCAGGTATACACAATGCTACAAAATACTCATGAACATATACAATACAATAGCCCACATACGCACAAATACAACACTACAAAGCAACATCAGCACTCACAAATAACACAGCAACATACATACCTAATTTTAAAAAAACTGGAAACATTTTTAAACTATATCAAAATTTAGTTTAGCACAGTACTACTAAAAAGTTGCCAACCCCTGGCCTAGTTTATGAATATTATAAGCAATTAATGCGAACGGCACAGTGTCAAACTAGGGTCTGTCACTATACTAGTAGCTAGCACAACACGTATTACAGGCTGACTGAATAGTAAAGACACTAGGGGGCAGCACTTACATCTGCAATTATTAACACAGGAGCTACACTCTGATCACTGGCAAAGTTTGATATTTTATTGATTGGTAATATTCCTGGGATTGAGTGCAGTATCTAAATTTCCTTTAAGAAAATGAAAGGACATTTGCAACTTAACTGTATTTTGTTGTCTCTAACATGTCTAAACACATAAAATCTGTAGCTACACCTACTAACACCTGAAATTAACAACATAAGTTAAAACATGTGTAGTTAACTAAACATATAGTTAATATAACATGTAAAAGGTTATTTTATACCGACCCCAAATGTCCTGATTTTGGTGGGATTGTCTGCACTGCTGTCATGATTTTATTCCCCTGCCAGTGCATGTCTCCCAACCATCCCAATCGTGGCGGGACAGTCCAGATTTTCATGTCCCACCATCCTGACTGCTTTGAGAGACACCAGGGAACTGTCCCCACCAAGCATAGGACAAGCGCATTATAAGACATGCTTGCTCTATGTTCAGGGCACTAAGACCCAGCAGGTAGCACTGAAGCAGTGCTCCCTGCATATCATGCCCTCTATGGGCCGACCTAAGATGATAGGCAGGCAGCTTGGTATTGTAATTACGCCAAGCTGACTTACCACTAAAAGGCATGTACCCACCTCCTTTCCAGGTGCACTAGGACCATGCAGAGAATTCAGAAGTGCTGTCTACATAGTTCACTGTGAGTGGGACTAGCCAGAAGTCTCTCAGTCAGCCTGACATGTGTTCACGCCAGGCTAGCATGCACCTTCTGTTGGTGGTCCTGCCCCCTTTCCAAGCTTGACCGTTCATTTTGGGCATTGCCTGTGATGCAAGTGGCATCACTGGCATGCCCCTCTAGATCTGCTCATTCCTGCTTTCATACCTCCCAATGATATTTTACCTGGTATTTGAATTATGGTGGTGCTTAGTTAAATCCTTTGTCTCAATAACTAATAGCATAATAGCAATAACTAATAGCTTGATTACGTTGGACTAATCTTGACCGTGAACAGTGAAATGATCTGTAGACCAACATTGTACAGCTCCAAAAAAAGATGTTGAATTGTGGCACCTTCTTGCTGTTTGTATACTGCTGTTCCCATTAGTCTCATACTTCAATTGCTTTACAGAGAATTATCAGAACTGAAGTCCTCTGCATTCAGCTAACATTTGGACTTAGGGAGGCTCTAGTTTAAGGGGAACTCAGGGTTAACTGGGCCTGCCTTCGAGATACTGTGGATCATACCTTCCATGATTCTCAGCAAGGCAAAGAATATTAAAGGAGAATATGTATTATTATTGTTTTTTTTTTATTCTTTATTTTTGTTGTGCAGATAATTACAGGTTATCAACAGACGCCACAACAGCGTGTTTCAAGAATGACAGAAGTTAGACCATGGCATAGAAGTTCGCACATTTTTTATATATAGATATCAAGCTTGATTAAACATTTATGTTGTCAGAGTAGCATTAAGTGAGTGTAGTTTAACAATGCTAGATTGGTTATGCTAATATAGTTATATTACAATAATATGTTATAACGTGTAGCAATATCTGGTTTAATCGTGATGCTTAAGTAAGTTGTACTCAGCTACCACAGGCTATGAGGCAGTAGAGAACGGGTAACTTTGCTAAATCGTGCCTATATCGTAGGGCAGGGGTAGGCAACCTATGGCATGTGTGCCATGCACGGCACTCGAGGTGTCTTTGCATGGCACTCAAGGCTGCTAGAGCCAAACAGGTTCTGGCCTATAAGGAGTCCCAGGGAAACTTCAGATATCTGCTAGTTCAAAAAGGTGGTGATCTCAGATCATCATGTAGAGGTGGTGATCTCAGATCACTTCCTCCCAGCACTTGTGAATGGGAATGCACACTGGAGTAGAGCAGCCCGCAGATGCTATTGCAGCTCCTGTCCTTGACGTGTACCTGGTCAGCCTGGTCCACTGGAACCCAGGGAAGCCAACCACACTGCTAGATATACACAGAAATGCAGAATAACCCTCCCCTCATACAAATAATACAAACAGCCCATACACAAACGCAAAACACAATCCGCACAAACTTAACACCACTAACAATCCACATACAGTCTCTCATATGCAATACCCCAAACATCCCCGCACATATACACACCACCAAACACACTATGTGACATATCCATCCACACACACAATTCTACAAGCAACCTGCATACGTAGTTCACATTCATAGGTATCATGTGACGCTTAATTTGAAATAAATAGGACCGGAATGCTATAGGACATCACAATCCTATTTCGGCACAGTGCTACTAAAAGGTTGCCTACCCCTGTCATAGGGTAACATCGCTAATCTATCTAAACAAAAGAATAAGCCGCTGTGTCAAGGGTTAACTAAGCATTAATCCACTGGAAGTAGGTTTCAACATAATTAGCATTACCATAACGGGTAAGGGTAAAGATGGGAGCATAGTCTGCTTCAGAGATGCATCAAGCCTCTGAGTCTGGGTATTTGGTTGCTGTGGGAGCTCGGAACAGTCCAGGCTAAAACAGAGATACCCTTGTGAGGCAGTGTAGTGGGCACTTCAACCTATGCCCAGCGCTGGTAAGTCCCAGGTGCTGTTGCCTCCCGTCCCTCCTTTGTGGCCCCTGGGCTTGGTGTCCCTGCTTCGGGGGTCAGCTCCGGTGGTGCTCTGTGGGGTGTGTGGTCGCATGGCTACTTGTTGAGTAGTATTGGCTGAGAAGAGTAGATTCTTGCTGCGCTGGATGCCGGGATTTTGGTCGGGTGAGAAACTTGCGTGCGTCGCTTGTTGTGTGGTCCCGGGTTTGCTCGTGTGCGAGTGGGAGCGTGTGCCCATTAGGCATGGCGTAATTTTCCGCCTCGAGGTCCATTGATACCTGCTTTTCCAAACAGCCGCCTTAGAGGCTTTTGGTACCTGTCTGTAGGAGCTGCGTCTTGCCGCTGGCCGTACCCACGAGGCCACCAATATTTCAGCTTGGGGGTGAGTTGTTCCCCGGCTGTGCAGGGCATCTCTGAAGCTTGTGCGACCAGGGGGGTCGCGGGTGGTGGCGTGCGGGTGCTCCTCTTTCTGGGCCTAGGCTGTGCGGCCATTTTGGCTGAGCCTTGCGGGTCCGGTGCAGCTGTACGTTGTGCTGCTTGCATATTTGCATTCCGTACTGGTTTGTGTTTCCATTGTGGACCGGGATGTCCCCCACCGGTTTGGTGGGGGGGTAGGTTAAGGTACAGTCGTTTAGGGGGTGCTGCGCCGAGGAGAGCTTCTGCCTCGCCCCAGCTTTAGCCCCAGTAGGCCGCATTTGGGTCTTTGCGTTCCCGTCCCCGACGGGCCCCAGGATGGTATCGTTGGGTTCAGTGGGGCACCCCCGACGTGGGAAGTGCACCCTTGGGTGTCTGTGGGCTATGTAGCCGCCGCTTATGTCCCGGATTCTGCCCGCTGGGCAGGAGCTCGTGTCAGGCACGTCTGTACGGCTCGTGGTCAGGCTCCGCCCCCCGGAGAATATGTATTATTTTAAGGTTTAGATTATGCCTTCCCTCCTCCCAAAAATTTTGTTTGTATTAATTTGTATCCAACGCACGACAGCCTGTCAGGCAACCGCCCCTTTTCATCTAAAATCAACTGTCCATGAGTTAAGATTCCAGCACTCTCCCAGCGGACGCTTCTCATAGAGAAACATTGAATACAATGCTTCTCTACGAGAAGCATTGTGACAAGGCATGTGAAGGCTTTCCATTATTGAAAGTCTTCACGAGGAGGTTTCTCGAGTGGCTGTTTAATGTGGCAGTCACTAGAGGCCTCCTGACTGGCAAATAGAGGCTTCCTGACTGACATTAGTGGTTGTCCTAGAGGCCTCCTGACTGACATTAGTGGCTGTCCTAGAGGCCTCCTTACTGACATTGGTGGCTGTCCTAGAGGCCTCCTGACTGACATTGGTGGCTGTCCTGGAGGCCTCCTGACTGACATTGGTGGCTGTCCTAGAGGCCTCCTGACTGACATTGGTGGCTGTCCTGGAGGCCTCCTGACTGACATTGGTGGCTGTCCTAGAGGCCCCCTGACTGACATTAATGGCTGTCCTAGAGTCCTACTCACTGACATTTGTGTCTGTCCCAGAGGCCTCCTGACTGACATTGGTGTCTGTCCCAGAGGCCTCCTGACTGACATTGGTGGCTGGCCTAGAGGCCTCCTGACTGACATTGGTGGCTGGCCTAGAGGCCTCCTGACTGACATTGGTGGCTGGCCTAGAGGCCTCCTGACTGACATTAGTGGCTGTCCTAGAGGCCTCCTGACCGTCATTAGCAGTTGTTTAATGTGGAAGCCACTTGAGGCCTCTTGACTGACAAATCTAAACATTGTCATTTCCCACAAACCACAAAGCTGACATTAGTCAGACTGCAAGGTCAGGGTTTTTGAACCAAAAACCACTACAACAAGTTGCAGTGTTTTTTTGCTCAGAGTATCCCTGTAAGTGCTGTTAATATACTGTTGCCAGGTACACAAATATAAGCTATATTTATATGCATAAAATATGTTCGTAGCACACTGTACCTTTGTCACTAGAATAATGACTTTCTGTTATGCTATTATAACCTGTTTATGAGTCTTCAGTGTTTGTCCCTACAGAAGTACACAGTACAGCACGCACCCATAGGACAGCAGTGCAGAGGAAATTAGATAATTGGTGATGCAATAAGCCCGATTGCTATTGATGCATCTGCAGCCATGAAGCAATAATGCTGTACGAGGGGGGGGAAAAAAAGGCTGACAGCTCAATGATGTGTATGATATTGTTTGCTCATGTATCCACAGCAAAGTTACACATGTCATGATAAGAATTTTCACGCAAGCAAAGGGAAGGGTTTTCTTCAGCTGAAACACCAACTTCCTGCTGTGGGCATGTTTCCATGGTAATACTTCCTGTGGCTTTGATGGAAAGAGGTAGTTTGGCTTTTGAGGATGCCGAGGACTTGTCAGATCAGGGGTGGTGCTTTTTTTTTTTTTTTTTACACCACTTTAGAAATGCTGTGATCCGAACGATGAAACATTGAAACGATATACGTTGGGATGGAGGGGAAAATGAAATATCTGGACGTTCCTAATGGGCGATTGGTGAGTCACTATACACTTTAGAAGTTGACAATAAGTGCAGGTGTGTCATTGATTTGCAAGCAGATGTCTACCCAATTAGACCTTGGTCTCCTATACAATGTGGTTTGTCTGCCCACACACTGCTAAACGACCTCTTTAATGAAAATTATTCTCACAGTACACTGAGCTAGGAAAAGCATTTGAGGGATTCTTTCTTGCGTGTTAACCATTTTAAATATGAAACTGTATTTTCTTTTTTTTTCTTTTTTTTTTTTTTTATGTAGAACGTTTGCATGCCAGAGACTTCTTGTATGTTTCGTGCTGTAATCTAAATATAAAAATGTATGCACTGCAAACTACTACATCATTTCTTTAAAAGAGTTGTTTGGTTTTAGCATATTCATTTATGTCTTCCATCTTTCTAGGTAGGCAAAAAAAAAAGATAGATTGCATTCTTTAACCTAAAATAAATTGTGATGGTGTTCAGGATTTGTTTGTGTCTTGCTGGTTAAAATACTTTGTTAAGTAGTACATGTTTCCCTTAGATGTATCTAGAATTCAGAGCTTCTTTGCTTAAAGAGGAACTGTAATGTTTGTGTGACAGTTCAATTTTAGCTCAGCCTTGCAACATCTGTTGAAGTAGTTATGGGTGAGATGTGTGGCTGAAATTCGAAAGAGACATAACTTCACTGCACGTCCAAGAGATAGGTGCTGCTGGTTTACCAGTAGGAACAAATTGGGCATCATTTTCACATTATACTTTGTTCAGGAAATGATGGGTCATTTAGCATTTGCCTGGGATTCCTGGCTGTAAATGAACAGCATTGAGTGTAATGCAAATAAAACGGTATGAAACCAGAATACAAATGCAAAAATAAATAAAATTTTAAAAATAATAAAAAAATATATTACACACATGCTATGGGTTTGAGATTTATTTTACATACCGTAGGGCAGTGGTTTCCAAAACCATTCCTCAAGGCACGACTACCAGTCCAGGATTTAGGGTTTACCCAGTTGTGTCGAGGTGTTTTTTTTTTTTCGTTTTAAAAACACCTTAGGCACAACTGGGTAATCACTGAATGCTAAACTGGTTGGCGTGTCTTGAGGACTGATTTGGAAACCATGGTCGTAGGGCTTTTGTTATTTGTGTCAGTTTAAAAAAAATATATATATATATATTTATATAATAGGAGGCAACTCAATTCAAGAACAAAAAGCAACAATGCTTCAATTACAGTAGTATAAACATTTACTATTTGTTTGTACTTGTTTGTGATGAACAAAACTTTATATATTTGGGTACTTGTGTTGTCATGCATCACTACATATTATGGACTGTGTTTTAATCTTTTCATAAGCACATACTGTAGTACTGTTTTAGAAACACATTTTTTGGGGGTCATGATCAGCTCACATTGTATTACTGTGCTTGTTATTAACTGCAGGCTTATTTACTAAAGTGGGAATTGCTGTGAATTCAAAGTGAATTTCAGAAATGTCGGCCAAATTATAGAAAATATCTTTGTCAGCTATATTTTCAGTCTGACTATTTTGGTCTATCATTTTAAATTTACTTTGAATTCCTGGCGGTAGTTACTTTTGTAAATAACCTGCTGGTGTTTCCATGCCATGTACAGGGGATTGTGACGTAGCATGTCCTATAATTTGAGCCAGTGATTTTTGAGCCAATTGGTGCAGTTCTTGATACAGTTGAATATAACATATTGATGACAATCATGGGTCACTCACCATTGGTTTTCCTATCTGTCATGTGTGTAACAGAAGGGAGACACTCTACATCAGATCATTAATTTGAAATTAAAACCCACTTCTGATTCATGTCTTCTTTTAAAGTAAGAGCTCACGTGTTCTATGATGAATAAAACCAATAGAAACCCTATCATATGATATACAGAAATGCATATGTATGTATTGACAAAAAAACTTCCTGAAAACAAATCAACCTTAATGTAGGTTTGTCAACATAGCAGATCCATGTGATTGCCTCCTTAATCGTTACAATAAAATCTAGCCTCTTCTCCCGATGGTTCTAAATATATGTGGGCACGAGGCAGGTCTTCTCTAATGTTTTGCCTGGTAAGCAGAGAAACAATAAATCTCCAGCTGTTGAATGATTTGAATTCTTCTGGAAGTGCGCATGTCATCTAATTAACAATGATATATTATATAGAGGATGCCATTTTTAAAAGACAGATAATGAGGCTATTGAGGGCATTGAATGTTGGAAATCCTAAGTAGTTGTAGGACTAGATTTTCTGGCTTAAAAGCTTGAAAGTTGTTCCATGGCAGCTACTCCTTAGCCATCCTTTTTTAAAAGGTTAGGCACAAAACCATTTAGTGGCAAAGGAGTAAATGGGTGGCAAAAAGACCAAGAATTTAATCATAAGATTAAATTATATGGCCTATTACATTCCATAATTCCATAATGTGTTATAGAAAAAAAAAGAGAGAGAAATAAAACATTCATTTGTAAATGTTTAGCTGACTTAGGGTTAACAACGAAACATTATTAAATTCTTGGGTTTTTCAGGAACCAACTCAGAGATTCAGCCCAGATGAGCAACCCCCAGCAACACCCCATGAGAGGAACAATCATTTTATTTTATAATTTCATGGATACTGGGCATCCCTCTACTAAAGTGATGGACCATATTTAGTTGTTTTTGAAGAAGGAATGTTTGTTTTACTGCTATGCTAATGTGCTTTGTCCGCCTTGGCATGGAAAATGATATTGGATATTCTCTGGATTCTACTGAATGGAGCGTAAGATTATTTCTTTGTGTATAAGGGGTGAGGAGAAGGTGAGGAACATTAAACAGCCCCCCCCCCCCTTTAGTAGAAGTAAACCCCAATTCACATTTCAGGGTAAGGAGGATGCTGCAAGTGGGCATGGAGAGCATAGGGTGCATCTCAGATATGAACTCTACTGTTGGTGGTACTGGTCAGATATGCAAACAGTATACAGTCCACTCTGTAATGGCACATGAATGAATGTCAAGTCACATTTGAGCAATGCTTTAATAGAGCTGTTTAACAGTATACAAGATTAGTCTTACAATTTAATGGTGATCATAGTCTCTGGATTAAGACTAATGGTCTTAATGTGTAGTTACGTTTCAAGGGTGCAAGTTGAGGATTAGAAGTCTTAACATTAGTATGGATTTGGTGACCGTGATGTGTATACAACTCAGTGTCCATGTCTCTATGTATACTGCTATTCTAAACATTCTAACTATCACTCTAATGATACCATTCTAACATTACTTTAAAGATAGCCTTCGCTTTACCTTTTTAACCTTTTATAAAGTAAATGTTAACCCCACAGTTAGAGCACGTTTTACCATATCAATGTGAAAATATTGTGAGCAGAGAAGGAGTAAGGAGCAAGTTACCAGTTTGCCCCTCCATTCTTCATATAGATGACAGTAAATGTGACAAAGCAAATTTACGGTTTTGGGTCCCGTGTGTAACCCCTGGGCCAATGGCAATTGCCTTAGGTTACCTTATGCTTACTCCTGTTCTGTTAGTGAGGTTATGTTGAGATACCACTTTTGTAAGACATATGTGCTCTTAAGCAGCACAGCAGCACAAAAGGCGGGTTTTCCATGTCTCTTGCAAAAACATATTTTTTATTTAAAACATATTGGTGTAAAAAATGCTTTGTTAGTTGGCTTTGAAAGCATAATAATGTAAGCAGAGTCCATTACTCACCTTTAATAACACAACAGACCAGGTTTTATTCTGGGGTTTTTCAGAGTGTCTTCGTAAGTTAATGCTTTAGTCAGGCTCACTGTATACCTCTGACTTCCCAGTTATCCCTTCTGTGGCTTTGTTTCCATCAGGGGAAAAACAATTGGACAGTTCCTGGCTGCTTAAAGTGCTTGTATTTCTCCCACTCTGCACTTATCTCAAAATTGGGGGATACCATTTTAATTGAAACTGGAAGATATTGGTAGATGTATGAATATTTAAAATGTAACCCTCTAAGAACAGGACCTGACTGGCATAGATGTGCTTTGAAAGAGCTCACCCTCCAATATTGCTGTTTTAATTGCCTTTTTTTGCTCTAATCACAAGATTAGTAGAGACATACCTGATTTCCACCCGGGCTGGTCCACCTTAGAGTGGTTGACAACCATATTTTTTTATATTTCATATTAACAGAATCCTCCGCTAAACACAGTGTGGCCTAGGTAATGCACCAGACGGGAGAGGCAGTCAAACTCCTAGCCTGAAAGAACCTGAATCCCCAGGGCATCATCTTGGTGCCACATTTTCTCTCCCTTTGAACCAGTGGGGGTGATCCCGGTCTACAACTTGGAGGCCTTCTTATGGAGTTGCCATAAGAATCGACAGACACAGCGTCCTATTCAACGTGGTAGATGCCTCATGTTCCTCTGACTACTGCAGTGACAATTCTACCATTATGTCCAAGAAACTCTTCACAGATTTTTGTGGAAAACTAAACACCCGTCTTCACCAATCTGCCTTCACAAGGCATGTGAAGGCTTTCCATTATTGAATGTCTTCACAAGGAGGTTTCTCGAGTGGCTGTATACTGTGGCAGTCATTTGAGGCCTCCTGACTGACAAATAGAGGCTTCTTGACTGACATTAACTGTAAGTGGCCACTTACCTCAGAATCCACTACTAAGAACCCAGTGCGAGTCTGTGGCTACAACTCATGGGCAGGCTTGAACATGGCAGTGGCAACTAGAGCAGTGATCTCCATCCCAATCCTCATGGACCACAAACACTCCAGGTTTTGGCAGAGTGTCAGTTGGAATAAAACAGGGAAATACATAAATCCAGGATTACTGGTGGGCCACGAGGACTGGGTTGGAGACCACTGAACTAGAGCACCTCACATTAGAGAAAGCTGAGGAGAGCCCTTCATCAGGCCTCAGTCCCTGTGAGACAGCTTTGGAATATACCAGGAGGCTGGAGTACCTGGAGGGACATTGATGCCATCAGTGGGTCTATCTCATCACCCAATTGGAGACCACATCTATGCCTAAAGATTATCTTTCTAATGAGAGGGGAGGCTATAGGCTGATCTTGGTTTTGGGACTAGGGCTCTTGTTGACATCTTGTCACTTATCTGTATTTCTACAAAACAGTTAATGTAGTGAAATAGTTGTTCTTGTTCGCTTTATTGATCTACCTGATAAATTTTATATTATTTAGTCTGCCTCTTTTTAATCCTCTGTGCTCCATTACCTTGGCCATACACAATTATTTGGCCATTTCAAAGGCCTCCTTGGTGTATTATGATGTCTGATACTTGGCTGGATAAGCATTTTCCCACACACTTCCTATCTTCTTACATACAATATTGTGCAGATATTTAGCCATGCAATACTTGAAATCTCTTCTTGTTCTATAGAAGTCATACCCATTGTTGTATTGTTTTAACCATTGCACACAAAAATAACCCTACAGTTAGGAAAACTCACTAGGGCCTTTTGATATGGTCTGTCAGAATGATAAGCTTAAATAGATCGCTTAGATTGAGCACGGTCAGTTCAGAAGCTTGATGGATTTTGGCTTTTACACATGGAGCTTCTGTTTTCACTTTATCTCTCATCTAACTGTACTATTTCCCTCTATCTTTACACACATCTTTTCACTGCAAATTTCTCCGATTCACAGATATATACAGGTTCTTTATATAGAGACAGCATTCTCATGTGAGAGTTAAAGGAACACTATAGTCGCCAGAACAACTCCAGCTTATTGTATTTATTCTGGTGAGTAGAATCATTCCCTTCAGGCTTTTTGCTATAAACACTATTTTTTCAGAGAAAATGCAGTGTTTACATTACAGCCTAGTGATAACGTCACTGACCACTCCTTAGATGTGCTTCCTGGGGTAGTGTTGCACAGTGTGCAGCCCTGCCATTCAGTGTCTCCACCCCCTGCATGCAGACACTGAACTTTCCTCATCGAAATGCATTGGTTCAATTAATCTCTATAAGGAGATGCTGATTGCCCAGGGCTGTGTTTGAATTGTGCTGGCTCTGCGCCTGACCTGCCTCTTTCACAGTCTCAGCCAATCCTATGGGAAAGAACTGTGAATGGCTCAGACCACCACTTCTGATGATGTCCGCAAACAGCAGGCAGGTCAAAAGGCAGACAGGGGCAGAACCAGCTGCTGCAGACTTGAATGCAAGTAAGATTTTACTATATTTAGGGATTGTGGTTTTAACACTACAGAGTCAGGAATACATGTTTGTGGTCCTGACCCTATAGTGTTCCTGTTTGTATACAATCAGGAACTGTTATTTAATATATATATACAGAAAAGTCACTATTTCTGTTTTTTGGTCTGCCGTTATTATAGTATCTGAGAGTAGATAAATGTGTATACAATCCATTGGAGACAGAAACTCAGCTATCAAACTCTCCATTATATTAAGTGACATAATTAAAGAAATAAGAAGCCCTTTTAATGACTCTGTAGATAATTTCATTATTATTTGTCTTTTCTCCTGTTGTAATTGATTTCATATGGGTGGATTTACATTTTTAATATTCTTTATTTTTGTTGTGCATAAACAAGAAACAGTCTTGAGTTGCCCCAACGAAGGGTTGAGTGCACTTCCATTTCCATTTATGTTTATTTGAGTTGCCCCAACGGCAGAAGCAAGATCAAAAAATAAAAAACACTTATCATAGTCGTAACAGTGAGGCAATTAAGGTATAAGCACAATTTTGTATACGGACAAGAGAGCACAAAATAAGGCACATCAGTAAACCTTAAAGAGATATTAGGCTATAGTAGATGTACTTAACACCCTGGTTTGCTAGTAATTAATTATAGGAATAGCTACAGCAAATAATTGCATGCTTGTTCCCACTGGAACTGTGGATCTCAGTAATTAAACGCTCTATGACCCTGGCAAGGGGGGAAACAAATGTTTAAAACAACATATCAAAAATAAAGAAAAACAGTAGAGCGACATGAGGGCCACTTTAGGTAAAAGATTATCAATCTATACATGGGTGGATAGGGCTTCTGGTTGCCTGTGCTGTTATTAGGGCTCAGCAGTTCAAGAATCATCCGGGTTCAGCCTATTCCCAATGAGGACAATCCTGTTGTGTCTCTGGGCATGTCTAGGACTGTGAAAATACTGCAAATTTTTTGCGTTACATTGAAGTCAGGCTAATTCACTAGTTTCTGCATACAGGATGGTCAATGTCAGATGAGTAGCTAGGCAGATAAATGTGTCAGAGTGGGACATGTTGATGATATGCAACTTATTTGAGTTAAGAAACAAGCTTAAATTTGCGCATCTTATGTATTGCATCCTATGTCAAACTGAGGATAACTTATATATTTAATAAACCGCTAGATTTCATGCTAGTCAAGCTATAAAGGGGTGAAACTACTGGTACTGGTGGCTTTGCACTGCTTCCCCTTAACTGACAGGTGGAAAGTTGAGGTTTTCACCCCGAGGACCCCTAAATTAAGCAAGATATGAAAGCCGAATAATGCCCCTCCATGATAGAAATTAAATTTAACACAAACATTAAAACAAAGTAGATCCCATATATTAAAAGACCTTGGGTAGGGCATAATGAACATTAGCGGCAACTGATACAAGCCGGACAACTCCTTGCAGGGTGACTGAACTGTCCTGCTTTGGTCAGACCTACAAACTGGGGTTAAGCACCCTAACTAAAAGGTGTGCACTGGGACACGTTAGAGAACCGTGTGAGTCTCCATAGTCTCTGTTTAAGTGGTGACCGCTGCGTAGGAGACCAGCGTTGAGCCTTGGGGGAAGAACGGAGTGATCCTTGCCGGATCCCATGTGCAGCTCAGACTCTAGCACTGCTTCTGGGACCTCTCTAACCTTTAGATTGTGTTTCCGCCTGGAGTCCTCTTGAGTCGCAAAGCAGCGTTCATACTGCTGAGTCTGCAGCTGCGGGTCATGCACGGCCTGCTGGAGCATGGCAATGCTCTGGGCGTTAGCTTGAGAGTGGGGCCTGTCAGACCTTGTAAGTCGTCTCGTAGCGCTGTAACATCCGCGAGGATGTTTTATTTGCAGGTCTGCCAATAACTGTGTACTGTGTCGCCTGGTTTTCATGTGTGCACAGACAGCTCTTAATGGCACGGAGTGCCCCAGATATAGGCAATAGGCCCTGGGACCCTACCCTGTGTGTAGGCAGTAAATGGTGTTCAAGAGGCATGTTGCCCCCACTGAACATTTTAACAACAGATTAAAACAAACAACGTAAAACAGAACAAAGTAAAACATGACCTACGTAGTATACATTTGGTGTGTGCTTATGGGATGATGTGTCTATGGTGTGGTATGTGTGGGACCTTTCAGGGTGATGTTCGAGGGATGGAGGTGGGGAAGAGCGGGTGTTAGGGGAGGGTGGAGGCTGATTTAGCCGTAGTTGTGTACGTGTTAGCTACAGTTTGGGCTTCATTTTGGCTTTGTTGGTGCTAGCCTGCTTTTGTGGGCCTGTTTTGTCCTAGTCTCCCCGCCTCTGTGCCGGATCATGTCCACAGTGAGCAGGTTCAGCTTCTGGAAGAACGCTTCTCGGCCGTCCGCAGAGGTCAGGGTGTGTGTCTGGGCCCCTCTTTGAAACTGCAGTGAGCCGTCTGCCCCCCAGCAGTAACGGAGCTGTTTAGCAATTGGTGCAAGCTGCCTCCGGACCACCAGCGCTGCAAAAGGGATGTCTCCATAGATAGCCACTGTATGACCCTCAAATTGGATATTGGTTAAGTCTCTGGAGCGTGCTAAAATGGCGGTACAAACAAAGCTCCTAGGTTCATTATAGTCGTGATGTGACAGTCCGTCACATCACGACTATAATGAACCTAGGAGCTTTGTTTGGGGCAGCTGCAGCCTTCCAGATCCAGAATGCAGAGAGTACTGTCCCTGGTTCTCTGCTGTCTTTGATACCCATTGTGGTAAGTAGCCTCTGTATATGGGGCAGCAGGTCATCCCCGCCGACGCATTCCGGGATGCCTCGGAGGCGGACATTCCTCTTCCTATGCCTTGCTTCCAGTGTCGTAACGGTCCGGTTCAGCCCTTGGACCTGTTGGAAGATTTCCATCATTTGGGCTTGAGTGGTCTGCTGGGTATGTTCTCTGTCGCCTTCTTTGGCTTCCAGTGCGTGACTCTTTGCTGGAGGGCCCCCATCTCCTTGAGAGTTTCTCAGAGGTCGGCCCTCCAAACCTCCCTCATTTCCATCAGGAGATCTCTTATGTCCCTCTTTGTCACTGGGGATGAGTTCTCCTCTGACTAAGAGTCTCAATAGTGAGCCCCCGCTGCCGGTGAGGTAAGGCTCTCCCTGTCATCGTGTCAGCTCACTGAGGCCTCCTCCTCGCTGTGCGCCATTTTGGGTCTGAGCCAGTGGTGCAGGCCTTTCAAACGAGAGCCAAATGTCGGCTAATTTATACATTTCAGGCGGGCTGAATTTTTTATTCTTACGCCCCATTTGGTTTTGGGGGCAGGGATAGTGTGGTTTTGGTCTCTGATTGGGAGCCGAATAGCTCTTTTAGGCCATGTTTGTATCAGGTTGGAACAGAGCTCCACATGCACACGTCTGGTCCGGTAGCTGGTCGGCCCAGATTTACATTTTAAGCTTATCAGGAATAAAGTTTGTTTTAAATATACATCTGCCAATCTTACAATTTCAATTCAATTGTTTCCATCAGTATCTCTTTTTGATCCTTTTCAGTCCCAAATATTACGTGACCTCTTGTGGGCTACTGTGGCTTCTCTGCCTCACCTTGTAATCCCATTGGTTCTAGATATGCTCTTGAGGCCTCTGCCGCCTCTGTCATTTCATCTGCCTCTCTTTGTTCCCCTCTGCCCCCAGTTGTCCGTTTTGTGGCATCTCTAGGATGCCCATTGCTGACGTCATGTTAATTCTTTAGTCATTATTATCAATCTGATACTTTGCAGCAACATTTTTTGTCGTTGTCAGGTGGAGGCTATATTACAAAGGATTGTCAGAATCAATAAGCATATTATTATTATCAGTGATTGGTTGCAATAAGTCAGGAAATGTTCTAAGGTCCGAACACTAACATTCATAGGGATGGTCACATTCCTTTCTGATAATTGACTTCTCACGTTTGCAGGTCTCCCAACAGTTGATAATTGACTCCTCACATTTGCAGGTCTCCGAACAGTTCCAATTTAGATGGTACATTCTCTATTTTTTGCATCCTGCCCCTCCATCAAGAGCCAGCACAGCGCGAGTACATAATTAAACACTCTCGCACTGTGCTAAGGGCCGGCCACGAGGCTGTTTTAGCCACAACACAACTGCAGGAGATGGAGGGCTCTGCCCTGTAGAACATAATCAATGATAGGTGTTTAATAGACAAGAATGAACTAGGAAAAATATTTGCGATTTCCATAAAATTGCAAATTCTCAAAAACACAAAACGCTAATTTTTTTTAATAAAAGATAACTACGTATTGCATTTATTTGTTCCTTTATTCCTGCATATTTGGGGCAGGAAAATGTATAGAAAGAACATATGCAAAGAGAGTACAGTGTAAAATCATTGTTTGCTTAGGGTTCCAGAATTACAAGGATTGACCTAGTGACTAGTCTAGTCTGCACTTTGGATCCTCACAGCACTAGTATATATGTTGATAGAACACCCTAAGATACACATTTACACACTTTAACAACATATTTGAATGTACGGGTGGAGGACTAAGAGCATTATGATATGACTTCTTCCAACAGATGGGAAATGGAGGAGTTCCAATGTTTAGCTTTTAGGACTTGACCCCTGCCAGTAATGTCACTGAAAAGGTTGGGTCCCAAGATCCCCACTAGCTTTGCCAATTCTCAGTGAATGCTTGTTACACTTTAATGTTGACTTCAGCCTGATCTACACAAAATTCATCCATTTGGGGAAAATATTATCACTTTTTTTGTTGAGAGTTAAAAATGAAAGAGGTCCCTTAATTGTCTTTTTTAGTACAACTACAGTAGTAGCACAAAGTATGTTTAACGCTTGTGTTGTTTTGGTTTGGTCTTTGCAAGGTAGGCAGGAAGTGCATGAGTAATATGAGAAGAGGCTGAAAATCATCACAATAGACCAAAAGTCTTCACCGTGGTTACATGGTATATGTACCAGGCCTGATATTTTCAACAAACTTGGAATTTAAAGCCATTCGGTTGACTTCAATCATCATCAGAATAATACACTGCTTGAGAGAGTCACTTTTACATGTGGTACATCTAATATAAGTCAAAATAAATTTTTTGACAAAGCAATGAAATATTTTTTTTTTTCAACTAGCTCAAGTTGGGCAGTGGGTATAATGCAGTCACATGCCCTGTCAGTTCTGATCTGATCTGATCTGCTGCCAGAACATAATGAACTTGTCACGCATGCTTCATTCTATTTATAGTTACCATTTTGTCACGCATTGTTCATTGCCTTAGAGATAATTCCTGTAAGGTGCGAACAGAGGTCTTCACCCACTCCTCTGGCTCATAATAGCCTATAAATTCTCATATCGGGCCCATTAAGTGAAAATGTTAATAACCATTATTTATATTAGCTATTTAAATTACTTCATCTTATCTCTAGAGCCATGTTTGTTAATGTGTTTGTATTTCTTCACCTGAATGGATATTCTGTGATAGGTTACTTTGCACAGTAATGAAATTATAGACAAAGTGGAATTCCAAATGAACATGTTTATTCTTATCATTGAAGAAAAAAAAAGTATATAAAAGTTAAAAAAAAGATTCCTCATCTATCCACTTCTATGGAAGGTGTTACTATTGTAGTAATATGTACTTATGTTAACATGATCTGCCTTTTGTTTCACTGGGAAGATTGTGCCTTTTAAGTCCTGTAGTGACAGCAAGTGGGATATAAACCTTAGAACATGGTGTGACTGATGCTGTGCAATGCAGGGGTCCATAATCTCAGTGCAACACTAGGTTTTGCAGAACCTTAGTCTGTCCCAGATAGAGGCAACTACACTTATGACAACTGTTATATGCTGAGTGAGGAGCTAGGGATTAGGATCACACTGCCTATATATACTAAGCTCCTCTCCCAGCATATCACTAATGGGAAAGGGGCTGAATTAAAGGGACACCATAGTCACCTGAACAACTACTGCTTAATGTAGTTGTTCAGGTGAGATCTATAGCTCCCTGCAGGCAATCTAATGTAAACACTTCAGAGAAAATACAATGTTTACATTGATTGATAGGAATACCTCCAGTGGCCGTCACTCAGACGGCCACCAGAGGGACTTCCTATCATGTAGGGCCCTAAAATGGCCTTGTACACGTCAGACGTATTAAAATACGTGTGACGTGTGCAGGAGAGAGAAGACACTGTGTGCGCGCCTTCTCTCTCCTGCCTGTCAGCAGAGGAGAGGGGGCGGGCAAAGACAGCGAGCTGAGCTGTCAGCTCAGCTCGCGGCCGCGCACACCGCGCAGCAGTGCGCTCAGGACTTCATAGGGCGGCATGAATGCCGCCCTATGAAGTATGTGCGCATGTGTGACGAAATAGCGGGCGCGGCATCACGAGGCTCCCAGCGCTGGAACCAGGTGAGTAAAATCCTCTGCATGGAGAGCAGCAATTTTTTCATTGTAGGTTTAACATGCCACTAGTGGCTTCCATGACTATAAACGAGTTAAACTTGGTTATATCTCATATTACTCTTAGAGAGCATTTGATTGGAACAGCATGGCATTTTGCAGTGCATGTACACCAGCCTTTCAATGCTTCTCTACTTAGAAGCATTGGGCTGTCTTAGATCATCAGTCTAAGATGCTCTCATAGCGACATAGTGGCCACACTGACACCAGCGTTCTGCAGCATGTAAGGTACATGGAGATTATCTTTTAAACCCCTGCAAGAAGGGGACACCTACATAGGTTGGGGAACACTATAGTGTTAGGGTTACATTTTTGTATTCCTGTTGCTGTAGTGTTCCTATTAAGGACAGCAGGTTCAAAATACAGCTGCTGCCTGGGAGTGCAATGCCCACTAATCCTGGGCACAGGCCTCCCAACAGTCGAGGTTTTGGTGTCTGGCATCCCGGACTTGTTTCCTGGTCTGCCTGCATGGTCCAGTAGGTTCAGGGACAGGCTGTCAGTCAGCATGGCTTCCTTGAGGTAAGACTGACGTGCCTTTTCACAGGGCTCCACCCAGTTCAGTTTCGGGCCATCACTAGCAATGTCTCCAATCATGGTCTGCCCAACCACCCGATCTCATACCTTCCAATGTTGAGAGATATCCATGCAGTCCAGGACATGTGTAAGGCTGCACTTACTGTACATATAACCATACTGTTATCAACTTTCATGCCAAATATTCGACTCAACTACAATTTGTACAGTGGACCACATTGTCCAATGCTGAGTCTCTACACAAAACCCTCCATTGGCTTCCCTTATAGTCAAGAATAATATTTTAAATTGTGTGTCTAACCTAACAATTCCTCCTTAGTTCTGCTCCCTCTTACAGGTCAGACTATTATTACTACGTACACTGCCGATTCTCTCAATCCCTGCCCAAGCCCTTCCAGAAAAATCAACTCTTTCGAGAGGTTTATGAATCATAATACTGACCGCAAACACCTATAGACCCATTCTAGCCACAACCCAGCCCACACATCTCTTTTGCGGTGGCAACGTGAATTTAAAATTTAGGCCAAAATAGCCATAATATTTATTAACTACATATGTGACATTGTCTACTGCAAGTCTACTGCTGGTCCATACAACCCGTCAACTCTTACTTTTGTGTGATTTAGATGTTATATTTCTAGCATTGAGGCTGTATACTCAATATGAAACCCAGCCTCTGTACACAGTAGTGGCTTATTGCTGGGAATATATAAAGACAGTTTAGAGAGTCTATTGCACAATAGATAAATTAAATGTATATTGTGGCTGCCTTCGGCCTTTTTCAAATCATGGGTTTGTATAGGAGTTCAGTAGTGTTATGTAACATTTATTTTTAAAGGGACTCTAGAATCATCAAACAACTTTAGCTTAATGAAGCAGTTTTGGTGTATTGACTATGCCCCTGCAGTCTTAATTCTCTGCCATTTAGAAGTTAAATCAATTTGTTTATGCAGTCTTAGGTACACCTCCCTGCATGTGACTTACACAGCCTTCCTAAACACTTCCAGCAAAGAGTCATCTAATGTTTATACTTCCTTTACTGTAAATTATGTCAAATTTAAAATGTCTTATTTCCTGCTCTGTTAATAGCTTGCTAGACCCTGCTGTTTGTAAAGCTTAAATTACTGAGCAGGAGATAAAGTAAGTTACATCTGATTGAAAATTAATCTATTTTAATTTCATGCAGTGTGAGTCACAGCCAGGGGAAGTGTGGCTGGGGCTGCATAAACAGAAACAAAAGTAATTTAACTTCTAAATGGCAGTGAATTGAGCAATGAGATTTCAGAGACATGATCTATAAACCAAAACATCGTCATTAAAGGGACACTGTAGGCACCAGAACAACTACAAGTAACACCTCTACACCCTAGTTGCCACTCCTCAGACGACCACTAGAGGTGCTTCCTGGGTCAGTTGCTCTGCATGGAGATTCAGAACTTTTCCCATAGAGATACATTAATTCAATGCATCTCTATGAGGAGAGGCTGATTGGCCAGGGCAAAGTTTGGGTTTGCCCCCTGGCACGCCTCCTTGGCTGAGATCATCAGAATTTAAGATCTCAGCTAATCCAATGCTTTCCTATGGGAAAGCATTGGGATTGACTGAGATCATCAAGTGTGATGATCTGAGTCAAGGCGGCGGACAGAGGGCAGGACCAGTACCAGCGTACCTGCACGGCGCTAGAATAAAAGTAAGTAAAATGCATGTTTAAGGGTAATAAGGGGTCAGCCATCTATTTTCATTAGTTTAATATAGGGTCAGGAATACACATTTGTGTTGTTGACCCTATAGTGCTCTATTAAGCTAAAGTTGTTTTGGTGACTATAGTGTCCCTTTAATCTTACAAATATGTCTAATTTGCTATTATAGCCAGTAGTCGTTAAACAGGCAAGTTCTAATCATTAAATTCTCGTTTCTGATATATCGCACTGGCTGTTGGCTCAAATTGATCAAAAAAAGTGCATTCCTTTATTTAAATTAGTTTATTATGTAGAGTTGATTATGATTGCAAGTTAGAATTGTTTTCCATTGTCTGAATGGCAGAATTGTAATGCTCAATTATATACTGTAACAGAGACAGAAAAGTAAGAATATTAATGTCTGATACTGGTGAATGTATGAATCGTTTTATCCTTCCTGATCCCAATGCTTTCTCTTTTTCAGGTGCTAGCAGTTTCTGATGGAGGTGAGTCACTAACTTCATTGTGGAAGGAAATGTCACATTGAGAGACATATTTCTGTAACTGGCTTGATGAAAAAGCAATCACAAAGTGTGTGTGCAGAGGTATAAATAGAAACTTCAAGCATTAGCAGAGCAGGTGGGACAATAAGAGCCCACACTCTGGCGTCATGATACAGGGGGCTACACATAACCTTGAGACATTGCTTACGGCGACATATGAATGATTAGTTACAGTGTTAATTCGAAATAGGGTGAGTCAAAAGTCAGGAACCTCGCAAACACTCTGTAAAATGTTTAAAGGACTACTTCAAATCCATAAAGTACTTCAGCTTGCTGAAATGCTTGATAGGTGAGGAGTATCCTATTGTAATTATAGTTTATAAAATTGATGATTTCAATGAGAACTGCGTTTGCACTGCACACGGAGGGACAGATTCAGAGGCATCTCGATGATAAAGTCTCTTCCGGAGAAGAATGGGAGGGCTTACAAAGACTGCAGTCATAAGAACGGCACCTTTTAAATATAACCGCAATGACAACATGCTGCAAAAAATGTGCAAAAGTTTTATAGTTTAATTGAACAGTGATTTTTTTTTTCCCTCTCCCATTTTTGGAGTGAGTGTTCCTTAAATGTTAGATTAATCTCATCATAAGTTATGTAATAGACCAAGGAGTGTAACATGCACCAAGGTTACGTACATTCATTTATTGCATACAGTAAAGTAATGAAATTAATCCCAGAGGCACACTCCGTACTCCAAAGGCACTTTTGATTGCTGGAATGTTTTATGTGTGAAGAGTGTGTCCTCTTTTTTTCATTTTACAAAAAGTGCAGATTTCAATAGAAAACAAACAAAACTGGCAACGGATGAGCCATTTTGTTTGTATCATGACTCCAAGTTCAAGAAAGATGGAGGGAATGGAGAAGAAACTGATTATTTAATTTATTTTTTTGTATTGCGGTACAGTTATAGATACATTTCTGCACCATTTTGGTTCATCCAGATGGTTTTATCTGATAGGATCGCATGGACAAATTTAGTATGAACCGAAACGCCTTGTGGATTCAAATCTTGTCATCTGAACCAAAACATTTTCTCAGATGGATCAATTCGGATAAACCACATCTTTATTGCCATGTACAAGACTAATATGCACTGAAGGTGTTATTAACCCATTAAGGATGAAGGCAATTGTCCAACCATTGAACTAAAACAAGACCTAGAATTTGTTCCTTAAATTAGTGTTTCTTTCACTGTAATATAACCGCTTCTCTTTAAGTGCACCTATACATATTATATATTGGCTTTTAGGACAGAAATTGAAATATTTTGAAATCCTATATGTATACCTAGCACAATACTAAGTGTGAATAAAATAATAATAAAGGGAAAAAAACAGAAAAAAAACCCTTATATTGTTTCACAGTTTTGTGTATAATAATTTTTACATCAAGTGCAACTAAAGATCACGTATTAACGTCTGGTAGCTAACAATATACCATCCCTACCATAATGCTATGATTAAACTAACTGTACCCCAACCGTACCCCGGCATTAACCCTAACCTAGAATGAACCTTTACCCTACACTAACCCTTTTGTGACAAGCTTGTACAAAGCATAATTCTAAACGTAAAGCAGACTCTACAGGAATACATTGTGTCACAGTAAATGAGTCCGGGACAATGATTGATGTTTTACCCCCTGTAGTGCAGACAGATCCTCTGTACACTATTAGGGAGACACAGTGGGGTATGTTAATTGGATCAATTGTTTCCCCCTCTGTCTGGAATTACCTGTACCTGTTCTTCTATTAAATAGCGTTTGATATTTTATATATACTGTTGTCTGGTGTACTTGAATTACCTGTTTTAACCCCTTAAGGACTGAGCCAAATGTACACGTTTTGATCAAAATAAAATGTAAACAAAACTTGGAATTTGACTATATGTCTGTTCAACCATAATTCACCTCTTTCATATTAAGTGCACCCACACTTATTATATATCATTTTATTCAGGAGAAATAGGGCTTTCATTTAACATCGAATATTTAGCTACGAAGCATAATTTTATATGAATAAAATATTTTTTTAAAAAGTGAATAATTAAGAAATGTTATTTTTTTAGTTCTGCGTGATATTTTAACTGTTACCAAAAAAAATACACTATCTTTGTATTCAGCCATATCTCACGTGTAAAACAGCACCCCCTATGTACAGGTTTTATTGGGTTTAGAGAATTTACAGGGTCAACTATAGCATGTTACATTTTTCAGTTTTTTTCACATTGAAATTCGCCAGATTGGTTACGTTGCCTTTGAGACCGTATGGTAGCCCAGGAATGAGAATTACCCCCATGATGGCATATCATTTGCAATAGTAGACAACACAAGGTATTGCAAATGGGGTATCCAGTCTTTTTTAGTAGCCACTTAGTCATAAACACGAGTGGTACTGTTATACTCAGGAGACTTCGCTGAACACAAATATTAGTGCTTCAAAACCGCAAAACATATCACAACAATTTAATCATCAGTGTAAGTGCCGTTTGTGTGTGAAAAATGCACAATACATTTTACTGTTTTGAAACACTAATATTTGTGTTCAGCAAGGTCTCCCAAGTAAAACAGTACCCCCCAAGTACAGGTTTTATGGTGTCTTGGAAAGTTACAGGGTTAAATATAGTGCTAGTAAATTAAATTCTCTGTACTCTCTGCCTGGGTTGTCAGGCAGGTCCTGCAAATATAAATATATATGCAGTTGCAAGAAAAAGTATGTGAACCCTTTGGAATGATATGGATTTCTGCACAAATTGGTCATAAAATGTGATCTGATCATCATCCAAGTCACAACAATAGACAATCACAGTCTGCTTAAACTAATAACACACAAAGAATGAAATGTTGCCATGTTTTTATTGAACACACCATATAAACATTCACAGTGCAGGTGGAAAAAGTATGTGAACCCTTGGATTTATTAACTGGTTGAACCTCCTTTGGCAGCAATAACTTCAACCAAACGTTTCCTGTATTTGCAGATCAGACGTGCACAACGGTCAGGAGTAATTCTTGACCATTCCTCTTTACAGAACTGTTTCAGTTCAGCAATATTCTTGGGATGTCTGGTGTGAATCGCTTTCTTGAGGTCATGCCACAGCATCTCAATCGGGTTGAGGTCAGGACTCTGACTGGGCCACTTCAGAAGGCGTATTTTCTTCTGCTTAAGCCATTCTGTTGTTGATTTACTTCTATGCTTTGGGTCATTGTCCTGTTGCAACACCCATCTTCTGTTGAGCTTCAGCTGGTAGACAGATGGCCTTAAGTTCTCCTGCAAAATGTCTTGATAAACTTGGGAATTAATTTTTCCTTTGATGATAGCAATCCGTCCAGGCCCTGACACAGCAAAGCAGCCCCAAACCATGATGCCCCACCACCATACTTCACAGTTGGGATGAGGTTTTGATGTTGGTGTGTTGTGCCTTTTTTTCACCACACATAGTGTTGTGTGTTTCTTCCAAACAACTCAACTTTGGTTTCATCTGTCCACAGAATATTTTGCCAGTACTGCTGTGGAACATCCAGGTGCTCTTGTGCAAACTGTAAACGTGCAGCAATGTTTTGTTTGGACAGCAGTGGCTTCCTCTGTGGTATCCTCCCATGAAATCCATTCTTGCTTAGTGTTTTACGTATTGTAGATTCGCTAACAGGGATGTTAGCATTTGCCAGTGACTTTTGTAAGTCTTTAGCTGACACTCTAGGATTCTTCTTCACCTCATTGAGCAGTCTGCGCTGTGCTCTTGCAGTCATCTTTACAGGATGGTAACTCCTAGGGAGAGTAGCAGCAGTGCTGAACTTTCTCCATTTATAGACAATTTGTCTTACCGTGGACTGATGAATAGCAAGGCTTTTGAAGATACTTTTATAACCCTTTCCAGCGTTATGCAAGTCAACAATTCTTAATCGTAGGTCTTCTGAGAGCTCTTTTGTGTGAGGCATCATTCACATCAGGCAATGTTCTTGTGAAAAGCAAACCCAGAACTGGTGTGTGTTTTTTATAGCGCAGGTCAGCTGTAACCAACACCGCCAATCTCATCTCATTGATTGGACTCCAGTTGGCTGACATCTCACTCCAATTAGCTCTTGGAGATGTCATTAGTCTAGGGGTTCACATACTTTTTCCACCTGCACTGTGAATGTTTACATGGTGTGTTCAATAAAAACATGACAATATTTCATTATTTGTGTGTTATTAGTTTAAGCAGACTGTGATTGTCTATTGTTGTGACTTAGATGATGATCAGATCACATTTTATGACCAATTTGTGCAGAAATCCATATCATTCAAAAGAGTTCACATACTTTTTCTTGCAACTGTATATATATATATATATATATATATATATATATATATATACATATATATATATGTATATGTATATTATTTTTTAATTATTTTTATTTATATATTGATAAATATAGAGATTGTAGCCGTATTAGTCCAGTGATGTAGATGTAAAAACTGATAAAATTTGTATCTTGTAATACCTTTTTTATTGGACTAACAGAATTTTTTAATGACAAGCTTTTGGGAGAACCTCCCTTTCTCAAGTCTGAAGCATTTCTGAGCAAGATGACACATAGAATTCAAAGTTGAGTTGTGATACAGGGGTTAAAGCGACATGAGTGTAGATAAGACACAGGTTTGTTAGAAAATAGTCACCATTTTTGCAGAGCAGAGTGAGGGGGGAGAGAGGGAGAAGTGTATTTTGATATCAATATATATAAATATTAATATCAAAATACTGTTAGAGCAAAATACATATAATTACACACATATATATATATATATTATTTTTTTTTAATTTTTCATTTTTAACGTATTTATATATTTGTTATATTATATATATATTTAATATCATACTTGTATTTTGATATTAATATATATATATATGTATATATATATATAATTAGATATATATTAATATTAAAATACACTTAGACAGATAGATAAAATAATGGTAGAACAACTTAGAATATATTATAACAACAGCAATTAGAAACATGTGTTATACTGCTATATATTCTGTCTATGAACCTGAATAAAGTGTGTTTGTGATTTACCAAGAAGGAGTTTGTGTGTCACTTGAAGCATCCAGATGGACTAGATAGATAAAATATTCTATACGAACCGGAGCTATCAATGCAGTATATCCTGCATTGCCGTTGGACACATGACTCAAAGTACTGGGTTTTAGTGCTTGGTATAGCGATTATTTGTGCCGTAGCAGAGACGCCAGGGCCATATCGTCACTACTCTAAAACCAAACCAAGTCAGATGGATGTAGACATCAGTACTGGCATTAGCAGAGGGACTTACCAGCACTGTCTCCCATCTGCAGCTCCTGCATGCTGTCCCTAACCAGGGCCGGTGCAAAGATTTTTGGTTACATAGACAAAGATGTATTTTGATATCCCCCTCCCAAAAAAGCATTTTAACCTGTGTGTCTTTTAACTCCCCTGTAGTGTTTCGTATTCCCTATTTTCCCCATTGTTTGTCTTACACCATGTATATCTCTTGCAAACTCCCTTGTGTGTCTCTTATCCCCCCTTCTTTGTATGTCTCTTACATCCTCTCAACCACTTTGAGTGTCTCTTTAACCCCCAGCCTCATTACCTTCCTTTGTAGTGTGACTGAGTGGAGCGGAGCCTCCTCTTCTGTAACCTGGAAGCTCCTGCAAAAAGCTTTTGTTAAAGGACCACTATAGTGCCAGGAAAACATACTCGTTTTCCTAGCACTATAGTGCCCTGAGGGTGCCCCCACCCTCAGGGACCCCCTCCCGCCCGGCTCTGGAAAGGGGAAAGGGTTAAAAACTTACCTTTTTCCAGCGCTGGGCTGGGAGCTCTCTGCCTCCTCTCCTCCTCCGATCCTCCTCCTGGGCTGAATGCGCACGCGCGGCAAGAGCTGCGCGCGCATTCAGCCTGTCGCATAGGAAAGCATTTACAATGCTTTCCTATGGACGCTTGCGTGCTCTCACTGTGAAAATCACAGTGAGAAGCACGCAAGCACCTCTAGTGGCTGTCAATGAGACAGCTACTAGAGGATTAGGGGGAAGGCTTAACCCATTCATAAACATAGCAGTTTCTCTGAAACTGCTATGTTTATAAAAAAATGGGTTAACCCTAGAAGGACCTGGCAGCCAGACCACTTCATTAAGCTGAAGTGGTCTGGGTGCCTAGAGTGGTCCTTTAACTACACTGAGCTAAGCCATGCCATGCAGGGCTGACTCGGCTGAGAGTGTCAGCTGAGTGCTCCGAATCAATTAATGCCTCCCTGAACCTCCATGCTTAGCACAATGCAGGGGCTCCTGGTGGCTGAGAAGGCGTACCCCAGGAACATTGTTGCTAAAATACCAGGGAACTCCTGTCTCCCAAACTAGAAAGAATTGGGTTAATGGCATAGATTTTAGCAGTAAATCACAACCATGGTGTTCACAAGTGGATGCATGTTTAACTGCACTACCCTTAGACGTCACTGTAGCATATCCCCATTTCTTTTCAGGAATTATGGGGTGCTATGCGTTACATTGAGGGTAGGTATTTGCAAGCAGTCATTCTTTCCATTTGCTGGAAACATTTTGGAGAAGTAGCAAGTGATCTTCAGGTTAGCATACCTTTCAATTTATACATTCTGTAGCAAGTTCACCCACACAAACTAAATGCATACCTACCCAAAGGCAACCTTGTCCTCTGCTTTGCTCTGTGAATAACCTTGGCACTTTAAGATATTTAGAGATATACATGACTTAAAGACATTAATGTCAGTGTCTGAAAGCAAGTCTGAAGAATTCGTCATGTACAATTAGTGTCAAAACCCACAGGATTGTAATCACAGGACAAGCAAAGATGACTTCTTAGTGCAAGGCAAAATACAAATGATCTTTAGTATCTCCCTCAGCAACTCCTTAACCTAAACACAAAAAAGCTATTGTCTGTAACCTTTTGCTGAAAGTGTTTTGGAGATCTAAACAAAGTATCAGAAGCAAGGCCCTTTCCTCTTCAAAGGTTACATGTCTGGTATTGCTGGCTCTTTAAGTTGATCAGTGCTGCTCACTTGTTGTAGGTCGGATTGGGACATTCTAGGATTTAACGAGAAATGTTTCCTGATTCTTTTATTTATTTTTGTGGGTTTTTTAAATCCCCCTTATCTTGCAATCACAGAAAGCATACAGGTGAGTTTGTATTTATATAAAGGTGTGGTTGCATGTGGTATGTCTTAACTAGTTATCTTCAAACAGTTATCTTTTAGACAGATCAAGTTTACGTGTAATTTGGAGCTCCCATGTAGTTCTCAGAGATAGTCATTTTAACAAGTTAGGTAAAGGTACGCTTTAGAAACTTTGTTCCTTGTTCTTAAATAATTGCAAAATTATTGCATAATTAAAAAGAAACATAATATATTGCTGTATTTTTTAGGTTTATTGTTATCTCTTTTGTCATTCTGTTTGACAGAATTAAATAATACCGATATAGATGGACGAGGGAGTGATCAGAGTCTTAACAGCCTGCCTAGCGTCCGAAGCTCTGGACTTACATCAGAACATTCGGTGGCCAGCTGGGCAGTGTCGTTTGAGAGGCTTCTTGAAGACCCTTTGGGGGTTGAATATTTTACGGTATGTGAAATTTAAAAGCGACCTTTCAAAAGTGCAGGTTACACTTACATTTACTGTAAAATGTGATGTGACGTCAGTTAAACATTTTCTAAAGAATCACAGGAAGAATCATATATTTAAGCTGATTTTTGTTACTGACTTTTTACAGTGATTTTGTCGTGTGACAAGAAGTACATGTTTTTAGAACAATTACATTCAATATTTATTACATTTTACAGTTCACTAGGAAGGATGGAGAATGAAAGGTAAAAATTATAGAGGTTGAGGTCCAGGCTCATAGATTTCCAGAGAGCCAAAATAAAAAATTTTCATTCTATTGTGTCTGAACTTTCGCTTGCCTACTCAATTACATTTCACTCTGTCTCCCTGGCATTGGCTTATTCACAACTAATCTGGTTTGACTTAAGCCTGTCCACTCTGAGGTCAAATTATACACTTCTATCTCCTGTCCCACCCTACCTTAGTTAGTAACATAATCTGTGTGTACTGCAACTTTCGGATCTTTTTTTAAAATCTGTTTATATTATCCTTATTTATATAATATGTTACATTTGAATCGATTTAAATTCTTATTTCACTGCAGGAATTTCTAAAGAAGGAATATAGCGCTGAGAATATATTTTTCTGGAAAGCATGTGAACAGTTCCAGAATATTCCAGCTGAAAACACTGAACAGGTAAATTAGGCATGGGGTGTCCTTGGCTTTTAATAGTTATTTAAATTTATTTATTTATTTATTTATAAAATATTTTACCAGGAAAGATACATTGAGATTTCTCTCGTTTTTGTATGTCCTGGGTCCACAAATCATTGCATTGTTACATTAGGGTACAATAAAATACAAAACCAATATTAATACACAATATAAATAGCCATTTATATTATTTATGTTTGCCAACTTCCATTAAGGCATCAACTGGAGGGACATTACGTAATTTTTTATCCAGTAAGAGCTTATTTAATGTTGTGATTTTTTTGTACATGCATGCCACTTCTTATATCAAAAAGAGGAAAGTATGTTTTTATTTTTGTATACATTTTCAGAATTTTCAAAAAAATTCCACAGAGGACCAGTTTACTGGTAAAGTCGTGGTGTAGATTGTCTCTGAGAAAGCAAAGTAACGTGATGCCTTCTGGTTTGTGTGGCCAGCTTTACGCAACATTTGCTTGACACATTTAAAGAATTTCCCAATCAGCCACATCACTAACTGTGCAAACTGCAAGAAATTGTAAAATGAAACTACTTTACATTGCAGATCAATGACAATGGATTTAGAGCTTCATGATGTAAGACAGGTCTCTGTGATAACGTTTATCCCACAGAAAGTATTTAAGAAAAATAATATTTAGCAATTACAAAAAGCAATTATTCCTCTTTTTTTCCATCCAGTAGTTTTAGCATTTGTTTTTATGTAGATTGATGAAATTCCATTCTTACATCACCATGTCCTTCTGAAATTTCATAGACAGGCTTTTCTCTCAGTTAATTTGTATTGTTCACAATTCTATGATAAAATAAAATAATTTTTCTACGTTTACCAGATCTGTATCCCCCGCTTTTCAAATGTCTGCAAAATGGGCTCTTTGATGAGTTTGGAGAATTTTTCCAATTCAGATATTTTTACCTTAAAGAGGATCTATCCACCTTTTTTGCCTGAACTACCAGTCTAAGCAACAGAGGCACTCTGGTGCCAGCTCAACTAGCAACATCAATCTACTTAGCTTGTCTAAGCTAACTTTTTGCTGGGCGTTTTAACCTGGACACGCTAGAAGCAGGCATGTGAAGCTAATATGGTTTTATTCTGCATGTCTAGCCAGAAAAGCCTAGTCATCAACACACTTAATATATAGCAATGATAATATGAATAACTAGCCTGCAATTTTCTCTAGTATTGCTGATGTGTTATAGCAGCTATAGCCTGTTTCACACTCAGCCTGCTTATTACTTATATTAATAATCAGCTCAGTTACAAATAGGTGACAAACGTTATTAACTTAAAAACGTGCAAGTTTTTCCTTTTCCATTGTCTACCTAACGTAAACCTCTGTTGGCCTCTGCATACTCTGGCTGTTGTGGCCAGATGTGATATGTGTAAATTGCCATGCACAAATAAAATAAAGAATTTAAAAAAAATAAAATAAATGAGGATCTATCAATTTTCAGGGTCTTTGCATATCTCACAGCCCATGCCATCTTTATGCCGCAAGTCTCTCAGCTACTGGCGCTTCAGCTGCCAGGAGCACCATCCATGCTGTACTCTCGCACATGTGAGACTGTAGGAACCTCCGAAGACAAAGCCTGTATCCCACAGCCTTCATTTGTGATGGCTGCTGCGATTGGACAAAGGTTGACAGAGGAAATACATCCTTTGTCAACTTTTGTAAACTTCAGGTTTTATCATAGGACAAAGTATCTACTTTCTCTTATGGTATTTTTGCATTGCATTGGAGCTTCTCTGAAACCAGTCTTAATCCGTATTTCATAAAGATTATATCTTTATGAAATCATGAAAAGTGACAGATCTGCCTTAAATTTTAAATTCACTTGAATTCACTACAATTCTCAGATTAGTAATTAGCCTTCTGTGTCCGAAAAATAGCAGTGATGAGCACGTGCATATTCAATGGTAAGTAAAAAGAAGACAAATCATGGCTGTGCAAGTTGCCCACTTAAATTGTATTTCTTATCCTTGTTTTCGACTATAAAACATAGCACATTTTCTGTTTACTTATTAAAATTTTTATGTACTTTGTGGTTTTGTTATCTACCATATTTGCTTTCTTTTTGTTGCTTCTGTATGCTTCTCTATATCTGTGTGGCATAAATGCACACTAGCATTTTGGATCTATTATGTTTACATTACAGTATCTTTTTGGCTGTTCTCCGGATGGCCTCCTTACGGTTTAGATCCATAGTAACATTATATTCCTTCAATTTTATTTATAAAATACATACCCATTTCATATTTATATAGCTTAGCAGCATTGCTAAATTAAAGTAGCAGAAGATAGCTAGTCAGAGGAAAAGTGTAGGGCATTTACATTCTAATTTTAGTAGCATGAACACATTTGATTAGCATCTGGTTTGGTACCTGTCAAGTTTCTTTGTGACCTTTGATGCATTAAAATCAGAGCTCACTTGGTATCTGCACCTTCAGTTGTAGAAAATGTAATTGACAGATCAAGGAATGAGTTTGAGATTAGATTTATACAGTAACATAATCTACACAATTACTTTACACGTGGGAATAACCTGTTACCCTGATTGGTGTGATATTGCACTACTGTAGAGAATGTCATTTTTAATTGTACTAGTTATCATTTCATAGCTTAACTTACTGTTGAAAATCAGCATTAAAGAAATTGATTTGTTTTAACTTTATGAACAGTATGCCAAAAAAAATAAAAAAAGTGCTCAAAACGGGGGGCGTGCCACAAACATTTGGCACCCGGAAGGATCCGCAGTAGCAGCACTACCTCCCAAAAAAAAAACTGTAAAAAATGTTAAAGGTTTTATTTCTTTTATTTTTACAATTTGTAAACTTTGCAAAACCGCTGTCAGCCCCTCCTACAAAACCCTTGTCCTGCCTTGCCCCTCCTACAAAACCTCTGTCCTGCCCCTTCTACAAATCCTGTACTGCCCCGTCTACAAAACCCCTGCAACCCCCTTCCACAAATCCCCTGCTTATCCCCCCCTTATAAAGACTCCTGTCCCAATACAAAACCCCCGCCCCCTTCTACAAAATCCCTGCAGCCCCACACACACATTTACAGGCAGACAGTCACACTCAGTTACAGACAGACAGTCACACACTCAGTTACAGACAGACAGTCACACATACACATTTCCTCCGTGCGGCCTGTTTATCAGCTGTTTGCTTGTGTGAGCTGTACTGGCCGCACGGCACCCTAACTACCATGGGACACTGTGCGGCCACAGCTCACACAACCCCCTCCAGCCAGGGCCGGTGCAAGGATTTTTGCCGCCCTAGGCAAAAGTAAAGTTTGCCGCCCCCCATGTGACATCACAATGCCCCACCCATATGATTTGCCATGTTAACTAACGCCAGTGCTGCAGTGCCGCCGTGTTTACATTAAAAAGGCCTGCAGGGACAGGCTATAGACACCAGAACCACTACATTAAGCTGAAGTGGTTCTGGGGACTATAGTGTTTCTTTAATGTGAGGTAAATTAGAGCTTAGTGCCACAAATAATATACTAGATTGCCTACTTACAACCAGATGAGGATGATGATAGGCTCTAGCTGCCGTCTGGCTCCACTGGTCTGGTGTAGAACAGGCTCTCTGGAGGCGGTTTGTAACTGTGGTCACAAAAATCAATGTTCTGGGAGAAAGGGAAGCAGCTCCATTTTTTTGAGGGCCCTTTACACAGCTCAAAGTCTGGGTCCAGGGTCCCACCTTCATGTTCCACCAATGAGGTTTGTTCACAGGGGGTAAGGTGTGTGAGATGTCCTGACCTGTGTAGGGAATGCATTGTGTGAAATTGTGTTTGTATGTATAGGGGGCTGCAAATTGTGTTTTCTGTGTGTATGTATGGGATACATTGAATGTGTGTAAGGCGTGCATTGAGTATGTGTAATGAATGCATTGTGTGTTTCTGTGTGTGTAAGGGATGCATTGTGTGTAACGGTTGCATTGCTTGTGTATGTGTGTCTGTGTGTGTAATGCATTGTGTGTTTTTCTGTGTGCAAGGGGTGCATTGCGTGTATGTGATGAATGTCAATCTCTCCTCCCGCTCCAATTTCCTTCTCCTGCTCCCAATTTCTCTTTCTCCCCCCCCCTAATTTCTCTCCCCCCTCCTAATTTCTCTTTCTCCCCCATCCTAATTTCTCTTTCTCACCCACCTCCTAATTTCTCTTTCTCACCCCCCTCCTAATTTCTCTTTCTCACCCCCCTCCTAATTTCTCTCCCCCCTCCTAATTTCAATTTCTCTCCCCCCTCCTATTTCAATTTCTCACCCCCCCTTCCTATTTTCTCTTTCTCACCCCCCCTCCTATTTTCTCTTTCTCTCTCCCCCCCTCCTAATTTCTCTCCCCCCCTCCTAATTTCAATTTCTCTCCCCCCTCCTAATTTCGTTTCTCACCCCCCCCTCCTGTTTCTCTTTCCTACCCCCCCCCTCCTATTTTCTCTTTCTCTCCCCCTCCTAATTTCTCTTTCTCACCCCTAATTTCTCTTTCTCACCCCCCTTTCTCTTTCTCCGTCCCTTCTTTCTCTTTCTCCCCCCCCTCTAATTTCTCTTTCTCACCCTTCTTTCTCTTTCTCCCCACCCCTTCTTTCTCTTTCTCACCCCCTCCTCCTAATTTCTCTTTCTCCCCTCCCCCCTACCTTTGCTGTAGCGTGGCCGAGCCCTGTATAGTCCGCGGGTACAGGGAGCTTTTGTTTCCTGTACCCGGCCGGACTAACAGGAAGTGCACACTGAGGAGACAGATGCTCTCTGTACCCGTCGGACCATCATGCTGCAGGGCTCAGCCACGCTACTGTCAGCCCCTCTCCTCAGGCTGCGCCTGGGCTGCAGCCGCCTGAGGCTCTCTACAGAGCGGTCGGGCGGCTGCAGCATGGGGGGGGGGCGGCGGGGCTGGTCATGGCACCCCCCACCCTGGTGGCACCCGGGGCGGACCGCCCCCTCCGCCCCGCCCCTTAGTACGCCACTGTGCCCAACATTTCATAGCTAAAAGCTTTACATTCAAACTCCAAGCACCAGCACCATTCCAAACAGTGAAATGGTCATGGTGGTTGGAGAAATGCTAAATGCTAAAAATACGCTAAACATACCTATTAACAGACACTTGCTCTTTTTGTAACTTATGTTTTGTGGGACATTAATATTAGTTATGTGGTTAACCTCCGTGCTGAGCGTAACACCTCATGAACATAATAATTGTGATAGATATCATTTCCTAGGTGTATCTAAAGTGAAATCTAAAAAAAATTTAAAATCTTCTATGGTTCCGTTTCCTAAGAATTACTGCTGCTTAAGTAGAATGAGTCATTGATGTAAATAACATTATTATGGTGTACGATATACATTACTGAGACAGTCATCTATTAAAAAACAACTTAGACAACAAACAGCTGCAATACTGAGTTTCTCCTAACACATTGCACCACGCCATGCAAATTAAGTGAAGCAAGAGAAAATTAGTAAAAACAAAAGACTAATTAAATTGACACTTTCATACAAATCAAATGGAAAAAAATGCATGTTGATTGCATGAAAAAGATTACAAATAAAACAATATATAATATCATATAGTTTAAGAAGGAAATTTTGTGTACTATAAATAACAATGCACTCACATATGGCAGGGCTTTAAAAAAACAGGATGTAGCTGTAAGGCCTTGTTGTGCCTCTAAAGGTGGCACCCTACCTTTCTTCTGGCCTAGTGCTCCTTACAATTGTATGTAAAAATAAAAATGGAAGATACACAGCTGTGCAGTTTTCTAAAGGGACCAATAGATATATGGTAAATAACAATAGTTGGTCCTGCTCACCGGTTTGAAGCCTTATTTATCCCAGCTCCAGGCTATGGGAGTATGGTGCTTCTACATACCTTTTTTTAAGGTGTGTATAAGTGTCCAAATAAGGGATAAAAAAAAAATATAAAATATAATACAGCACAATTTGAAAAATGTAGAAATTAGAGATAATAGGGATAATCGCACTCATGATGAAGATCCTGTGACCTGGTACAGTACCTAAAGGGTTTATTTCTAGCTGACAAACACCCAATAATTAATTCACTTGGATACAGCCAAAGACTTAGACAAACATTTTTTTACATTTATTAAATAAAAATCAATGTAAAAGTAAACTGCCCTTTTCATGTCCATAAGGTGGTCCTCCAAGGTAGTTTTCGCTCATTAAAACCTTTCTCAATTTGATGTGTCCCTTCATTCCTTGTATTGTTTCAAACTTCTTGTTTCTGTCATTGATGAATCAGTTTTTCTACTGATCCTGGCTCAAGACTATCCTCAATTAGAGTGTTGTAAGGGAAATTCTCTGATGCAGAAATGGTCCATTTAGTCCCTTCTGTAAATTACATTGATGATTTTCTGTCATGTACTGACTGGTCCAACAGAATCAATATTATCACCTCCCATTGGATGGTTTCTTGAACTATGGCTTCTTGTGATTGCAATTGGGTATTCATATGGTTGCCATAGATATATTGTTTATTTATAACCATATGAAAAAAGTCAGGCAACATTATGAACAATGTTATAAATGAATACCAAATTATCCTTAAAAATATATGCATATATACCGTATAAAGCATTATACCATATTTTTTTGTTTTGTTTTAAGACTACACATTTCGCTTATTCCTTAGCACTTGAAGTGTGTACATTGGCAAATTGCTAGCAAATGTTAGACTTGCGCATTTGGATTCAGACACATATTAGCCAATTCTACCAATCTTCTGAATGTAAAATCACCAAACTGCAATGGAGGATTGAACAAATTGCGCCATGTGGAAAAATCTTTGTTCATTCAGATAAATTCATAAAATTGGAATACTTATGTGGGATTACCAGGGTACCACATTTGGGAACTGTTTTATTTCGTAGATAGCTCCCTTATTGGGTATCCTTAAAGGGACTCTCCTGGCACAGTTTTAACTCACCTGGTTCCAGCGCCGGGAGCCTCGTGAAGCCACGCCCCCTTTTTTGTCAAAATGACGAAATAGGCGGGCGCGAGCGGGGAGCAATCAGACACTTCCATTTGGAAGCGTCATTGCTCCCTTGTGCGCATGCGTGGCTTCGCTGCACATGCGCACATACTTCATAGGGCGCCATTCATGCGCCCGGAGTGCGCTGCTGCGAGCTGAGCTGACTGACAGATCAGCTTGCGGTCTTTGCCCGCCCCCTCTCCTCTGCTGAGAGGCAGGAGAAAGAAGGCACGCACACAGTGCCTTCTCTCTCCTGCACACGTCAGACTTATTTTAATACGTCTGACATGTACAAGGCCTTTTTAGGGCCCTACCTACAGTGGCCCTCTGAGTGACGGCCACTGTAGGTATTCCTATCAATCAATGTAAACACTGTATTTTCTCTGAAAATACTGTGTTTACATTAGATTGACTGCAGGGAGCTATAAATCTCACCTGAACAACTACATTAAATTGTAGTTGTTCAGGTGACTCTAGTGTCCCTTTAAATATTGTCAGTCCCACATAAATGTACCAAAGTTTGGTACTATAGATGAATTGAGGAATAAAAAAAAAAGTCTTCTAATCCAAGGGAATAAAGTGATACCTCAATCTGCTTGTCCGTCATGACAATCTACTTGTCCTAACACAGAATAATTTCAGTTAAAGGAACACTATTGGGCCAGGAACACAAACATGTATTCTTGACCTTAAAGTGTTAAAAGCCCCATCTAGCTCTCCCACCCATTCCTTGCCTCCCTAAATATAGTAGAATCTTACTTGTATTCAAGTCTGCAGCTGCGGCCTTTGCCCCTGTCTGCCTCTGACCTGCCAACTGTCTGCTGACACCATCAGAAGTGGTGGTCTGATCCAGTCACAATGCTTCCCCATACGATTGGCTGAGACTGTCAAGGAAGCAGATCAGGAGCAGAGCCAGCACAAGTCAAACACAACCCTGGCCAATCAGCATCTCCTCATAGAGATGCATTGATTCAATGCATCTCTATGAGGAAAGTTCAGTGTCTGATTGCAGAGAGTGGAGACACTGAATGGCCGTGCTGCTCAATGTTCAGCACTGCCCCAGGAAGCACCTCTAGTAGCCATCTGAGAAGTGGCCAGTGCAGTTATCACTAGGCTGTCATGTAAACACTGCCTTTTCTCTGCAAAGTCAGTGCTTACTGCAAAAAGCCTGAAGGGATTGATTCTACTCACCAGAACAAATGTAATAAGCTGTTGTTGTTCTGGGGACTAGTGGGGTTTCTGCTGAATTCTGAATTTTCACAGCATGAATCTTAATGGGGGCACAAATATCTGATCTGTGGAAATTGTCTAACTCTGCTATAGTCACAACATGTTTAATTATTTTTTGCCTCAATTTTGCTTTTTGGAGTAATTTTGCAAAAATCCAGTCTTGTGAATTAATTTGAGTGTCTTACCCTCTGTCCTCCCATAGTCCCCACGTTTTCATAGTGTGTGTAGTATGTGCTCACTGTCAGGGCCATCTTAACAGCATTTTAGGCCCGCTCTCCCATCCGGGCAAAGAAAGGCACTGGGACCCTGCCTGCACAACCACTCACAGGAATGAAAATTAAACTTATATTTATTGGTATCTCCAACAAAACCAGTGTTTAAATATTAAAAAAACATGCTGTACAGCAGAGATTAATCCACACAAACGTTTAGTAGGTAGCAATGCTTATGTACAGTTGGTACATATATGTTGTTTTAGTCAAGGTCTAGATATGTATTCGCAACAGCAAGATCGCATGTACAGATAACAAGTGATCCTGAGGTGTTTAGTGCACCTAAATGCTTTAATAAAAAGGGTTTGAAGGTTCGAAATAAATCTCCTAGAATAATATACTTAAAAGTTGGCAAGCCTATTTGGCCCCTATGCTTGTGGAGCCCCCGGGCAACTGCCTAGCATGCCCATGCATTAAGACAGCCCTGCTCGATGTGCTTCATCTATGAGCGGAGGGCTCTCACCGTGTGCAATGTGTGCTTATTGTTTGTCATCTGTGTGTTGTGTGTGCTTTCTCTATGTATGCTGAGTGGCTGTGTGTCAATGATGCACGTGGGGGGCAAAGGTAGGCCACACAGGCCATCATAGAAAGGTGTCAGATCACACAGTGCATTGCTGCATATTTAGCTGGAACAGCACATACGATCTACGGAGGCCCTACCTTGCAACTTGCAGGACTTAAATTTTAAAATCTGCTACTAATATCTTGGTGCCAGATACTACAGGACACGTTCAGAGATTTTGTGTGTGGAGTCCATGCCTTGACACATCAGAGCTGTTTTAGCAGTACGAGGGGGACCTACTTGATATTAGGCAGGTGGTTTTAATGTTGTGGCTGATCAGTGTACATTGACACACTGATCTATACACAAACACACTGTACACTGCCATACATATTCACCAACTCACTGAGTGACCCATACACATACAAACGACACAGCACAGATTACCAGCAGTCGCCTGGATTTTCAGTAGTGGGTGCAGCCTGGCCTATGCTCTCTTTGCCCATTAAGAGCATGTCACCCACCAGTGAGCTGCAGCTGGCTCTAGCCACTGCATCCCGGTACACCATTTCCAAATGAGCAAGTCCAGCTCTGCACATGTTGGAGATACACTCACTGCCCGGAACCAATTCCCCCAAGACAGCTATGCTGCTTCCCTGCAGCAGATCTAAAAGAATAATAAAAGAACTGCCCAGTGCCAAAAACACATGTCAGGTGATAAAAATGTCACTTTCCTGACCAGAGAATTGTTTGGGTGGCCAGACAGGGCTGGACCTGTGTACAGTGTCTTCTTTTGTCTTTGAATTATTTGTAGGATTGTTGTCTGTGAAGCCATTTACATTAGTCTGAAGTAGATTTTTACTTATTACAAAAATGTTTATCATTCAAAAATTCAAGAGTGTGAATCCATTTAAAATGTTTTTGTGTAACAGTGACAAAGCTATACACCTGTTATAGAGCTATCAAACCTACGTCTGGTAATGATAGCCATAGGGTCTGTAAAGATGACCCTTCCCCTTTTTCGTATGACTTGTCTTCCCAATATGTTCTGTAGAGTGACTCAAAGGGATATTTACAAGTAAAGAGCCCCAGGATAGGTCTCACTTTCCACAAGTGAAGTAAATACAATACTACTCTATGTATTATATTAAATTACACATGTTTTATATACTTGCACAGTTACATTTTTGGAAATAAAATTTTAGGTAAGTGCTGGTACTGTATATATTTTCATTATTTAGCTTTTTATTTATTGGTCACATATTGGATGTGAAGTAATGTGTGCATGGCTGCTCAGGGATATCTTTTGATCACCTTATAAGCCTGTGGAAATCTTTCCCTTCAAATCATGCTTTGGGAGCACTATATTAAATATTTTAGAGACCCCAACGGGCATCTACAGATCATGAGGTCTAGGGCAGTGGTTCTTTTGCCCTGTGTTAAAGATATTCCTGACAATTACTATATTTATATATACAAGGCCGGAAGTCATCTAATAAACTAATAAAGTATAGGTCCTATAGCTGTCTAAAGATTATTCATTAATTAATGTAAGTAATGTTGTTGAATTGCCAGTAGATGATTACTATAAACTGCTGTTGTCATTTATGTGCTTAATTGTAACAGCTTTTGAAGGACTCTCAGACCATCTACAATGAATTTCTGTCAAGTAGCTCATTGTGTCCAGTGAATGTAGATCAGCAGGCCATTATCAAAGAGGACATGCTGAAGAACCCCTTTCCTGATATGTTCAAAGCACAACAGATGCAGGTTAAATTTCTAATTGGCCTGTCTGTCTATCTATTTTTTTTATCTATCTATCTTTTGATCTGTATTTCTCTAGGTCTATCACTCTGTTTCCCTAACAGTCTCTCTCTTGGTCAGACTGTCTGTATAACTGTTGGTCAGACTGTCTGTATAACTGTTGGTCTCTCTGCCTGTCTCTCTGTCGGGTATTTTGTTGGTTGATCTGTTTAATCTGTAAGTTTTTCTCTCTGTCAGTCTATCTGTTGGTCAGTTGTCTCTTGGTTGGTCTGTCTGACTCCTAATCTTTCTTTTGGTCCTTCTCTCTGTTGGCCTCTTGATCTGCTTGTCTATCTATTCATCTGTCTGTGTCATGATTAGTCTGTCTGTCTCTCTGCTGGTTGGTTTGTTTGTCTGTCTAATGTGTGTGTGTGTGTATATATATATATATATATATATATATATATATATATATATATATATATAATCCACTCACCTGTAAGAAGTATGAATGTATAAAAGAAGAGTACACTAGTTGTGCTTTTCTCTGCACATATATTTCGATGGAGGCAATTTAGATAATATCTTAATCTTAAGTCTTTTACTAAGAGAATTGTTTAATTCACTGTTGTCTTGCTAGTAACCTGGGGCAATAGTGATACAGTGACTTCTTCAGCATACTGATCTGTACTTACCTCTATGTTTAGATTTTCAGCCTGATGAAATTTGACAGCTACGCTCGCTTTGTTAAGTCATCCCTTTACCAGGAATGCATGCTCTCAGAGGTGGAAGGACGTCCCTTACCCTCCCTTACTTCATCCCCCACGACAACCTGTATTTCCTTCTCCTCTGGGGCAGTAAAGGTAAGGCAATGTGATTTTTTTTAATTTTATTTTTTTAATAGCCGTTTCAGCACATAAAAGCAAGCTATATAAAATGCTAATTGGTATACCATTGAAAGAGTGATTACACACAAAGCTATCTGAAACTTTGGCCAGTGATCTATTGAGGCTTCTTTTAATATGCTCTCTGAAGAAATTGCCAAGGTGTAGTGTGGCCAATATCTCACATTTCAAAGTTTACCTAAGACCGATGTTTTTGAAAGATTATCAAACAAGCAAGGATGCATCAGAGAGATCATCATGTAAAATAATAAAATCTATATCATGTCAAAAAATGTTTTGGCATAAAATATGAAAAAAAGAAAAAACAGTTTGCACACTATTTGTCTCCCACTTCCAAGAAGAAGATACAATCTGTAATAAGTACATAAGTGTATCTCATGTGAAGAGATATATGAGAAGCCTATCGAAGAGTTTATATGTACACTAGAAACACTTGATCTAGTCACATTCTTTGAAAAAGTGAATGTAAATAAATTGTACACATCAACAATGCAAGTTGTGGGCTGAAAATTAATTTCTGGGAAAGACAGAAATCTTTAGAAAGCTATAGGAACACACGGATTAGCTAGTATATCAGTTTTTGGTTGACGATGGGAGGGTTGAGAGTTGGAAGCACATTTATTGGTCTTTTGTATTAATTAAAACATGTTTAAAGTCAATGTTTATGTGGGCCACTATGACCCCCATATTAGTATAAATATAAATTTTAAACCTTCCCGATACCCCCACTCGATATGCAGCTAAACAGCCAGTGCCTGCTCACAGTAATAAAAGACTAGCGAAAAGATAGTAGCCAGTAACGTAGAAAGGTGCATGGTACATTTCCCCTGTGCCCTCACCCTCCCCAACCAATCAGAGCATTCTGAAAAGCAAGTTTCACGTATTTTATTGAGATTAGCTTGGAAATTTTAGGTTCCCCATTAGTCACCCATGAATGGGCCTGGAGCTGCAGGACTTGGAGGGACAATATGTCCCCCCCATTTATTATAATTATAGCCACCACCCCTGATAACAGGTGGGCGGTACAGGAGGGGATTTGTAGAAGGTCCCCCTGTATGTTACTAGTGACTGGGCAGCAAAAGCAGCTGATTCCCTGTCACTTTTAATGCAGGTGGTGATAAGAACCAGGAAAGAACTCTTTTTAGTAATACAGGAAGACTTATGGGTTCACCACTTCATTAAAGTAATTAGTAATTATTATTTTTTTATCTAAAGTTATATTCTCTTGCATAGACCCTAGCTCTCTTGTCTGTTTGCATTTGGTCTTTAACACTCCTATAGTGATTCCTAATTGCAGACCTTCAAAAATTAAAGGTCTCAACTTTTGAGAGCCGTGACTGCTTCTCCTAGAGTGGAAGCAGGTGGAGCACTGCAATTTTTGTGCATGCACCATGGGTTCCTAACTGCTTTCTATGAGAAATGTTGGATCATGATCACTCATAAGGATGATCTCAACATGGGGGAGTTACTGTTAAGATGAGACTGTCTCAGTGCTGTATTACAGGTGGGTTTAAAGGCGATTTTTCCTTTCTTTTGTTTTGAAAATGGGGGAGCCTGAATCCAAAAAATACATTAATTTTTAACGTTAGAATATTCATTTAATGCATTACCATGTACCAAATGAATTGAGAAGGGAATTGCAAATTTCAGGTCCTGAAATTGCTGAAATTGAAGGAAAGTTGAGGAATTTTTCCAGACTGTCTATTTTGGCTCAAAAGTGTCAATTTCCCTCTCAGTTAACTGAAATTCCCAATTTAGCAAATGTTCCAAAATGAGATGAAAAATCCTTTACTTTTCAGCTGTAATAGAGATTTTTCTACGATTTGGTAAATGGAGAACCTACATGTTTCCTCTGAAAAGTTGTGGCTTCCTGTATGTGGAACACAAGGGAAATGGACTTATGGTCTATTTTTACTTAACATAAAATGTGTTTCAAATACCTAGAAACACATCTAATCATATTACCATATATAGGAAGAGTTCTGGATCTCACTCAAGTCTGGTCTGAAAAAATCAAGCATTAATGCTGTCTGTTAAATGCAACAAAATTCCCCTGATCAAAATTGTAGCTTCCTCTAAGTGGAACCCAGGGGAACTGGGCTTAAGGTCACATTAAACTTCTGTTTGAAGAACATAGACACCATAATACCATATACCAGGGATAGGTGACCTTCAGCACTTTAAATGTTGTGTACTATATCTCCCATCAGGACTAGATTTGCCATAAGATCACAGAGGCCACGGTCTCGGGGTGGGAGCAGGGCTGGCGCTACCATAAGGCAACACAGTTGGCCGCCTTTGTGCGCACCGAACCCGAGGAGCGCAAAAATGTCTGAGTGTCAGGTGGCAGCAATTTACCCATCTGGCTGTGAGATGGGGGGGGGGAGGGGGAACATGCAGCCACTGAGGGAGGGGGGCGGAGCAGTGAGGAGCGACTGCAGCCAATCTCTTCCTGAGCTAAAGGCCGCTGGGATACATGACATCATATCCCGGTGGCCAACTGCTGTGGAGAGCGGAGGAAAGCTACTGCAGTGCAGCGGGACATCTGTTTAGCAATCATTAGAACAGTAAGTCTGTGTGTAAGAGTTAGTGTGTGTGTGTGTGTGTGTGTGTGAGAGTTAGTGTGTGTGTGTGTGTAAGAGCCAGTGTGTGTAAGAGTTAGTGTGTGTGTGTGTAAGAGTTAGTGTGTAAGAGCCAGTGTGTGTGTCTGTGTGTGTAAGAGTTAGGTGTGTGTGTGTGTAGTGTGTGTGTGTGTGTGTGTGTGTGTGTGAGTAGTGTGTGTGTAGCCAGTGTGTGTGTGTGTGTGTGTGTTAGAGCCAGTGTGTGTGTGTGTGTAGAGAGTGTGTGTGTGTGTGTGTGTGTGTGTAAGAGCCAGCGTGTGTGTGTGTGTGTGTAAGAGTTAGTGTGTGTGTGTAAGAGCCAGTGTGTGTGTGTGTGTGTAAGAGTTAGTGTGTGTGTGTGTAAGAGCCAGTGTGTGTGTGTGTGTAAGAGTTAGTGTGTGTGTGTATAAGAGCCAGTGTGTCTGAGTGTAAGAAACTGTGTGTGTTAGAGCCAGTGTGTGTGTGTGTGTGTTAGAGCCAATGTGTCTGAGTGTAAGAGACTGTGTGTGTTAGAGCCAGTGTGTCTGAGTGTAAGAGACTGTGTGTTAGAGCCAGTGTGTCTGTTTATAAGCAGTGCGTGTGTAAGATACTGTGTGTAAGTGTGTTAGAGCCAGTGAGTGTGTGTGTGTAAGAGTTAGTGTGTGTGTGTGTGTGTAAGAGCCAGTGTGTGTAAGAGCCAGTGTGTGTGTGTCTGTGTGTGTAAGAGTTAGTGTGTGTGTAAGAGCCAGTGTGTGTGTGTGTAAGAGCCAGTGCGTGTGTGTGTGTAAGAGCCTGTGTGTGTGTGTGTGTAAGAGTTAGTGTGTAAGAGCCAGTGTGTGTGTGTCTGTGTGTGTAAGAGTTAGTGTGTGTGTAAGAGCCAGTATGTGTGTGTTTAAGAGTTAGTGTGTGTGTGTGTGTAAGAGTTAGTGTGTGTGTGAGAGCCAGTGTGTGTGTAAGAGTTAGTGTGTCTGAGTGTAAGAAACTGTGTGTGTTAGAGCCAGTGTGTGTGTGTGTGTGTGTGTGTGTTAGAACCAATGTGTCTGAGTGTAAGAGACTGTGTGTTAGAGCCAATGTGTCTGAGTGTAAGAGACTGTGTGTTAGAGCCAGTGTGTCTGTTTATAAGCAGTGCGTGTGTAAGATACTGTGTGTAAGTGTGTTAGAGCCAGTGAGTGTGTGTGTAAGAGTTAGTGTGTAAGAGCCAGTGTGTGTGTGTCTGTGTGTGTAAGAGGTGTGTGTGTGTGTAAGAGCCAGTGTGTGTGTAAGAGCCAGTGTGTGTGTGTGTAAGAGCCAGTGTGTAAGAGCCAGTGTGTGTGTGTGTAAGAGCCAGTGTGTGTGTAAGAGCCTGTGTGTGTGTGTGAGAGTGATGTAAGAGCCAGTGTGTGTGTGTGTAAGAGCCAGTGTGTGTGTAAGAGCCTGTGTGTGTGTGTAAGAGTTAGTGTGTGTGTGTGTAAGAGTTAGTGTGTAAGAGCCAGTGTGTGTGTGTCTGTGTGTGTAAGAGTTAGTGTGTGTGTAAGAGCCAGTATGTGTGTGTGTAAGAGCCAGTGTGTGTGTGTGTGTAAGAGCTAGTGTGTGTGTGTGTGTAAGAGCCAGTGTGTGTGTGTGTTTGTGTGTGTGTGTAAGAGTTAGTGTGTGTGTGTGTGAGAGCCAGTATGTCTGAGTGTAAGAAACTGTGTGTGTTAGAGCCAGTGTGTGTGTGTGTGTGTGTGTGTTAGAGCCAATGTGTCTGAGTGTAAGAGACTGTGTGTTAGAGCCAGTGTGTCTGTTTATAAGCAGTGCGTGTGTAAGATACTGTGTGTAAGTGTGTTAGAGCCAGTGAGTGTATAAAGCTGTGTGTGTGTGTTAGAGCCAGTGAGTGTGTACAGCAGTGTGTGTGAGAGACTCTGTGTGTGTGTGTGTTAGAGCCAGTGAGTGTGTATAAGCAGTTTGTGTGTAAGAGACTGTGCGTGTGTGTGTGTATAAGAGCCAGTGTGTGTATAAGCAGTGTGTGTGTAAAAAGCAGTGTGTGTGTGTGTGTGTGTAAGAGCGAATGAGTGTGTGACACAAGGGGGTAAAGAATGGTAGGATGAAGACACAAAAACTTAAAAAAAGAATGCCAAACAGGGGATACAATATACAAAAAGGGAAAACGAGAAAGAAAAAGGTGGCAAGATGCACAAAAGGGGCAAAAGAATGGGTAAGAGGGGCAAAAGTGGTAATATTAGACAGACAGGTGGAGACAAATTTTGGGGGCAGCAAAATGTGTCTTCGCCTTTGTAGAAAGTCCTGGGCGGGAGGCAGGAAAGGGGCAGCATGGCCAGTTAGGAGATCAAAGATCTCCCTTACCGGACACCCGATTCTCCTGCCATGAGGCCAAACAAGCCGACGGGGGGATCTCCGGTAGGTTTTGTGCCCTCTACTCTTATATTGAATCAGAGCTTTTCCACTCTGATACATTTCCCGGCACCGGGCTGGAAGGAGCTGACTGCACCCACTGGAGTGTAGAACGTAACATCACCCAGCGGATGACAAGGGATCATGTTCCACCCTCCCTGGCCCAAGGTAAGGAGCAGGGTTTTTTCTTTAATCAAAAATGCTTTTTTTTGTTATTTTTTTAAGAAGCTCTCAGCCTCTGTCTGCCCACTACAGTTCCTATGCCCCACACTACAGTCCTCCCACAATAGCACCTATCCTATTGCCACTTTCCTAACACCACTGTCCCCGCCACCACAGCCTCTACCCCCCCACTACATCCACTGCCCCCCCTCCTATGATGTTCATGTTGAGACTCAGCATTGTTTAATTTATGATTTGCATGGGGTGTGGGTCCTTCTTATTTCTCTATTCATGTTTCACATTTCTGTAAATGTGATGACGTAATTGCCCCTTATCAGATTTTGATTAGTCACTGCAATGAGGAAGTTTGTGATGGGCAAAAAAGGGCAAATCAGCTTAGCTTCAGAAGTAAGCTCTACCTCTAAGATAAAGTAGAATTTTAGGCAGTTAGGAAATTAATTTTGAAAAATAATAAATGTATTTTTGTTAATCATAGTCTGTATTTAGAGACCATTCATATTTATACTACAGCTCCAATTATGTCCATTATCCTTTTCTACATTGTAGAAAAATTCAACTAGTCTGAACAAACCCAAAAAATATAAAAGATCTTTACTTCTGAGTTTTTTATTGTTATTTAAAACACACAAAAAACATTTTTCTTTATACTATTTTATTTTTAATTTATTTTTTTTTGTAGAAAAAATTGAGACCAGGAAAATCTCTTCCACTTGGAGTTGAAGCCACAGGAGTAGACAACACCAGCGATTTCATTTCCAGACCCAGCAGGAGATCTTTTAAGAAGAAAGATAAGAAAGGATCATGTCGAGGTAAAAAGAATGAAATTCACATCAAATAGTTGACATTTAAAAGATAAGTAAGAGACATTAAATTAACATTGATGTTAAAGAATTTAAAAAATCTTTTATCACAATGAAATGAAAACATAATTAATCCTGTACGTCCTTTTCAGAAAAGACTGTGGATTCTGTTGTGTATACTTCCAGTAATTATCCAATATTTCAATACAGCCATGGTTTAAAGCAAGTTCTTTTAATCATTGGTTGGCAGGGGTAAACTCAAAGTCATTACACAACTAGTATGTAACTAGTGTTGGTTAGAAATTTCATATGCAGGCAGTATCTATGTATACTATATGGGCCCCGCCAGTGTGACAAGTGATCAGATACTGGTACATAGGTATCCCTGTACCATCTTACTCTCTATGATCTTCGTCTCTGTGACTTTGAGAGCCAGGCAACCAGATAGGAAGGGATATTGTCAAGCTTGAACCTTCTATTCTCAGCAATAATTTAGCTTGTGACTTAAGAGAGCTTTTAGTGCCTCTAATGGGCCTATAGACTTGAAAAGCCACCACCCCAGAAACAAACTTGAAGCCATTTTTCTAAAAGGGGTTTGATTATATTTTTTAAATCCTTATTTTTGTTGTACTTTGTGGTGACAGTATACATGAGAAACGTTGCGATGAATTAGACAAATCAGAGCAGAATAGATGTATACAGTTTTTAGCACATTTTTTTCATTTTTTAACCCAGTAATTTACTATGGTCACAGCCCAGGTTGAAACGGGAGTCACTTCCCTGTGTCCATGGGTCCCCCTGCTCCGTGCAGTAGGACCGTGGGCTCTCGGGAGCTCCGAATCCCGTTAGCCCCTCCGCATATATGGAAAATGGGTAGGACGTGCTTCCAATTGGACACCTAGCCCAGAAAAGGAAGGTACAATCCCAGCAGATGTGAGGTTCTGAGGTTTGGCATAGGAGGTAGAGTGGTGAGGTTGGCGCCGGAGACTTGGCCCAGCAGCCATTTTGCGTGCTCCGCTGGAACTCTGAGATGAGTTGTCACCACGAGGTTCCTAAGGATTTTTCATAATAAAGAGATAATATATATAACGCAAGCTAGAAGGGGACCTCGTGGTTTTTCACACTGTGGATTCAGAACAGATTATACCGCAGTTGTTTTAACCACTGAGCACTTTTTCTCTTCTAGCTTGTGTTATATATATTATCTCTTTATTATGAAAAATCTTTAGAGACCCAGTATTTCATGTCATGACGAAATATATGAATTAGTAGTGTACTTTAGCGAGTTGGAGAGTTTATTCACTTTTGTTGATACATTTGGTTCAGTATGCTTGCAGCATTGGCAACATTGTATTCATTTCCTATTTGAGACAGTGTTACTTGATATGTTAGAGGAGAAGCCTCTATCGGATATTATTTGGAGGCTTATTCTTTCAGCATAGGTGTATTGCAAAACATTTTTTTGCACACACTATTGGTTGTTGGTCTCTGAAAACTTTTGAACAGAACCACACCATTAGCCTGTTTTTATTCTTTAGGAATGTTCTTTGGATAATTATTTTGACTTCATTTTAATAGTGAATTCACTATATACAGTCACTAGTTTTGTGACAATTTATTTTAGAGGATCATCAATAAAATTAAAATTTTAATTTATGGTCTATTACATTTTTAAAAGTATCCCCAGCAGGGACCGAAAACCCCCCGCCGGTAAAAAGGATGGGGCAGCATGGCTTCTCTGGTGCGAACGTGTCCCCTGTATGGGGATCGGCCACCTCCACCAGGCTCCAGGCCCCTCATAGAACTAGGCTGCATGGCCGGACTAGGCATTTTTGCAGCGTACCAGCTGGAAATGGGTATCCCCATTGTCTCTGATGGTTTCTTCTCAGTCCTCTGGGCACCCAGAGCTGCTTCCAGTGCTGGTTTGGTCAGAAAAAGCCTTGTTTTTGCTCAGTAAAGAGAATGGATTCCATATTATCACAAATATGTGTAGATCACATATGAAATATAAAGGACGAAAGTTAACCTATATTATAAAGTATGCATTGAGACAAATAGTTAGAGTCTACACTGTTATCATTTCAAGTGGAGTTTAAAAGAACTTAAGACACAGCATATGTACAAAGATCTTGGCTAAATATAGTCACACATAATGCAGAACCTAGGACCATTTCTATTCATAAACAGGGCTATACATAGGACACGAGGTCACACATTTAGGCTGGAAGAAAGGAGATTTCATCTAAGGCAAAGAAAATGTTTTTTTACAGTAAGAACAATAAGGATATGGAATTCCCTGCCTGAAGAGGTGGTTTTGTCCGAGTCCATACAGATGTTTAAACTAAAATTGGATAAATACTTACAAAAACATAACATACATGGATATAATTTCTAATTAGTGGGGTGATAGCTGCTTGATCCAAGGAGACATCTGACTGCTATTTTGGGGTCAAGAAGGAATTTTTTCCTAGTTTGTGGCAAAATTGGAAGCGATTCAGACCAGGTTTTTTGCCTTCTTTTGGATCAACAGCAACAACATTTGTGAGGAAGGCTGAACTTGATGGACGCAAGTCTCTTTTCAGCTATGTAACTATGTAATTTCCTGGTCTATTTCTAATGTGCTTTGTCTGCAAATATATGGTGTGCTCACGCTACGCTTTCTGTGCACAGTTCTCTGATGTCTCCAAAAGTGGTAGAAAGTCATAACTGCGAGACCGGACATCGGACAGACAGAGACTGCCCCACCAAAATCGGGATGGTTGGGAGGCCTAGTGAATGTAGTCATACATATATACATACAAAAAATGTATTCCTCTCTGATACATTTAGTATTCTCATACTACAAGATGTCTATGAATTGCAAAATATAACTACATGACATAAGCTTATCTAAAAGAAAGGAAAACTGAACCATAGCATAATGGAATGGTATTCTGATACATATATATAAAAATTATATAAATAGATAATCATTGCTTTTGAACTCAGGTTTACAAATATACCTTACTATGATCAATGGTATGCATGCAGAATTGTAGCAGCAAATGCTGTGTTTTTCAACTGCACAAAACAACTAACTTCAATTTTGGTATCAGTCAAAGTTAATTCAAACTAAACAATGGCATAATAGCATACCTCCCAATTTCAAAGACACAGCCAGGTCCCTGACTTTCTCGGATCCTCAGTCAATGACCAAAGCGCTGAGTGGTCTGTCCACGGCTGACATGCATCATCAGCAGCTCCTGCACAGTATGCGCACTGGAGTCCCAATAACTATTCTGTTTTCTGTCCTTTCTCCTGTGAGGGGTATACCTGGTAATAAATATTACCTTAAATAAATAGAGTTGACACAAAAATGACAGAACAGATCAATTTAATTTATGGTCTATTACATTTTTTTTTGTTGCATTAACAACCAAACTTTACTTTAGAATTACCAGATTCAACATACTAACCTTTGACTTTATTAACTACTTCATAGCCGTTCATTTAACCTGACTACCTTTTAACACAGATGTATATAAAATGCGTCCTCTATTACCTTAACCTTAAGGATGACTGTACCCCTGTACAACAAATAAACATCACAACAAGTAGACACCATTGAAAGGAGTAAGAGTGTGGATTCCCCAGCATAGGTCCTGATCCAGATTCTTTTCAAGCAGCCTGTCCTGTTCTCTGCAGCTATTTAAATGAACATTATAGTGTTAGAGATACAAAAATATATTTCTAACAGTATAACTCTCACTTATTTCCAGTGCCAAGGTCCCTCGGCGCTGGCTCTGTCTCCACCTCTTCAGACTTCGGTGTAGAGGGGAAATAATTAAAGGACCACTATAGTGCCAGGAAAACATACTCGTTTTCCTGGCACCATAGTGCCCTGAGGGTGCCCCCACCCTCAGGGTCCCCCTCCCGCCCGGCTTTGGAAAGGGGTTAAAACTTACCTTTTTCCAGCGCTGGGCGGGGAGCTCTCCTCCTCCGATCTTCCTTCTCTCCTCCACGTCGGCTGAATGCGCATGCGCGGCAAGACCTGCGCGCGCATTCAGCCGGTCACATAGGAAAGCATTATCAATGCTTTCCTATGGACGCTGGCGTGCTCTCACTGTGATTTTCACAGTGAGAATCACGCAAGCGCCTCTAGCGGCTGTCAATGAGACAGCCACTAGAGGAAATAGGGGAAGGCTTAACCCACTGATAAACATAGCAGTTTCTCTGAAACTGCTATGTTTATGAAAAAATGGGTTAACCCTAGAAGGACCAAGAACCCAGACCACTTCATTAAGCTGAAGTGGTCTGGGTGCCTAGAGTGGTCCTTTAAGCCGTCCTAATTTGAAGACGCTGGATGTCCTCATGCAAAGTATGAGGACGTCCACTGTAATCTCCTTGAAACAGTAGGAAGTGCCTCTAGTGACTGTCTGGTCAATATACAAGACAGATACGTGTCCTTTTATAACTGCTCTGCTCTTAATATAACCAGGAACGTGCTATACAGATTCAGAACATATCTGATGCTTACCATAATTACATATGTTTGTTAAATACACATTTTGCAACTATTTCTATAAAACTGTCATCACTAGTTTTTCCAGCAGTCTGCCTTGGGGAGAATGCACTTATAGGCTGCTATTCAAGTGCGACAATGAGCAAAACACACCTGTCAACTTCAAATATCGTGGTTTATTAGACTAATCTGTACTTGAGAGAGCAACAGGTGGGGATCTGCAAACCATTGTTGTTGAAATGAATACATCATTATTATAATCCTTTGTATAAACAAGTCCTTAAAAAAATAATTATTCACATTAAACAATAAGGACTGCATATGACATTACTCCGTACCAAACCACACGCACTGTGTAGGAAGACTAATAGAGAGATATGGAAAGGCAGCAGGAGGTTAGGAAGGTCACTATGTGACTGAATTTATGTTGTAGGAAGGAGAGTGTGGGCTTTTTAGAGCACTGAGCTCATTTTGCACTTGGGTACAAGGTCTAAAGTTGAGGTGGATTTCATCTTAATGGAGGAGGGTTTTTTGTGCCTATAATTGCTAGAAGGTTAGAGGAGATTTTAAATCAGATCAGAAATGCCTCTCCCTCCCTGGTACACCCTGACTTGTAATATATTAGTTATATATTTGAGTAAATTTCTTTAGTTAACACCTTAAGGACTGTGGACATACTAGGTACGTCCGACAAAAACGGTCCTTAAGGTATGTCCGCGGTACTCCTTAGTACTTACCCGATCGCCGCAATTAGCCCGTCGGCGATTGGTGTTGCTCCCGGTCTGGGGGGGATTGCCTGACAGCCCAGACAGTCCCCCCTTGGCAAATTAGGCCCCCGCGGACCATGTGATCACTCTGAAAGAGCGGTCAAATGGCCGCAATAGGCGTCCATAGTGCTGCCTGCAGGGGGACTGCCTGAACTTACAGGCAGTCTCCCTGCATCTGTAGAATAAAAAAATATATATATTTGTAAATAAAGTGTTATTTTATATTAATATATACATATATTAAAATAAAAATACACTTGTAATTAAATTACACACACACACACACATATATATAATATATATAACTATATAAGTAAATGAAAATAAATACAAAATGTAAAAAAAAAAACAAATTTAAAAACAATTTTATATATATATATATATATATAAATATATACATATGTAATTTTATTCTAACTGTATTTTGATATTAATATATATTTATTTTAAAATACACTTAGAATGAAATTATATATATATCTATGTATATATGAATAAATAAAAATATTATGAAATATATATATATATATATATATATATATATATCCATATACAGAATTACATAACTAATTTTATAAATATACATGTAGACTTCAAATATATAAATATGTGTGTAGCAAACTGGGTCCTATACCAGAGTACGCCCCAGTTTCCTGGCGGGGGCTGATGGCTCACCTCCTGCCCAGGGATTATGGTCCCAGAAAATTCTTTAAGTACAATGGCTGGGATTAATGGGATTTTGAAGGGCACTACTGGCCCTTTAAGAGCCAGCCAAGGACATAGTATACTATTACAGAGACTTCGGACCATATACCTTATGCAGCAAAGGACATTGTGCTATCTACCAAAATTCGTTTCTTTTAATATATTTTCATGTATTCACCTGTATGCAGCATTCGTCTGATTGTTCAGTAGAATCACTCCAGTTATTATGAGAGTGAAACTACCGAACAGTCAGACCACCCCAGTAGTAAGTGTGCCTCCAATTACCGTTTGCAACAATGTTGCGAACGGGTAATTGGCCCTCCGTGTAGTGGGTTCTTTGTTCTCTGGGTGGCCGCCATTCGGGAGACGAACACGTGGCGGCGGCCATTTTAAACTCCCGAACAGCTGTGTTTTGCTGTCGAGTGTCTGGAACTCAAATCGGACACTCGGCTAGGCAAACACCGCTGAGACCTCCATACTGCCTTAAATTCGTATAGAAACTACCGAACGGCCACCCGTTCGGTAGAAAGAAACATCCGAACAAGGGGATTTATGCAAACTCCCCCTAGTCTCCATAGCATAAGTCATTCATGTGTTTCATTCCCTTTTCTGTGACCGACCGCAGGGCCAAAATACATGGAACCCTTTTCGGCTGTTAAACCCAGTGCGGTCGGTCTTTTTAGTACTTCCATAAATTTCCCAAACCCCTGGTCCGATCTGGGTGATTTTTGGATATGTCTCTCACCCAGATCAGGGCTACCAGGGGATGTAACATTTAAAGGGGTACCCCTATGTTTAGGGGTACATCCAGAAACCCAGGGAATTTGTGTCTTGTATAATGGGATTATGTGTCACACTAAAGGGAGGGGATGTGTGGGTGGCAACTTGTATATGATTGGCTACTGCAATGATTATTGTAAATTCGTCCCTTACATGGGAGAATGCTTTATAAGGAAGTTGTGTGGATTAAAAGTCAGTTCTACTCCTGATACTGTGTGTCGTCCAGTGATTGGGAAAGGTGATGGGATATTATTGGATTTTATTGCTGATGGTGATTACTATGCTGTTCGGTTATTCTCTCGGTGTGGATATTGTGCCTGGGATTATTGCTGATTCCTGAGCCACACCTGGACTACCAGCGGAAATAGTCTGTGAGAGACCAGCGTTCCGTTACAATGTGAATATATTTAAATTCTACGTGCATGTTTATGTAATATTTTTACATAATTAAGTAATTTTATTGATTGCAATTTGAGGGACCTGTCTGACAACCCAGGCTGAAAGTCCAGAGAATTTAATTTGTTAGCACTGAATTTAATCCTATAATTTGCCATGACACCCTAAAACCTGTACATGGGGGGTAGTGTTTTACTCGGGAGACTTCACTGAACACAGATATTAGTGTTTTAAAACAGTAAAACATATTACAGCAATTATATTTTGGTATAACTCCCAGATTATATGAATAATCTCTAGGCTAATTTTCAGAGCATTTCTAAGTTTGCTCTAAACTATGAAGGCAGGATACATCAATCAGATGTGCATATATCTGTGCTCGGTCCCCTCAGAAGATGTTTGTAGTTCTCTGTAGAATCAGTCAGGAACCAGGAAGCCAGATGAGAAGATAAACACTTTTATTTATACAGAATAAAAAATAATAAAAGGATAAATAGCACAACGCGTTTCGACCCAATGCAATGGGTCTTCCTCAGGTGCATATGTAGTTACAACTGCATCCGTTTTCATTTATATATGGCAAACATCTAAAAAAAAACAATTACAGGTGTGTAACAATAATCCCTCCTTCTCTTCCTTATATGGAGTATTTCCGGCTTCTTTCTTATATTGTTGTATGTGCAAGAAGCCATTTTAAATCAGCGCACATGTAAATATATAATATATTTTTCTGACCCCCAGTAATCCCAGTGTCTGCTTGGGGTCTGATTAACCCCTTAGTGACCTACCGTTTTTCAATTTTCTTACTCTTAAGGGCTGTTATTACATTTCTGCAGTGTTTGCGTTTAGCTGTAATTTTCCTCTTACTCATTTACTGTACCCACACATATTATATACAAATTTTGTATTAAATGGTCTTTCTAAAGTTACCATTATTTTCATCATATCATATAATTTACTATAAAGAATTATAAAATATGATGAATTTCTTTTTTCAAAATCCCATTAATCCCAGCCATTGTACTTAAAGAATTTTCTGGCAAAAGTTATAGTGCTTAATTCGATCTGAGAAAGGTCATATTACAAATAGTATTAAATGGCTTAACGAAAAAAGAGGTCTATGATCACAGAAAATTAAAGTTAAATAGACTGTAGGAAAATCTTAGGAGCGGGTTGTCAGTGAGCTAAATATCAGTGACCCATAAACAGAAGTGATAGTAGTGTAAATAGTAGATAGAGTGCCACTGATACATGCATATACAGGGGGAGAAAAAAACCCACAACCAATTGTATATAGAGTATTATCACTTATAAGACAAAGTAAGTACTATTTGTCTTATGGAGGTTTACTACGCCTGACCATCTCTGACCAGCGGAGGAGCAAAGTGTGCTTCATTTCCGGTGGTCAGAGAAATTTCTAAGCTTTCCTCCCTGTTCCCGCGATGCTTCTTGTCAGTATTCCTGAACAGGACGCCGGCGGAACTCCCAAATTGCATCCTAACACAATGAGAACAGTTTGTTCATTCATGTTAGGACACAATTCGGGACTTTGTTCGTATCGGAATTTAATTCTAATAAATGAAATTCCGATCCTATTCCTGCCGCGGCTGCATCTTGGTCAGAGACACTTTCCCACAATTTTTAGCTTTCCTCCGTGATCTCGTGACGCCTGCTTTCCGTATTCCCGAACGCCGGCAAAATACAGAATTTCGCCCTAACAGAATGAGAGCAGTTTGTCCATTCGTGTTATGACGAAATTCAGGACTTTTTTTCGGTTCGAAATGTCATTTGAATGAAATTACGATCCGATTGCGGCTGCATCATGCAGCCGCTTAGTAGATAGCTCCCTAATTCCCACAGTATTAAGGAGTTATCTACCAATAGGCTGAAAGACCAAGCTTGGTCTTTCAGCCAACTTTACTAATACCAAGTAAACATTTTACTTGTTATTAGTAATTAATATGCCCCTACTCGCTATATTGCTCTATTAAAAAAAGAAAGCAACCAATCAGAGAGTTATGAGTCAAATTACACAGCATGGGAAAAGTCCAAAGAAATTTCCCACGCTGTGTAAAATGACTCCGAGCACTCTGATTGGTTGGATTTCAAGCCAACCAATCAGAGTGCTGTGACAGGTAAATGTAGAGACTTACCTGTCAGTCTCTTCATTTACCTGTCAGAGCACTCTGATTGGTTGGCTTAACCCTCGTTGGCTGGTCACCACAACAGCTGGTACAGGCTTGTCATAACGCAGAGTTTAACAGATGTGTTGCATTGGATAACAGTGCACTTTTTTATATAGTATGTAGCGCTTGAGGTATAGAAACAAGCTAAGTCTATAGTGGCTTTGGTGCGTGAAGCTATCACACGCTAAGGTTGTGTAAACTTGCCGCCACTGATAGTATAAATGAAGTCGTTATGGACCGCGTGGGTTCACTTGCTTCTATAAAACATGCATGGGGTTGCAGCCGTTAGCAGACAATATGGGGGCAGATTCCAGCTCCTCTGTACCTTCTTTGTGGTATAATCGAAACTAATGCTGAGGTTACTGCTTATTGGGGAGTAAGACTATAGCCCGGGGTATGTGTTCTATCTCACGCTATACGGCCCCTAACCAAAGAGGGCCACGTTGCATATGGCACTGAACAGAATGCTCGCCAAAGCAAGGGGACCCACATTGTGGTGTATGTATGTCTGACAAGGTAACATTGCATCAGAAACACAAGTGAGGTAAAGAAAAGGAAACAAGATAAATCAAACATAATTGCATGACACTTAAAACAAGCACAATTGCATGATAGAACAGCATAACTTGGGAGATGCCACATTGTTAGAGTGTAATTCGGGTAGGTGCCCCTAGCCTTTCTCCTCTACGTTGTGCGAACGGGACAGTCTTTGCAGGGTCCCACTTATGTTACGTGGAGGGTTCCGCTGTAGGTGCCGGCTGTGGTGGGAGTCCCAGAGCTTGCAGAAAGGAGGCAGCTTCTGACAGGGAGGGGAGTCTAAGTTTGGCATCATTTTTAACCACCATCAGAGACCTAGGTATGCCCCTTCTATACGCCACTGTACGTAGTTGATTGGTGATCGGGCCTAAGGATCTTCTCCATTGCAGCGTGTTTTTGTTTAAATCCTGGAAGAGCGTGATACAGGATGACTCGAAGTCGAGCGGGTTTTGTTTTTCATCGATGTCATTATTAGTTTTTGTGTCGGAAATAGAGTATCAGCATATGATCACGTCTCAGGTGGCTGTAGATTGTGCCTGTGCAGGCTTGTTGACCCGAAAGCAGTTATCAAAAGTTAGCTTTTTGGCCTGTGTGTGTGGCAAGATAGTGGTTAACAGGCATCGGAGGTAGTGGGGTAGTTCCACCAGGCTGATGTCGTTTAGATTATCTCTCTGGTTGCGATCTTCTGCAAGATCTAGCTTAGTGAGCATCATAGCGTGGGAGGTTTGTAGTTGGAGTAAAGATTCTTTGAGTACCTCCTGTCTCATGACCGTGACATCCTCCTCGGAGGCCTGTATCCGGGCTGTCACCATCTAAACGTCAGTGCGTAGCAGGTCCACATCAGTTGCGAACATCTGTCTCATCTCCAACATGATATTGCGGTTATCTTCTTTCGTGGCGAGATTCCACGTGTCCCTGTCCGACGATGTTGCAGAGAGTGCCATGGGTGTTGCGGGTTCTGCCATTGTCTCCGGTGTTAAATCGGATCATGTGGAGCAGGCCTCTGGGTCTGGGGGATAGCAGGTCCTCAATATCACGGGTGTTTCCACCTGCTTGTGGTTTTTGGAATCGTCAGCCCATTGGGTCAGTGCTGCGTAGTTGATTCTTGTTAGGCAGAGGGCGCAATGCCTCCAGGATCGTCGGCGAGTTCTCCTGCCTGTCGCATTGTACAGGAATGGCATGTGCCGGTAGCCCGCTTCTTCAGGGAGAGGAGGTATGTTGTCTCTTTTTCAGTTTTCTATGAAAATCAAGATTTTTTTGTGGTTTTGTGCCCATGTCGCCGGAGTTCATGAGAATGGCATCCGAGCTGTTCAAGTGTCAGGCTCCGCCCCCCCAAAAAGAGAATACATCAAATGACAGTAAAACCAAACAAAAAAAATCAAAACACTTTTTACACTAAACCTCTAACCTCTACAGTTAGATGACCATTAAACATTCCACATGCTGAATATTCCTTCACCTGCATTAAAACATTAATTAATTTATACACAACATGCAATTTGTTTTTTCATGTTTCTCATTGTGCATTCCATTCTATATGTGGTTAATTAGTGAAGTGCTTTTTCTGATTATTCTAATATTAGCTGTAGTGTAAGGGTACACACATGATGACAATCAAATCATTTGTTATGCTTTGCTCTTGCCTGCTGTGTTATTTATGGAGAGTATTGGTGTATCCCTTTAAGATGTATTTCAGGATTTTAATGACTCATTTTCCTCCAATAAAGAAAAGTACAATAAAACGTTTTCAACTAATAAGGTCATCAGTCTTAGATTTTTACAGTGTTATAGAGGAGCGGTTATGTGTGTTTGTTGAGCACAGTCAATATCTCATTAAAATTATTCTATTAATACAAATTCCATCACATACCTATTGCACAGGCACAGCATGGTACCTTTAATTTAATTTCCCATGATTGCCTGCCTGTTACAGATGGGCACACCTGTGTATGCAAGGATTAATGGGAACAAGATAGCCTGGATGAAGATCCAAGATGGCAGTGTCTACTCTCTTCGAGTGGATGAGTTAAATATGGTTTTCTTATACCTGTTGCATATTTCAGTTCGATAATGTTTATAGAAAAACTAAAGTTTCTTTTTAAATTTTATTATTATTTTTAAGTCTCTCATACTTGTGTTTAAAGCATTTAAAAAAAAATAAAAAAAAAATATATATATATATACATATATGTATATATATATGTATATATATATAAATAATATATGCCAGTTCAGCGTTTTCTCATGACTCTCTCTATTCTCTGGCAGAATTATCTGATAGCAATGAATTATCATCTCGTCGTGAATCTCAGACGTCACTGAACTCCACCACGAGTCTGGACCATAATTTGATTTCTTCCCTATCAAGCAAATTTGAGGTACCAACCAGACAGTTCTATTTGTCACAACACAATTTATGTTATGCTTGCCTTCAGCTCTGGTGAATGCCTCCATGGCCAACTGTTATTATAACCATAACGCTGGGAAATATAGCCTTATTCCAAAACATCCCAGGTCAACGTTTAAAAGAACCAAAAAAATTCCCGAGGGTGCTTGCTATGCGGTGATAGAATGGAGAGATGAAGAATTTGTTGATCTACACTATAGAAAAACATAAACCTTTAAACTGAAGAGTCCTCCTTGTAGTTTATCACATACAGCGTGTATGTGAAAGGCGTGATTGCCATTTCATTTCTGTAATCTCCAGGGGTGAATTTACAAGCCTATCCATCTTGCTTGGCTCAATGGCCTTCCTTAGGGGTGGCCCAGACAGGAAAAGGTTATCTGGAGGTAGTAATTTCAAAAACCTTATTTTGTCTAGATCTATTGATGGCATTACTAAATTCCAAACATTCCCATGTTACCCCCACGAGAGACGCTTTACTCCTCATTTACAGAGTCTGTACTTCTACTAGAACGTGTGTATCAAGTAGATGGAAAACCTCATTGCCTTATTTAGAATACCTCCACAGCAGGATTAAATTTATAAAGAATATGGAATACCTTACGCTAGGTAGCAGGACCCAGTACAGAAATACAATATGGGCCCCTAGTTGTGCTACAACATTCCAGCTCCACAGCGACATTTTAGATGGACGGGATATTGAAAACAAAAATGTATTTATAAAATATTTTACCAGGAATGTTCAATTGAGATTTCTCTCGTTTTCAGATATGTTTAACATCTGACTGTTTTTTTTACCTGGCCACCCCTTGGGGCTCTGATATCCCACATGTTACCCATCCTCTTTCTCTCTGTCCACTCCTTCCTGCTCTTTTTTTCTCTAGTTTTTTTTTTAGTATCTTGAAACCTTTAAAAATAATTTAAAAAAATGTGATTTTAAGGTATTTCTTTGTTGACATAGAGTTACACTATCAGTTACATTTAAAATCTTGGCACAGAGTACCTGAACTGAAAGCATAGCTGACTTAGAAAAATTTTCCATTTCAGAAATATTATTTGTTTTAATTTGAAATTCACTTTGAATTCTCAATTTAGTGAATAACCTGTATATGTTTATTATATTAATTGTTGTGGGTAATGCTAATTTTCCCCTCTGCGTTTTACTTTTAGAATGACAGTGCAAGCTTGGGAAGTATAGAACATGATAGTGAAGCCAAGCCAATGAAATATTGCTGTGTCTATCTGCCTGATGGCACTGCCTCACTTGCAGCAGTGAAACCAGGCTTAACCATCCGGGACATGCTTGCTGGGATCTGTGAAAAACGAGGTTACTGTGTTACAGATGTGAAGGTCTACTTGTCTGGAAATGAACAGGTATTGATTCCTATATCAGGGGTAGGCAAGCTTCGACACTCCAGACATTGTGTATTGCATATCCTAAGAGGCTTTTCCACACATAATGCTGGCAAAGCATCAGGAAAGGTGTAGTCCACAAACCCCGGAGTGACTACCCCTGCCCTATATAATATAACCTTACCTTATACTACTGCAACATATATACATTTCAGAGTCTCCATGCTCATTTGTTTTTTGTTTTTGTTTTTTCTTATACATTATGGCCAATGATTTGTGTATTTCCAATAGCATATGAAGGATTAGGCTTGGTATTAACATCAAAGGTAGCTGATTTTCACACACAGAATGTTTCTGTCTCGCAATCAGCTTTTCTCAAGCCAGAGAAGGGATCTTTGAGAGTGAAACCATCAGGACTCCATATGGAATTCAACCGATGAGTTTGACCTCTCCAGACTGTTCGGCACCAGTATTTAAAAAAGACAAATCTCTATGTTTGTTGATCTATTGTCTATCTCCAATGACATGCTTTAAGTATTTGTAGTAGATAAGAATCTCTGAAACATTATACCACTGCCACAATCTCTCTAGACCTATCTGTCTAGTTATGCATGTGACATACAACATTACACTAAACCTCTACTAAAACTCTTAAGGTATTTGTTTTTAATATATATATATATATATATATATATATATATATATATATATATATACACACACACATATACACATATATATATACACACACACACACACACACACACACACATACATATATATATATACACATACATATATATATATATTTCATATTTCTCAATACAATTAAAAGGTTTATTTCCTGCCGCTCAGTCATACTAACGAGCTTAGTGCATTATTAAGAATAGCCCTTTGCAAAAAAACAGAAAGATACTGGCAAAAAAAACCCACAAGTTTAAAAACAAATTCAGGAAAGCCAATCAAGCCACTACATTAAATGCTAAATAGATATAACTGCTACATCAGCTGGTACTGGGCATTTACGGAGTAATAAGAGCGGCTTTTCCTCCACTGCATATATTTAGATGGACTTCCAGTCAGTTTACCACCCAATAAGAAAGGAGGATTGACGGGGGCGGGGCCTGGCCGCCGAGCTGAGTGGACATGGGGCGCCTCAGCTCCCTGACAAACCCGCAATAACCAGCCTCAAAATGCCCCTACTCGCCTGGAAAACCCTCAGCTGCTGTGAGAGGGCAAAGGGGACCCGACCACCAACCTTTGGGGCAAGTACCAGCCCCCACTCCGCTGGCGATGCGGTCTGGTGGGCGAGTGGGATTGCGGCCTGCTGTGAGGCCCTGGCGGGAGAAGCGGCCGATCTCCCGTGCTTGGTCCGGCGGGACCTCCCACCGCCTGCTAAGGGCCCCGTTACCCCCCCCCCTGTGGGCCGGGGGGGTTATCCCGGACCCCACCGGGGACGAAGCGCTCGTTCAGGGCATACAGGCTGAAGGAGGACTGACTGGGGACCGCATGGAAAATCCAAGATGGCTGCCGCGATCATTGTGAGTCGGAGAAGTGAGGGGGAAGTACCAAAGCAACGGCAGACAGACTGAGTGCTCCTTCCACCCACAGGATACCAGCATGAGGGGTATACTCCACAAGCAAGCCCAGCTCAGCATAATAACCCTCACACCAACAGAGGCATCACCTCCCATTAATACCAGTGGATATAACTGACTCTGCCTGAGTACAAGGTAACAATGAGAATGGGGGACAAGCTTCACTCCACTGCTAACTGTCAAGCCCCTGCACACTAAAACATCCAGCTACAAGCACAGATCTAGCACAGCTGCAAGAGAGATCAAGGCTTCCAACCACATATGCCTACAGAGATAACCAGGGCCGGACTGGGAAAAAAATTCAGCCCGGGCATTTTTTTATCACAGCGGCCCACTAAGAAGGGGGCGGGGCAGAGAGGGTGTGTTTTGTCATCACTCATGAAAACACGCCCCCTCTCAAAGTGAGCATGTTGGTTCAATGCTCTTCCAGGGCAGACCATGCGCAGAGCTCTGCTGAAGAGCTCTAGCATGAGAAAAAAGCCCTGTATTTGTTCTGCACAGTGCAAGCAAATTTAATAACATGCTTGCACTGTTTCCTTGCAACTTGTCTCTGGTGTCTCTATAAATGGATACCAGGAGACAAAAGGGCCAGGAAAGAGTATTGTGCATGTGTTTGGAGCCTGTTTGTGGTATTACGTTTGTGCAGAGTGAGCTGGTCATGGTGTGGTATTGTGTAATAAGGTCTGTTTTAGTCGTGTTGTGTTTGTGGTGTAATGTAATGCATATGTGGCTAGGGGCTGTAGAGAATGTGTGTATAGGGGATGTAGCAAGTGTGTGCATACAGGCTATAGTGTGTGTGTGTATAGGTGATTTAGTGTTTGTAGAGAGTGTGTGTTCAGGGAATGTAGTATGTGTTTGCTTACAAGGAATCTAGTGTGCATATAGGGGATCCAGAGTGTGTGTGTGTATATGATCCAGAGTTGGCTAAAGGATCTAGTGTGTGTCTGGAATGTAATGTGTTTAGGGGTGCAGTGTGTGTGTGAGGGGTGTTGTGTGTATGTGTATATATATATATATATATATATATAGTTTATATAAATATGTTTGGAAGTATTGTGTATGTGTGTGATGCAGTGTATTGGGGGTTGTGTGTGTATGTGAGGGGTGCAGTATGTGTGTGTGAGGTGTGATGTGTGTGAGGGTGCTGTGTGTGTGAGGGTGCTGTGTATGATGTGTGTGAGAGTGTTGTGTGTGTGATGTGTGTGAGTGCTGAGTGTGATAGTGCTGTGTATGATGTGTGATGTGTGTGAGAGTGATGTGTGAGAGTGCTGTGTGTGAGTGTTGTGTGTTATGTGTGTGAGTGCTGAGTGTGATAGTGCTGTGTATGAGTGTTGAGTGTGATAGTGCTGTGTATGAGTGTTGAGTGTGATAGTGCTGTGTATGATGTGTGTGAGTGCTGAGTGTGATGTGTGTGAGAGTGATGTGCCTGAGTGCTGAGTGCTGTGTGTGAGAGTGCTGAGTGTGAAAGTGCTGTGTGTGAAAGTGCTATGATGTGTGTGAGAGTGCTGCGATGTGTGAGATTGCTGTGTATGCTGTGTGTGAGAGTGCTATGATGTGTGTGAGAGTGCTATGATGTGTGTGAGAGTGCTGCGATGTGTGAGATTGCTGTGTATGATGTGTGTGAGAGTGCTGTGTGTGAGAGTGCTATGATGTGTGTGAGAGTGCTGCGATGTGTGAGATTGCTGTGTATGATGTGTGTGAGAGTGCTGTGTGTGAGAGTGCTATGATGTGTGTGAGAGTGATGTGTGTGAGAGTGCTATGATGTGTGTGAGAGTGCTGCGTGTGATGTGTGTGAGAGTGCTATGATGTGTGAGAGTGCTGCGCTGTGTGTGAGAGTGCTGTGTGTGAGTGTTGTGTGTTGTGAGTGCTGGGTGTGATAGTGCTGTGTGTGATGTGTGTGAGAGTGCTGCGTGTGATGTGTGTGAGAGTGCTGAGTGTGAAAGTGCTGTGTGTGAGAGTGCTATGATGTGTGTGAGAGTGCTGTGTGTGAAAGTGCTATGATGTGTGTGAAAGTGCTATGATGTGTGTGAGAGTGCTATGATGTGTGTGAGAGTGCTGCGATGTGTGAGATTGCTGTGTATGATGTGTGTGAGAGTGCTGTGTGTGAGATTGCTGTGTATGATGTGTGTGAGAGTGCTGTGTGTGAGAGTGCTATGATGTGTGTGAGAGTGCTGCGTGTGATGTGTGTGAGAGTGCTGCGTGTGCTGTGTGTGAGAGTGCTGATGTGTGAGAGTGCTATGATGTGTGTGAGAGTGCTGAGTGTGTGAAAGTGCTGATGTGTGAGAGTGCTGTGTGTGAGTGCTGGGTGTGATGTGTGTGAGAGTGTTGTGTGAGTGCTGAGAATGCTGAGTGTGATAGTGCTGTGTATAAATGTTGTGTGTTGGGGGGTAAATAAACAAATAAAAAACTAAGCAAAAAAAAAAACTAAACCCCCCCCCCCTCCCTTCTTACCTTTAACCTGGGAGGGGGGGACATGCACGTGGTAGCTGGGAGGGGGGGCACCGGCACTCGCACACCATCCCTGGTGGTCCAGTGGTGAGTGAACTCTCTCGCGAGATCGGGGCGTTGCCATGGCAACGCTCCGGATCTCGCGAGAGAAACCCGGCGGAGCTGCAAGACAGAGCTCCGCCGGGTCCTCTCCCTCCCTCCCCAGCCGCAGGTCTATTTAAATGGGCCGGTGAGGGAGATCTTTGATCTCCCCATCGGCCCTCCATGGAAGACAGCGGGGCCGGCGCTCGGATAGTGCCGGCCCTGCATAGACCGGCAGGGGAGATCCTGGGACCTCCCCTGCCGGCCTCGGCCCCACGGACACCGCGGCCCACCGGGCATTTGCCCGCTGTGCCCGATGGCCAGTCCGGGCCTGGAGATAACAGACTATGGTGTACCTCTTAATCCAGCACCCCATCCACAATTTTAATGTGTGTCTTCTGCATCGGACTCTCTTCCTGCAGTTAGAAAGTAATCCAAATGTCTGAGCCTGCATGTGTGTCCGACGCTCTGCTGCCCCCTGGTGGTTAAACCTAATTAAGCTTAAAGAAATCTGTTCTTGATGATAACCTTAGCTTCTGTTTTAATGTCAAAAATATGCTCACTGTTTTGTTTCCCACATATATGCCTAGCACAAATGCCGATTTAGACAGGTTAAGCATCAACTATCTCGCTGTATTTTATGTAACTTCACGCTAACAATTTAACTGTTTAGCCAAGCTTGCTAAAAATATAAAATTGTGCAGACTCTCATGCCACTGTTTAACCATTGTATATCTTGCAATACGCTGTTGTGGCGTCTGTTGATTCCTTGTACCCACCTGCACAGCAAAAATAAAGAATTACAAAGAAAGGAGGATTGAAAGGAACAGAAACAATCCACAGCAAGAGATCTCAAATAGTAGAAACATGTATTATTCAATAAAAATACATGGTAGGCAAAAATAGGAGAGCACAAACCCATATGTACAAAAACCAGAATACTCCTAATGCAGTTAACGCCTTGTGTGGTACTTACCCATAGAGTAAGAGTCTATTGAGGTTTTTCACCTGGACTGCAATATCTAGACATTGAACACGCTATTCAACAATGTCCTGATCCGAACTGGCCCTTAAATCTGTACCGAACACTACCAGATGGATGAAATCCAGACCCGAATGCTTCAAATCTTCCCACTGGCAGGACCAGCAGCCAAATAATTAAAAACCTTTGGCAGCGCAAGGATTTGGGGAGGGCAAAGTCTTTAAAATAAATCATGGAGGTAGATAGATCACTACGCTTTTGCTCGTAAGCAAAACACATTTTAAGGAGTTTGTGGTTTTATAGATAAGTAATGCATGTTTCCAATTGTAGGAACTTAAAACATGAAAAAACATTGCTTGCGGTTTAATTAACGAATACAGGAATTTAGAAAATATTCTGGGCCCAGTACATCTGTACTGTATGTAATATGTATTATTAGTCCATGTAAGGGCTTTTTCTAGCATTTCTGTGCCATACTTTTTTGTCACTGTGTCATTTACCTAAACATTGGCAAAGATCCATTTAGCAACATGTATTGTCATAAATTGACCACTAGGTGGGGCTGTGTCACTATTATGGAAACCATCAAGGACTATTTATATATAAGTGACATTTACCTTTTTTTCAGTTGCCAGCAGTTGAACTGCACATTCCTGAAATGAAAAGGTTAAAAATTATAAGGAAAAAGGCATAAATGTTCTTAAAAGGGTAAAAGGATAAAACAGACGCTTAAATACGCTATTGTGTTCATAAGCAAAACACTCTTTGAGGAATTTGTAGTTTTCTAGGTATGCAATGCTTGGTTCCAATTGTGGAAGCAAATACAAATACACAAAAAAAAAAAAACAACAAAACACTGCTTGTTGTATAATACACAAATACACGTGAATAAAGAAAATATTCTGGGCCAGCACAATGCCCAGTGCATTTATTTATAACAGTAATATGAGTTTGTCCATGTCAGAGCTCATTCTATCATTTCTATGCTATAAAATATTTTTAAACCTACTAGTTCAGTGTCTCTTAACCTTTTGACATTCTTCAAATTGTGTACTCAACCCAGTGACCCATTCTTTCACTGTAATAGAACATGTACCAAACCCTTTCATTACACTATGCCTGGTGTCAGAGGGATCTATACTGCCCTGAGGAAGGCATAATCTCTGCATTTAGCTATGTATTATAAGCTGTTGCCTAGGGCCTGATGAATTTGAGATGCTTTTCACAGCCATGGGGGCACCTTAGTACTACACTATCAGCCTTTATACATGTTCTCCCTGTAAACTGAACCATGCACTTATTTATCACTAAACAAACTACACATTTTCACCTCTTCTGAGTGTTCTGAGCTCAAGCTCAATGATTGACATCATTGGGAAATTTTCGTATTATGGCCTCAATTTTAATATATTTGGATAAATTTTTTAAATGATTTAATATTTTTTGGAAAAACTATTAACATATCCAAGAATTATCATATATATAAAGAAAAATATTGAAATATCAAAAAAACTAATTGTTTTTTCAACATATTAAATAATTTTAAAAAGCTCATCCAAAAATATAAAATCAAGGTCTATGTTTGCCATCGATTTTACCATATGTACATTTAGTTTATTCAATAGACTGGAAATGTGGAAAACTGAATATTTAGGGCAATATACTAGGGCAAGAAAAATAGCAGATTTGGAGAATTTTCCCACTTTTTCCAGTTTTACCTAAAATTTTCAAGTTCTTGTTAATTCTCTACAATTCCTAGTTTAGTGACTAAACTCTTGGTTTTGTTTGCTAAATCTATTTAGGGCTATTCACAAAACTATGAATTTTACTGGATTGAATCCATATGTCCAAACCACTTACAAGGCTATTCATCAAAATTAGAATTGTCAGGAATTTAAACGACCACTATATTATATAATTTAAAGGACCACTATATAGTGTTAATAGGTCCCCCCCACCCTCATGGCCCCCCTCCTGCCGGGCTGAAGCGGGAGGAAGGGGTTAAGATCTTACCTTTCTCCAGTGCCGGGCTCCCTCCGTGCTGGTGACTCTCCTCCTCCTTCCGACGTCATTGCTGAATGCGCATGCGCGGCAAGAGCCGCGTGCGCATTTAGTCAGTCCATAAGAAAGCATTCTCAATGCTTTCCTATGGACGCAGGCGTCTTCTTACTGTGAAAAATCACAGTTAGAGGCGCGGAAGCGCCTCTAGCGGCTGTCAATGAGACAGCCACTAGAGGCTGGATTAACCCATATGTAAACATAGCAGTTTCTCTGAAACTGCTATGTTTACAGCAGGCAGGGTTAACCCTAGATGGACCTGGCACCCAGACCACTTCATTAAGCTGAAGTGGTCTGTGTGCCTATAGTGGTCCTTTAAGGCCAACTGAAATCATTTAGGGACGCTATAGTCACCAAAACAATTTGAACTTAATGAAGCTGTTTTGGTGTATAGATTATGCCTCTGAAGTCTCACTGCTCAATTCACTACCATTCCGGAGTTAAATGACTTCTGTGTCTATCTTTGCATCCCTAGCCACACCTATCCTGGCTGTGACTGACACAGCATGCATGAAAACAAAATGGTTTCATTTTCAGTCTTTTTTAATTTACTTTAAAAGTTTCTATCTCCTGCTCTGTAAATTTGACTTTAATTACTTACACAAGACTTCTGTGGGGTCTATCAAGCTATTAACAGAGCAAGAGCTAAAACATCCAAAATTAAACATAATTTGCAATAAGGGAAGTGTAAACATTAGATTACTCTTTACAGGAAGTGTTTAGGAAGGCTGTGTAAGTCACATGCAGGGAGGTGTGAATAGAGCTGAATAAACAAAGTGCTAAATGACAGAGAATTAAGCAGTTAAACTGCAGGGCATGATCTATACACCAAAACTGCTTTAGATAAAGTTGTTTTGGTGACTGGAAGAATCCTCCAAGGCAACTATGCTTCCTGGTAGGCTACTTTGTCTGTTAGTTTTAATTCCTGATTATTTTCACTTTAGTGAAGATTTCTGTGAGGCTAAAATAGTAAACTGGGGAGTCTGACTACCAAAGCGAACAGTCGCATGCTCGTTAATCTCCAGAAAACGAGGGCCCTAATTGACACATTCCTGCCTTTTATACCAGTTTAACTGGCACCAGGGGTTCCTAAAGCTTGTCTGGACCTCAGGGGAAGAAAATGAAAAAATTAAGGCCTTATAAACCCCGAATGGAGATAAATACCGGGGACATGTGGCGGCAGGCAAACAGCACTGTTGCGTCCAAGATGGCGTCCCTCACTAGGGACTGCTCGGATCTCTCTGATGACCTGTCCAACGAGGCAGACGAGGGGTACTTACCCACACCAGCAGTCACGCCACTGACTCCACGGCCGAATCCGGACTCTGCTCCAGTGACAACAGAGGTCCTGAAGGAGCTCCTAGCGGACCTGCAACAGAATTTAATTGTTGACATGGCCACCATACGTAGGGATTTACAGGGCCTGACAGGCCGCCTTGGAGCACTAGAAGCGGCATCCAACACAGGCACAAAGCAAATCACATCCCTGCAACAAGCGGTGCACGAATTGCAGCAACAATTCTATGGATGACTTAGTCTAGGAAGGTGTTTTCCCTGGTAGACGACAACGGCGAGTGCCAGATATGTCAGCCCCTTACTAGGGGAAATGTGTTCCATAAATGACTGGGACCAGGGGCGTATTAGCCGCGAGGCAAACAAGGCATTTGCCTTGGGCGGCATTTTTCAGGGGGCGGCCCAAAACCAGGATACACCACTGACTGGGACCCAGTGGCGGATCCAGAGCCTGATCTCGGGAGGGGCACTTGTAGATTATTTAAAGAAATAATCCAGACACAATAACAACTACAGCTCAGTGTAGTGGTTATGATGTCAATAGTGCCGGGACCCCCTCCCAGAGTAAGTTTGACAACTTACCTGAGGTCTGCTGGGAAATGGGGCAGTAGTAGGGCATAGGAGCAGTGGTGTGTGTGAGTGGTGCAGTGTGTGTGTGTGTGAGGGGGACAGTGTGTGCGCAGTGTGTGTGTGAGGGCGGCAGTGTATGTGTGGGACAGTATGTGTGTGTAACAGTTGCAGTGTGTGTGTGAGTATTGCAGTGTATGGGGCGGCAGTGTATGGGGCAGTGTGTGTATCGGGTAGTGTATGTGTGTAGAGTGTGTGTAGGGGGGCAGTGTGTGTATGGGGCAGTGTATGTGTGTAGAGTGTGTGTATGGGGGCAGGGCAGTGTGTGTGTATGGGGGACAGTGTGTGTATCGGGTAGTGTATGTGTGTAGAGTGTGTGTATGGGGGGCAGTGTGGGTGTATGGGGGGACAGTATAGGGCAATGTGTGTGTATGGGGGGGCAGTGTGTGTGCATGGGGGGCAATGTGTGGCCAATGACAATGTATGGGGGCTGTATGTATATGGGTGTATAGGGGGCAATGTGTGTGTATATAGGGGGCAGTATAGGTGTGTCAGTATAGGGTGTATGGGGGAGACAGTATAGGGGGCAATGTGTGTGTATGGGGGGGCAGTATATAGATTTGTATGGGGGGCAATGTGTGTATGAGGCAGTATGGGGGCAATGTGTGTGTATGGGGGGCAATGTGTGTGTGTATGGGGGGGCAGTATGGGTGTATGGGGGGGGGGCAATGTGTGTGTGTATAGGGGGCAGTATGGGTGTATAGAGGGGTAGTATGGGGGCAGTAGCCATAGAGCAGAAGGTAACTAGGGGCAATGTGTGTGTATAGGGGGGCAGTATGTGTATGTAGGGGGCAGTATGGGGGGGCAATGTGTGTATAGGGGGCAGTATGGGGGGGCAGTATGGGTGTATGGGGGGCAATGTGTGTATGGGGGGGCAGTATGGGTGTATGGGGGGCAGTATGGGGGCAATGTGTGTATGGGGGGGCAGTATGGGGATCAGTGTAGTGTGTGTAGAGTGTGTGTGTGATAAGGGTAGGGGGGCTTTTTAAAAAATATATATATTTTTTTATTTAGTTTAATAAAAATAATCATTATGTCCCCCCTCCCTTCTTACCTTTACTGGGGAGGAGGGGGGACATTTCCCTGGTGGTCCGGTGGGGGATTCCCTGGTGGTCCCAGTGGTGATGAGTTAACTCTAGCCCGCGCTCCCGGGCTAGAGTTCACTCTCGCGAGATTTGGAGCGTTGCCGTGGTAATCGCGGCAACACTCCAAATCTCACGAGAGGAGGACCCGGAGGAGCTGCAGACTGAGCTCCGGGTCCTCTCTCTCACTCCCTCCCTCCCTCCCCCGCCGGCCGCCAGCACGGTGCCTGCGGACCGGGGAGGGAGAGCTCTGATCTCCCCTCCGGTCCGCAGGCACATTGCAGGGCTGGCACCTGCATGTGCTGCTGGCAGGGGAGGGAGACCGGCGGATTTCTCGGGGGGGGGGCAATTGCCCCGTTGCCCCCCCCCCTGGATCCGCCACTGCTGGGACCCATAGTTGTATTTATTATTTATTATCATTTAGCAACTGTTATGCATTTTTACACTCTTTACAAATATTGCTCACTTCCTATTCACTGAGCCACGCCGACTCACTCACAGTACGACCCATGTACCTCTTACAACAGCAGTCTCAGCATGTGTATAACTATATACTTCTTGTGTTTTTGATATGAATACCTCATGTCTATCTGTGGCAAAATATAAAGAATTAAAAAAAGAAAGAAAAAAAAATAGTTAGAACACCAAAAAGTAAATAAAAATAGTAAACTGCTTACAAAGATGTAGATTGTTTTCCAAATCAACGATTTTAGTCTCAGTTTTGCCATTTGGACTTAATTTGCTAACATTTGTATCATAGTGGATAACTCTCTTATTGACTGTCAGTGCTCAGACTGAATTCACTGTCTTCTTCTCATTATACTTTTGATAGAAGCCTTTGGCTCTTGACCAGGAATGCAAAGTGCTTGCAGATCAAGAGGTGAAGCTGGAGAACAGGATTGGGTTTGAGTGAGTTTTTGTTTCATTTTTTATCCCGGTCATATTGAAGAAAGATCGATGTTTATACTTTTACTATAGATAAAAACCTCATCAAAGATTATGAGAATACATACGGTTTATGAACGCTGTACTATGACATACTTTTCAAAAGACTTAAAACAATTACACGTGCATTTATTCTCTGCTTACACTTTGACTATTGTTCTGACAGTGTTTATGTAACATTGAACCATTATCCAGAGCTGGATTGCAGACTGACTGGCACCTTGAATATAAATTAAATTGTGCACATTTCTATTCTTCCATCTCATGAAAATGCCAACCAATCAAAATATGTTATTGATGTTCAGAGAACTGGCTAGAATGAGTTCTAGTTCAGCAACCATTCGCTCCCCAATTATTGAAAGATCCCATTTCAAATTAGTGACCTGTTTCTGTCAATATTGGTCACATACCAAACAATTCAATAAGCAGGGGTACTAACGATGCTGTTTGAGGATCTTAGTTCATAAGTCTTAAATGAAAAATATATAGATCTCTATTTGGAGAATTAAACACTGTGTTATCTAGAAGATCGAAATTATCTGAATAACAGCAATGTTTTTGAAAGTATTGTCTGAGTCACCATAATTTGCAATGCCTGTCAGTCAATGATTTTTGACTCATACATGTTAGAACATCCTTTCTAAATGAGGAATCTGCAATTCCTGTCCAAATACAGCACATTCCTGAACCCTGATAGTCACAAAGAAAGTTACCATGTTATCTAAATGTTATTAAAGATGATGAGCTTGAACATCTAGAATGAAAGTGTCCAGCTCTAGTAATCTCGTGCTATCCTACAGATGTGCCAGAAATGTTTAATGTTTAATAATTTGTAATAAAATTGGTGGGGCATAGTTGTTGCAAATAACTCTATAGCTTGGAATAGAGGTAGGCAACCTTCAACACTTCATAATGCTGGCAAAGTGTCAGGGAAGATGTAGTCCACAACATCTGTAGTGCCGAAGGTTGTCGACCCCGGTCTAAAATGTCCACACTCTGAAAAGGCAAGGAATCTTAATCGCGTAACCATGTAAATTAAAAGTTCAGCAGAAGGCGACTTTATGATTTCCAAATTCAGTAGACTTCACATGTTACAACCAGAAGTTTTAAAAAACGTGTAATAATAATAATATTAATAACTCATACTGAGTTTTTTCGCATTGGACTCAAAGCACTTTAGACAACATACAATCATGTATTTAATGATTCTATTCCTGTAGCGCTTGTGTACACATGTAGATCTTGAGTCTTTCTTTAAAAATGTCCAGGGAGGTGGCTTCTAACACTGTGCTAGGGGGGAGTGTTCCATAGAGATGGGGCGACATGGTTTAAAGCTCATAAATCACATTTTTGTTGAAAGTAGACATTAGTCAAACCGTAAAGTGTGTTTAATACTTTCTTTGTCTGGTGTATTTGTAGCCTACAAATCAAACATGTGAATAAAAATGTTCGTATTGTGTCAAAACCCACGAAAACCATACAAGAAGCGTTACAACCAACTTTGAAGAAATATGAACTTCAGAATTGCCACATTGTTCTTCATAAGGTAGGAATTTAAACCTATTTTGTGATATCATAACTTCAAAAATGTATCCCTGCCTGTCTCTTTTACCTGTGTATTTCAATAAGCTGTGGACTTAATCAATAGCAGTCAACATTGTGACTAAAAATAGATGAAAACATTGGAAGACATCCCAAGAGACATTTTCTGAAAAAAGCCAAACACAGTTTAAAAAACAGTTATTACAAAACCTATAAATTAGCATGCTGCAGGAGATATTTTGCCTATTACCTCATGCCAGAGCCAGATTTACATCCCCAGTGGCCAGAGTGGAAAGAGTCAAGCTTCTGCCCTCTCACGTACTCTTATGGTAATAGTGCCGCCAGTACACCGGCCACCGGTGATATGCCAAACTATTTACAAATGGATTGACTCTTAACAAGCTGTGTCGGCAGTGGTGTATCCTGGTTTTGTGCTGCCCTAGGCAGGACAAAACTCAGGCGCCCCCCAACCCCTCCACGCGCGCGCGACCCCCACCCATCCCTTCCCCCCGCCCTGCCTTCTAAATACACACACACACAAACTCACTGACACACACAGACACTCACTCACTCACTAGCAGACACACACACTAGCAGACACACACACAGTCAGACACACACACAGTCAGACACACACAAACACACTCACTCACTAGCAGACACACTCACTCACTAGCAGACACACACTCACTAGCAGACACACACACTCACTAGCAGACACACACTAGCAGACACACACTAGCAGACACAAACACTCACTGACACACACACTCACAGGCAAACACACTCACACTAACAGTCACACACACACTAACACAGACACACACACACACTAACAGACACACCTACACACACACACACACACACACACTAACAGACACACACACACTAACAGAAACACTCACACACACACACACTAACAGACACACTCACACACACTAACAGACACCCTCACACTCACACATTTATTTTTTTAACCCCCCCTTCCAGCCTCCTTACCTTTGGGAATGCTGGGGGTGGGGGGTTCCCTATTCCCTGGGGTCCAGTGGCTGCTGGGCGCTGGGCGGGCGGCTGGCGAGGGAGCTCTTCCTCTGAGCACTCTGCTCAGCTCCCTCGCGCGTCGCAGAGTGAGGCTGGGAGACGGAATATGACGTCATCTTCTGGCTCCCAGCCTCACTCTGCGGCGCGCGAGGGAGCTGAGCAGACAGCTCAGAGGAAGTGCTCCCTCGCCAGCCGCTCGCACAGCAGCCAGCGCCGCCCAGCCCGACCGGCATGTCTGTTAGCCGCAAGGCTAACAAGGCATTTGCCCTGGGCATTTGGGGGTTGCGTTTTTTGCCGCCCCCTGAAAAATGCCGCCTAAGGCAAATGCCTTGTTTGCCTCGCGGATAAAACGCCCCTGTGTGTCGGGTGTTAATGGTCCTTCTGATCTAAGTGGTTTGATGAAGTGGAAATTCGCATTCATATATTTATGCTGCGATTTCTGGCAAATCTATAGATAAGTCCCTAATTTGTATTAAATTAAGGAGGGAGCTGAGTTTAGTACATAGCTCCCTATTTTGGTATCCATAAATATGGGAAACCCACATAAGGAAATTTGGGAGCTTTATACTAAGCAGCGGAAAGATCAAAATTTACAAAAAAGAAAAGGGCTTCCCTTAATTTTAATCTTTCAGCTGTTTAGTTGTTAACTCCCTAACTAAGATTGGTACACTTATGTGGGATAGCTATATATTGATGTATCAAATTAGGGAGTTGTTTAGCAGATATAACTAAATTTTTTGGTATCTCTAAATATGACAAATCCACAAAAGAATACCAAATTAGGGAGCTGTCTACTAAGCAACTGAAATATCAAATTTAAGAAAAGCCCTTTTCTTCATTTGAACTTTCAGCTGTTTAGTAGATTGTTATAATTTGGTATCCTTATGTGAGATTTACATATGTAAGATACCAAATTAGGGAGCTATAGACTAAATGCAACATCTCCCTAGTTTGGTAGTGGTACCCAAATTGGTACCTATTTTACGCAAAGGAACTAATGAATGAAAATGTTAGTTTTGAGCGTTTTTGGTTTTTTTTGAAAATCTTTTTATTTTGATTTGTTGGAGTTATGACATACAGAAACATAAAGAATCAAACATTGGCACTCGCAGGTCCCAATCAAAATGTTAGCATTGGTAGAGCACATAGAGTGTACACAGTGTCATTGATAGATATCAAGGTACAATGTAAGTGTGTTGGTGTCATGAGACCTACAGGACACATTCCCACTTGACCACCTCTAACCTGGAGACAGCTACACCAATAGTGGAAGTTATCCAATCATGTCACTTCATGGTGTTAGTCAATGTACACTTGATCACTCCCATGCACACCTTTCCCTTCCGTGACCCCCGTCTGTGAAGTATGGCGATACCGGTATGCGTGGTGGGAGTGACAAAATGGCGTAACAATAATAATGCCAGACATATTTTACAAAACATTGGGTACAACAATACATTGACATCATGAATGGGGTCTGGCAAGCCTTAGTTAAAGTGCGTGGTGTGGAGAAAGGACGTGTCTTGGTTTCCTGTTTACGCCTTTTGTCATGATAATGAGCTCTCAGTTGTCGTACCACACAAATGTGTCGAAGCAGGTATACGTAAAGGTTGTGGGGTAGTCTACTGTCAGTTAGCTATGTCAGGGTGTCGTCCATGAGGGTAGTTTTGAGCATTTTGTTCATTAGTTTTCCATTATGCAATTTGGAATTTGGCAAATAGATCAACGAGACGATTTTATTCTGGATTGTGATTCTTCCAATAATGAATGCTAAAGTCTACTAAATATCACTAGTTATAGGAATTTAATCAGGAGCTGAATTCAATTGAAGTTTTGGGCTTCAAATGTTCTGTTTCCCTCTTATAACCATTGGTGGGGCTGATACAGTACTCATTACACTAATAACTAAATGTGACCTTTTCATTAGCTTGTGTAATATTAGCTTACTCATAATAACCTGCTAAATTTAGCTGAAGTAAAAATAGCTTGCTTCTTTCATGTAAACATTTTTAAAATTGCACATGAATTGCACACGAACTGTGGAAGCAACTGTTCTTGAGATTGCACACTGAGTATTTAAACCTCACGTGCTGTATCTGTCGAACACTCTTAATAACATGAGTAACTGCACTCACAGCAGCTATCACAAACACTTCTTGACAAAAGATACAATAAAAAATGTAACTGGCCACATTGCTTACAGAATTATGAATCATTGATGATTCAGAGACGAGCACAGATCATCGGGAGCCTGTGTTATTTTTCATTTATCGTTTCTAATTGATTATTCTCTGATGAAGGTCATTTAATGGCACACCATATAAATATCCGCTTTCCACTAATTTGCTACAAGTGTTAGAATAAATGACATAATCAAAAACGGAATTGCTTTTTCATACTGTGCAATGTTGTAGTGAGCTAGTACTCGTTCGAGATTTATAATCAGGTACGTACTATAATCAAAAATAAAATGTTGTTAGCCAGTAGAATGTAAAGGTTTTAAGAGCATTTTAAAACAAACAAAAAAATGACATCACTGATGTACAACTGATACCGTTTATGGATGCAAGCTTTCAAGACACTAAGAATTTAATGTTTGCAAGACGGTTATTTATGGAAGTGTTGCAGATACTTATAGTCAAGTTTTTGGCACAGTTTATTACATTTGTTGGATTTTTATATCTGTTGCTTTTTTAGCACCCTAACCATCATTCTTTAGTAGTCATGGATTTATGAATTTTCCGCCACTTTTACGGACACAAAGGTGGCAGACGTTTTCCAACCACTGTAAACTTGGCAGTCTTCTGAAATAAGAATTTCTGCAAAACTGGCAGTATTTACTATAAAGAAAACTATCACTTTTGAGATCACTTTAATAAATATGATCTGTCAAGTAACGGTTGAAATCTGTCATTATTTTGAACACTTTGATAAATATTCTCTTTTGAGCAGGGTTAGCAACAGGACAGAACTATCTCATAGAATTCAAGATTGTAAAGTCTAATTACACCAACGATACAGGTGATGTAGGAAGTCCAATGTCAATTCTGTGCAAGAATTACATAAGTCATCAGCACACACTGAGTGCTTGTGACAGACAAAATTAGCTTCTTCCTCTGCAGGCAGCACTACCTAAGGGGGTGCTTATATGTCCCCTCTCTTACTTTCTTATTTTAGCCCTCCCAGCCATTCTCCACATTCCTTCCCTCCCTGTTTCAGCCTACGCATGCTCTCAGAGCACATGAGAATTGTCCAAACAAATGCTTCTCTATTTGAAGCATTTGACTGGATCTTGGAGAGGACATGACGATGCACAGGGATTGAAAATGCTCAAGGAGAATCTCACCCAGTGCTTGATGCAAGGTAAGTTTTATGTTTATTTAATAGGTTTTTCAAAAGTAATAAGGGGAAATGGACCATGTAACAAGTGGCAACAGGGTACAACAAAGTAAAAGAAATAAGCCGATGGAAAAAGGGATGGAGTAACCTTTTAATTTGACAAGGATGTTGGTTTGAGAAAAGGCATTTTTACAACAAGAGTATTTCAGGATTGACTAAATAATTGAGCATACCATAGGGGAGAGAGAGATTAAAGGTATGTGTTAAGGAGAGAATAGAAATAAGGAATATGCACATGGTGTCAAGGATACAGGACATGTCCAAGAGCATAGCAGACCAGTGAGAATAAGGTTAGAATTAGAGTAGAAGACACAAGTTTGAAGGAAAATTTAATGGGGCAGGGGGAAAGTCTTACGTTTTCAAATATTACTAATCACACCTACCTAAGAATCACTGGCTTCAAAAGACAGAAATTTTCCAGCTTATTGATTATTGGTGATATAATGTGCGGTTTGTAAAATAATAAGATTTAGATTATTATTATTATTACTTATAATAACACAACAAAGGATGTAATTTTTGGACACAGGCAAAGTGTAAAAATTCTGGACTTCTATATTTTTAGCTGACATTCCTATTGTTGCCTAAGGCAAAAGAATGCCCTATATATGAATTAATGGGAATGAGATTTTACACCACCGTTAACAATAAGTGGTCTGCCTGCATGACTTACTTACTGCTGATCTCTACTAAGTAACACTGTTGTTGTTTTTTTTTTTTTTTTTTTACTCCTTTGAAGATCCTTATACAACGCTGATTACAGGGATTATTTATCAAACATAAAGCATGACAAGTTGACAAACACAATTCTAAATGTAGGCCAAAAACAGCAAAGTTGAGTATATTGTAAATATATAACAATTCTTCTTTATTTTTTTATTTTTGTTTTGGGGGGTTTTGGAGGGGGGAGGGGGGTCTAATTATTCTATAACTGTTTCAGTGATGCACCTCTTACTAGATACAGTTTGAAGAAACCCTGCTTGTTACTACTTTTCCTTTAAGTGTAGGTTAAATGGCTTTAGGTTAAATGCATCTTTTGATCTTGAAATCTGTAGCAAGTAAAAGATGATCTGATACTGAGATTTTACCAACTTGCTGCAGTGAATGAATCTGACATGTCCCCCACTTTGGAGATGCAAGCATGTAACTGACAATTCCTGTGTTTTCTTGTAAGAGGATAACTCTGATATTTGAAATCATGCATAATTTCTAAGGCCGACTGTAAACAAGGAAGAAAATTGCTAATTGATGGTGTGCTTTTCCATCAATCACTTCCCTCTATTCCCACTCAATCCAATGCAAGGCACAAAATAGCTGAAAAAGCCCTTCTCCCTCTCCACTTTGCTCCAGATCTGATCTTCACCCAGCAAACAAATTAACTTTCTATAGCAGGGCTCAATTCATCCCTAAAGGAGTTGTGCAAAGACCCACAGGACATCAGATTGAGGTGCAAGATGGTTCTAATATGATGGAAATCACTCATGTTCTCTATTTTTGAGAATCCATCTGGATAGTTTGTTGATTTAATGCGTTGATAATGGATATTTATGTAATTTATATAATTAATGCAAGATGGTTCGATGGATATATATGAATTTAGGAATATATATTCTGACAGCAGAGATTTCTGAACTCTTAGAATCACATTAGCAATCACATTGGTCCGGTTCTTAATGTTACAGTGTTTAAATTAAAGTTTTAGTTTAAATGTAAACCACATTCATTTCTGATTCTGATGATCCTGATCATCTAATCTTCTGGAAATCACGTCTGTTTAAAATATTATGTAATGTTTAGTGCTCATTCTTATAGTAACAACCTACAAATGAACTGTATTATTAAAACTGCATGTCATTTGTTTCACATTTAAACAAGGGACTAGAACAGGGGTCCTCAAACCTTTTAAACAGGGGCAGTGGCGTACACACGATCTATGGGGCTCCTGTGCGAAAACCAATCCTTCCCCCCCCCGGCGCTTACACTGTGCGGGCCGGGCCCGCAACACATGGCAGCGGGCAGCGGTATGTACGCCAGTGCATGCAGATACACATACACTTAAAGGAACTCTATAGGCACCCAGATCAATGACGTGGTCTGGGTGCCAGGTCCCTATAGTTTTAACCCTGCAGCTGAAAACATAGCAGTTTCAGAGAGGGTTAATCAAGCCTCTAGTAGCTGTCTCACTGACAGCCGCTAGAGGCGATTCCGCTTTCCTATGGACGGTTTGAATGAACACCCGGCTCTTGCCGTGCATGTGCATTCGGAGCTGAGAGGTGGATCGGGGCGGAGAGATCCCCAGTGCTGGGCTCCCTTGAGCCGCGCACGCATTCAAACCGCCCATAAGAAAGCATAAGTGTTTTTACCCCTTCAGCCCTGCTTGAGGGAGGCCACAAGGGTGGGGGGGACCTAAGGACTATATAGTGCCAGGAAAGCGAGTTTGTGACTCTAAAGTGGTCCTTTAATGACAAACATTCAGATACACATACAGACAAACAGATACCCATACAGATCAAGAGATACACATACAGAACCACACACAGGCACACGCACACACATGCAGACACACACACAGATACATACACACACGCACACTCATAGTGAAAGACCCACATACACTCTCACTAACATACAAGCATACACACACACTCACTAACAGACACACACACTCACGAACAGACACATACACACTAGCTAACAGACACACACATGTACTGACAGGCACACACTCAGTGACAGACATACATATATACTCACTGACAGACAGACACACATACACACTCACTTACAAAACATACACTCTCACTGACAAACACACACTCACTAACAGACACACACTCAATAAGACACACACAGTAACACACTCAGTAACAGACACACACACACAGTAACACACTCACTGACACACAAAAACTAACACTCACTAGCAGACACACTCAATAACAGACACACACTAACTGACACACACAACTAACACCCTCAGTAACAGACACACACACAGTAACACACTCACTGACACACAGACACACTCACTGACACACAAAAACTAACACTCACTAACAGACACACACAACTAACACACTCAGTAACAGACACACACACCGTAACACACTCACAGACACACAGACACAAACAAACTAACACAACTAATGCACTCAGTAACAGACACACACACACACTCACTGACACTCACTAGCAGGCACACACTCAATAACAGACACACACAACTAACACACTCAGTAACAGACACACCCACTGACACACACATACAAACTCACATTTTTTTTTTTTTACATTTTAGTCCCCCAGTAGGGACCTTTGGGAGTGCTGAGGGGATTCCATTTGTCCCTGGGGTCTAGTGGGGCTGCTGGGCGGCCGGTCACTGCAGGCGGCGAGGGAGCACTGATCCTCCTGTTCAGCTCCCTCACACGCCGCTTACTGATGCCGGAGCCAGAGTGACGTCATATTCCGGCTCCGGCATTACTGCGGTGCGCGCGAGGGAGCTGGGCAGAGAGAGCTCAGAGGAGAATGCTCCCTGGCGTGCCCGCCCGCAAAGTGACGCCACTGCCGGCCTCGGGGGGCCCTGAGGTGGCCAGCTCCAGAGAGGCTGGCAAAATGCGGCCATGGCCGCACTGGCGTACATACCCGGTCACAGCCGCGACCCCTGCGACCGTGGTATATATGCCAGGGAACATGGGGCCAGTTCACTGTCCCTCAGACTCTGTTGGGGGCCAGACTATAGTTTGAAAAACATTTGAACTAATTCCTACACATGCTGAAACAGATACATAGACATATACAGACATACTGCAGTTTGCAATGAAACAAATCTTCAAGTCCAATGGAGAGTCATATTCAAATAGATTCCACTACAGTTCATTCTTTAATAAGTCCCAAGTTTATAATTTTGACCGTTTACAGACTTTTAATTAAAGTTTAATTAAAGTTTTCACAAATCACACAAAGGTCAGTTCTGCATTTTCTTAATATCTAAGATGGGGGTTCCACTAGTGTAATTCTTCATAGTCCTAGATCCATTATTATAACTGGACCCAATCCATTATGTAGTGATTAATATATGGTGTAAGTCTTTTGGGTACAATTCCCATCCCCACAAATTGCTATTTCTCAAGTGACACTGTATCAGAGATTGCCACTGCACATGGAACAATATACAGGAAGAAATGAATTGCACTCAAACTGATTTAATAAGTAACATAGCACTGCAGCTCTCACACCTGAAACTTGACTACATTGTGTGCACATTGAGACCCTACTCATACAACAAGGAATCCTTCCCAGACAGTTTTTACCCAGGTATTGGAGCTGCAAAACTCTGACTCACAAAAATGTCTGCATTTCATTGACATCAACACACAGCAGGGAGCTTATTAAAATGTAAAGCAGCACACAGCTTCACTGCCTATGACGCTAGCACTCCTTCATCTTCAATACTAAATAGAAATGTTGTGGGTTCCCAGAAACACCCCATTAACCATAAGGGGACCAGACCACTCACACAAAAGTTGAGTCAATCTGAACACCCATGGGTAACCTGTTGACCCAATTTGGGGACCCCTAAATATAACAAATAGCCACAAGAACAAGATAGCCAAGATAGAATAAGGGAAATAGATTATTCTCTTTATACACAGAACATGTGATATAGCTGCATCTTTTTATTAAACGTCAATTCTTTACATGTTTAATGCATAAACACATAGTGGAAGCAGAGAAAAATGTCCAGTTCGCTTAAATTAACACTCTAAACACCATCACCACTACGGCACATGGTATTGGTTATGGTGCCAGCGGTGTCTTAGCACATCGACTCTTTTCCTGCAGGAGAAGCCGGATGTCTCCCCTAAATTTAGCATGGTCCAAAACAGGTCCAAAATTTAGTTATAAGTCCTAAAACATTTTGACAGATTATTTTGGGAGAGAACCAGAGCACTAGTGACACCATAATCATGACAGTGGACTTTAGTCATTATGGTGGCTGTTATCATCCTTTAATAATTGTCCTATATGTATTTTCTACAGTATAAGCAAATAAAACAGTAGACCTGTGCATTCGTTTTCGTCTGAAAATTCTGTTTTTTTCATATTGGTTTACTAAAACGTAAACAAAAGCCCTACATACAAAATATAAACGAAATGAAAGGGCAAAAGCCGAATGCATTACCTTTTTGTTTCATTCGTTTAAAAGACTCCGTGCTGCAGGGGAATTAACCCCCACAGCACAGAGAAATAACACTGCGCATGCTGGAAAAATAGAAAAAGGAGAGAGCCGGCAGTGCAACAAGCTCCCTCCTTGTATTAATATTAATATTAATTCCTACCTCTTCCCTCCCCCCCCGCATTAAAACCTATGGGGGTCTCTATGACCCCATATTAATAAAAGGGAGGTTAAATTCTCCCACATGCAGGGGCTGCTCGCTGTCATTTAAAACTGGATATAAATCCAGTATGGGGTCTCTGGACTCTGACCCCCATATTAATAAAAGGGAGGTTAAATCCTCCTGCATGCCCCTACTCGCAGCATGCCGCAAGTAGGGGCATGTCACCTAAACAAATTTAAAACTAGTGACTGGGCTGACTATTGCTGCCAAGTCACTAGTGCAATAAGGGGGGACCTGGCTCATGGTGGGGAACCCAAATAACTAAAATGGGGGGACATAGTAGTGGGGAGTGACTAGGGAATTGGGGACCCCGAGTCACTTTATTGTTTGTGGTCCCCACCTGCCGGTCATGGGTGGGGACCGGCGGGGAACATTAGGTCCCCCCATTATTTAATTATTTAGGGTACCCACCCACCACTCATGGGTGGGGACCTGAGGGGAAATTATTTATTTATTTAGGTTCCTCACCCGCTGCTCATGGATGGGGACCAGGGGGGACATTGGGTCCCCCTTTAATTAATTACGGTCCCATAACTGCCGCTCATGGGTGGGGACCTGGGGGGACATTAGGTCCACTCCATTAGTTATTTAATCACTGTCCCTACCCGACAGTCATGGGTGGGGGCCTGGGGGGGGCACTAGGTCCCCACGTTTATATTAATATAAACTGGGACACTAGGTTTTTCATATTGCAACATTGTTATTGTTTTTGAAATAACCATTGGCTACACCTACTCTTACCGTAGATCTCTATCACTTCTATCTAAGATACTGATTTTTATATCCAGTTTTAAATGACAGCGAGCAGCCACCTGCGACTACACGGGGGACCTGGCACAGGTAGGGGCTTGCGGCAGGATTTAACCATTGCCAGGTCCTCCCTTATTGCACTAGTGAATGGTCAGCAATAGCTGCCAGTCACTAGTAGTTTTAAATTTGTTTAGGCACCATGCCCCTACTCGCGACATGTGAGAGTTCAGAGTGACCCCCATAGGTTTAAATGCGGGGGGTGATAGGAATGGTTTATTACAAGGAGGTTGTAGCTCCCTTCTTGCTTTTTTTTTTTTTTTGGGTGAATGCGCAGTACTATTTTCGTCCTAATGGAAGAAAACAGTTTTTTTAAACCAAATTTTGTTCGAAAACAAATGCTTTGTGAACGAAATTCAGGATTGATGAATTAAATTTTTATTTAGTATGAAATCATTCGTACAAAGCAAAAATTTTACTGGTGCACATGTCTATAAAACAATGATATTTAGTTGTATAAGCTAAGAGTGCTTTCATAACCATTCATCTTTTTTCACATGATATACACCCTGTTCCAAATTATTATGCAAATTATATTTTTCTCATTTACCTAAATAATTGATGTAAATAACAGTCAGCATAATTCTCATGTTATCAACTATTAAGAGTACAATTCAAATTTTATTGAACAAATCTTCTAATGATAACAGTATTTTTTTTAAACATAAAAAACTTTCAATGCACTGTTCCAAATTATTACGCACAGTAAGTTTTAAAACACTTTATAGGTTGTAAAGAACTGAAAATAGTCATTTGTTGTGTTTGCAGCATATTTACTGAAATCAAAAGCTATTTCAATCAAACTTATAACAACATTTTAACTTTTTAAACATTTTAACAGGACACGTTACATTTTAACATAGGACCCCTTATTTGATAGCAGCTTCACAAGTCTTGCATCCATTGAACTTGTGAGTTTTTGGACAGTTTCTGCTTGAATTTGTTTGCAACATGTCAGAATAGCCTCCCAGAGCTGCTGTTTGGATGTAAACTGCCTCCTACTCTCATAGATCTTTTGCTTGAGGATGCTCCAAAGATTCTCAATAGGATTGAGGTCAGGGGAGGATGGAGGCCACACCATGACTTTCTCTCCTTTTATCCCCATAGCAGCCATTGATGCAGAGGCATTTTTTGCAGCATGAGATGGTGCATTGTCATGCATGAAGATGATTTTATTACGGAAATCATAGTTCTTCCTTCTGTACCAGGGAAGAAAGTGGTCAGTCAGAAACTCCACATACTTTGCAGAGGTCATCTTTACACCTTTCGGGGACCCTAAAACATGATTCCGGCCCAAAATATGACTCCAGCACCGCCTTGCTGACGTTGCAACCATCCACTACTCCATCCATCTGTACCATCCAGGGTTGCATGGCACTCATCAGTGAACCGGACTGTTTGAAAATTAGTCTTCATGTATTTTTCTGCCCAATGCAGCCGTTTCTGCTTGTGAGCATTAGTTAGTGGTGGCCGAATAGAATGTTTATGCACAGTTGCAAGACTCTGGAGGACTCTACACCTTGATGTCCGTGGGACTCCAGAGTCACCAGCAGCTTCAAATATCTGTTTGCTGCTATGTAATGGTATTTTAGCAGCTGCTCTCTTGATCCGATGTATGGATCTGGCAGAAATCTTCCTCAATGTGCCTTTATCTGCACGAACCCGTCTGTGCTCCGAATCAGCCACAAATCTCTTAATAGTGCAATGATCATGCTTAAGTTTTCGTGAAATATCTAATGTTTTCATACCTCATCCAAGGCATTGAACTATTTCACTCTTTTCGGCAGCAGAGAGATCCTTTTTCCATCCCATATTGCATGAAAATGGTGCTCTGCTTAATAATGTGGAACACCTTCCTTTAGTAGTTTTTCCTTAAATTGGGCTCACCTGGCAATCTATTTATCACAGGTGTCCGAGATTGTTTTCAGTGATCAAAAGAGCCCTGAGACACAATGCCATCCATGAGTTAAACTGAAAAACAAAATATTTAATCTTTGTGACACTTAAATAGAATTTGCATAATAGTTTGGAACAGGGTGTAATATAGATTTTACCAAAGGATGTACAATGATGAAGGAAAGAAACAGAGTTGCACGCAGGTCAGAATTTAATTATATAATTGTCTGAGCATCCACTGTTCCATTCTGTGGCTCTGCATCGCAGCAATTCATCACAAGTTGATATGTTAGGTAGAACAGTCAGTGACGTCTCCAGGATTCATACTTGGGGAGGCACATAAGGGGCCAGGGACAAAAATAGGGGGCACCTGGCATTTGTCAGCCCTTTGCTAAGCCACGCAGGAAACGTTAAAGCCGGCCGTCGCGGGAAGCATGGAGGCGGCACGCGAGGAAGCAGTAACCTTCCTGCTGTTCCTCTCTGCTCCCTTTTACGCTGTTTAGTGACATGACGTCACTCCAGCCCCAGCATTACTCTCAGTCAGAGATTGGGGCGGAGCTTGCGTATGGGAAGGCGATCTTCCAATCAGGGGCAGAGCTTGTGTGCCAGGGAAGCTGCTGCACAGTGGCAGAACTAATGTAGAATGGGCGCTGGTGCAAAAACTGTGAGTTAAAGAGGCAAGCTTATGGTGCAACATTCTGCAAAACATTTATTTTTCTAATGAAGAAACAATAAAAATTTGAGCATACAAAAAATACAGAATATTAATGAGGCCAAAATAAAAATGCATTACAGTTGTATTGTGCACGGGGGTGTCCCTTTAACATAAGTTAGTCGTAATTTTCAAAGTCTTATTCATGATATAATTGACAGTTCCTCTTCATGTTTTGTTGTTAGAATAACTTTGTTGTAGAAGGAAACTTTGCTAAAACATTTATTGTGTTACAGCAGCTGTAAATATACCAGACCCTACCCCATGCATGACAGAATTCCAAGTATTTTAGAATTAACGTTATTGAATTTATGCTGCATTGCAGCTGTATGCAATTAGAAAACTGAGTCATTTATGAAAAATGTTTGATACATTACATTTAATAAGATAGAAAAATAGACAGACTAAGTGTGCTATCAAATGCTTTGATACTTCTTCAAATAATATTTGGTTGCTACATATCAAAAAAAATCAAAGACACATAAACTGCTTTAACAATAATTAGAATTCTCAGAGTTTGTTATTTTTACTGATCTGTTATATTGGCCCAAGTTTTAGAAATTTCTTTTCAATTCTTTACAGTTCATGGCTTTGTAAATAACCCATGAGTATGTTCAAGTAGGTTAACCAATTCTTCTGTTTGAATAGGCTGGAGACTCACATTGTGTAGAACAAGGGTCCTCGGTTTTAACGGTATCTGGACAAAAACTAATTTTGGAAGTCACTGGTAAGTAGAACCTTATCAATTAAGTACATTACACTTACAAAAAGCAAAATAGATATATGAAAAAAAGAAAAACCAGATAAATAAAAATGTAAACTTTATAGTACATGTGCTTTCATCTCTACATTTTGCTTCCTAAATATCTAGCAATGCGTAGATGATATTTTTTTTCTGAGAAAAGTGTTTAGCCTTTACCATTACGCTGTTCGAATAGAAATAAAATTCTAGTGCTCTAGCCACTCCAAAATAAAATGCACACTGAGTGGGTTATATTGGAGAAGGCTGAAAAAAGTTTTATGACTTAATCTATATATTGCAATAAGAAAAATTCACAGGCACTCCAAATGTGAAAGCCGGAGGCAGATTTATTGCAACAAAATAGCAATGTTTCGACCTAACAGGAGGTCTTTGTCAAGCTTGGCAAAAAATACAGAATATTTGACAAAGACCTCCTGTTAGGTCGAAACATTGCTGTTCATTTTGTTGCAATAAATCTGCCTGCGGCTTTCACATTTGGAGTGCCTGTGAATTTTTCTTATTGCCTTGTCGTATTGGGATTGCTGGTCCTGTTCCAGAGCACCTGTGGCCGTTGGGAGTGAGTGCGGTTCCTGCAACCAACTTTTGCTTAATCTATATATTTGCCGATCGTTTCACTGGCTAAATGTATTAATTATATATTTATACTAATATGAATCTGACTGTAATATTCACAATATTCAGAAACAAACCATTTCTATTTAAAAATCTAAATTAAATTTACTTATCGTAACTCTTAGCTTATTGGTTTAGATAACACGTTGCAAAAGTGCTACCAGATAGAGAGACCTTGTCCATTATTAAAGTGTTGGATACGATTTATTGTAAAGTATTCTAGCCACATTTAATAACAAACATTTCACTTTTACCATTCAGATAAAAAGGATTCCAAGAACAGATCAGCAAGTTTGTCCGACTATCACTCCAAGGTAATCTTATTTAACAGTACTCCAACTCCAGATACATGCAAGTATCAGATAGGTGCCTTAATTGCAAAAGACTCAGATAAAATAATCCCTAGTCAGGTGTTGACGAGATACAATAGCACAGCAGTCTGTGTAACTGGTGAAAGGTACAGAGCTTAATGTATCTCCACGTGCTTGCAGAGCTGGATTAAATATTTATATTGAAGCTGTCCAGAACTTTTAATTGTGGCGATTAAATAATGACCATGCATTATCAATATTTTAATTATATTTGGTGTGGGACAAATAGAAGGTCATGTATGCCGGTCACAGGTCTGGTTGGGAAGGGCTGCTGACCAGAGCACCAAGAATGCAAGGAAATCTGAATACACATAATTCAAGGCAAAAAGAATGGTATAGAATTAAATACAAGCACAGATAACTCAATGTAAGAGAAAGAAGCCCTCTGGATACAGGCAGTCCTCTGGATACAGGGAGCAATGAAACCAGGATGGCAGCTAGCTCAGGAACTCAGCGAAGGCAGCTAGCCCGGTAACTCAGGAAAGCAACTAGTTCAGGAAATTAGGGAATGCAGCTTGTGAAGAAATCCCTATTTATTCCCCTTAGTTCACCTTTATTCATTCGGTAGATCTAACTACTGAACAAAGACCACCCTCCTGGCTCATTCAGCTTCAAAGGATTCGTCAATTAACCTCTCTATCTGTGCGGCCAGCGTTCGTACTACCGAACGCCACATGACTGAGAAAACCGCGGCTATCTTTTTTCAGCCGAACAAAGGCAGCGGGACTTGGTCGTCGAATGTCTGGAACTAAAAATCGGATACTCGCCTACCTGAACACCGGTCTCCAACAGACGAACGCTGGAACTATATTTCCCGAATAGCTAGAAGAGCGCTATTCAGTACTTTTGTGCAGAGGGGAACAATCGCTGCTGAGAGCCAGGGGGATCCATTCGGTACTTTATTCGTTTTTTTCCCCTTTACTGAAGTGACCGGCAAAACCACCCAAACTCATGGAACTATTTTGGGCAGCCAGCCCACGGTTAGCCGGTCACAGAAGACTTCCACATTTTTTGAGAACCCCTGAACCGATCTGGGTGAAATTTGAATATGTTCGTCACCCAGATCGGGGCTATCAGGGGACATATTATTTGTGGGGATACCTCATGTATAAAGGGGTGTTCCAGATATTGGGGAAAATTGTGATTTTTCATCCTGGCGATAATCAAGATATTACTTTATCAGACTTGATTATCTCCAGGACTAGGGGAGGGAATTGTATGTGTGTACTGGGTGTGTTTTATTTTTTTATTGTAACGGATTGGTTAAACTCTGTCCCTCCCTGTGGGATGTCCCCTTGCATGGGGACTTGCATAAAAGCCTGTGTGTGATCATTAAAGCTCAGTTCAGTTGTACCCTTCTTCTTGACTTCGGCTGATGTTTGGGGATTCGTGTGCTTTATTAAGGGAATTATCTTATGAAGCTATTTGGATTACTATACAGCTCGTCTATTTCATCTACCGAACGGAGAGCTATATTCACTGATGCTCTGGCGATTCGGGAGGAAACTACCGAATGAGGATTACATATACCAGGTTTCCTTACACAGGAATTTAGGAAGGCAGCAAGCTCAGGAACGTAGGAAGGCAGCTAGCTCAGTAACTCAGGGAAGGCAGCTAGCTCAGAACCCAGAAAGGCAGCATGCTCGGGAACTCAAGAGGGCAGCTAGCTCAGGAACTTAGGAAGGCAGCTAGTCTGGGAACTCAGGTAAGGCAGCAAGCACAGGAACTCAGTAATATGCACACACATAAAAAAATAATGGTTTTGTTATTTACAAGGAACACAATAGAGTAAAATACAAGCACAGATAACTCAGTATGTAAGTGAAGGAAGTGCTCTGGATAAAGGTAGGACTCTGGATACAGGGAGTAAGGAGGCCTCTGGATATAGGGAGCAATGAACCCTGGAAGGCAACTAGCTTAGGAACCTCAGCAAGGCAGCTAGCTCATAACCCAGGCAGGTAACTAGCTTAGGAATTCAGGGAAGGCAGCTAGCCTGGGAACTCAGGAAGGCAGGTTGTTTAGGAACTCAGGAAAGGCAGCTAGCCCATGAACTCGGGGAAGGTAGCTAGCCCAGGATCTCAGGAAGGCAGCTAGCTCAGAACCAAGGAAGGCAGCTAGCGCAGGAACTCAGGGAAGGCAGCTAGCGCAGGAACTCAGGGAAGGCAGCTAGCCCATGAACTCGGGGAAGGTAGCTAGCCCAGGATCTCAGGAAGGCAGCTAGCTCAGAACCAAGGAAGGCAGCTAGCGCAGGAACTCAGGAAGGCAGCTAGCCCAGGAACTCAGGAAGGTAGCTAGCCCAGGAACTCAGGAAGGTAGCTAGCCCAGGAACTCAGGAAGGCAGCTAGCCCAGGAACTCAGGAAGGCAGCTAGCCCAGGAACTCAGGAAGGCAGCATGCTCTGGGACACAGACTGTTACATAAGACAAAACCACCAGACTAACAACAACAACATTAATGAAGTGGCCAACAAGAAGGAGGTAGGTAACTAGCTTAGGAATCAGGAAGGCAGCTAGCCTGGAACTCAGGAAGGTAGCTAGCCCAGGAACTCAGGAAGGTAGCTAGCCCAGGAACTCAGGAAGGCAGCTAGCCCAGGAACTCAGGAAGGCAGCTAGCCCAGGAACTCAGGAAGGCAGCATGCTCTGGGACACAGACTGTTACATAAGACAAAACCACCAGACTAACAACAACAACATTAATGAAGTGGCCAACAAGAAGGAGTAAGACTACTCTGGGAAATCAGGGAAGTCAGGTAGTATAGGAACTCAGGGAAAACAGCTAGCCCAGTAACTCAGGGAAGGCAGGTAGTATAAGAACCCAGGAAGGCATCTAGCCTTGGAGCTCAGGAAGGCAGGTAGTATAGGAACTCACGGAAGGCAGCTAGCCCAGGAACTCAGGGAAGCAGCATGCTCTGGGACACAGACTGTTACATAAGACAAAACCACCAGACTAACAACAACAACATTAATGAAGTGGCCAACAAGAAGGAGTAAGACACAAATAAATAGGGATGAGATCATTGCAAAGTAAGGCCAGCTGGGAACCAAAAAAGATCTCAGTCCGGGTTCAGCAGCCTGCAACAGCACCACAGACACATAGTGGCACTGTGAGTTACTGCACCAGACAGAGTAAACAGAATTATGACAGTATATATTTGTCATTTGTTGTTTTTTTATTTGTATCCTGATACTTTGGGCTACTTTTGGGTAAGTGGAAACTCTGACTTTACCTATACTATACTAGTGTTTGTGTTGGGTTCCACCCCCATAGTGCCCTGTATCATTTTTTATATACCTTTTACAATAAATTACTACTTTTTTACCTCATACTGAAGTCCCATCTACTTGCAACAATCGGATCATTAGCCACTACTTGGCACCCGTGAGCCTGATATACAGAGCCTGGTATGGCTCTGGAGAATGTGAGTGGGAGTTCCACATTGTATTTTATATCTTATATTATTATACAGGTCACACTATGTTGTTTTGTATTCTCTTCTTTTTATCCTAGTTAATTATCCTCATCAAGCTCAATTATTGCTAATATTTTTCCATTATTAGAGTTACACTGGGGAGGTGTATGCACTTGTAAATATTCTCTCTGCTTTCCTTTAGAATTATGACAGTACCTTTATTTCCCGTGTTATGAATAATGTGACACATTCTTATACTATATTACCCATCCAATATTATATAGTATGGTAACATCAGATGGGATGTTCAATAAAAATATCAGAATTCAAATACAATTCTTTATTATTTTTTTTTGTTTATTAACACATTATTTGAGATGTGTTGAAGATAGATTTCTATGAATTAATGTACCATAAAGTATAAACCAAGTTGCTATCCACCTGTGACATACATAGAGTAGACAGAGTCTAGGTACTGACATGTTACCCTGACACATGTTTTTTAATGTTATTAACTAGATATCGGGTGAGTGTTTCAAGACCCTAGTACTTTAAAAAAGGATTTTCACTCTTTAATCAAGGTTTTCCATTCTGGACAGAGCAATATAGCAAGCTAACCATTTAATTTGAATTTCATGTGTCTCATTGTATTCTTACAAACATGTTTTACATGGAGTCATGTTAAGGGGAACTTGGTGGGCTGTGAGAACTCCCTTCCCCTCATTCACTGGTTATAGCATGGCGGAACAGGATCACAGCAGAAGCTATGCATGCTTTGCCCAAAGCTCTCTTTGAAATTCTGAGTGGAGCTGTGCAGTGTAAGTCGGGAAACAGGAACACTGACTTAAAGGATCACTATAGTGTCAGGAAAACAAACCCTCAGGGTCCCCCTCCCACTGGGCTGAAGGGGTTAAAACACCTTCAGCCACTTACCTTTATCCAGCGCCGGGCTCCCTCGGCCCTGGTGACTTCTCCTCCCCTGCCGACATCAGCTCCCAAGTGGAGCGGAATGCACATGCGCAGCAAGAGCCATGCGCATATTCAAATAGTCCATAGCAAAGCATTTCTCAATGCTTTCCTATGGACGTTCTGCACGTTGGATGCGATTTTCGCATCCAGCGTTGCAAAAGCGCCTCTAGCGGCTGTCAGGTAGACAGCCAATAGAGGCTGGATTAACCTTGCAATGTAAACATAGCAGTTTCTCTGAAACTGCTATGTTTACATCTGAAGGGTTAAAACCTGGGGGACCTGGCACCCAGACCACTTCATTGAGCTGAAGTGGTCCGGGCGACTATAGTGTCCCTTTAACATCATAGCTCACCTCCTCTATGTACCCACATTACACACAGCAGAAAGCCTCTAATAGACTCCAGTAGAGTATTGACTGTCTCTGCCATGGTCCTGCTTGTACACACTATCATCTGGGCAGATGGAGTTGAGGTATGACAAAGGAGGGAATGGAGAGACAGAAAATGGGGTAGAATGTGGGTATAGAGACATACAAGAGTAAGGGTAGTGAGCAATCAAACAGAGATATGGAAGTGAAAATAAACACAGAGGCTGGAGACTAAAAACAACCAAAAGGGTGTAAGGGGAGAGAAGGAGAAAATATTGTAGGGGGAATTATGAATAGAACAATAATGAATATATAATTGAGGTTATGGGGAGAGTGGCACTTGTATGACTTACACATGTTGGAATAGATGGATAGATGTAGACACAGATAGAAGAGAGGCACAAGACATAAATAGGGAAAGATGAAGACGGTGACACAAATAGAGAAGAGATGAAGAGGATGAAGAGAACATGGTAAATCAAGAAGGAAGACACTAGTAGGATACTGAGGGGAGAGATACAAGTTTGGAGTATAACAAAGAGATGGAGACTCAGGTAGTGGGCATAGATGGGAGGGAAATATAAGTGGGGAGAACTGTGAGTGTTAAAAAAAATGGGAGGGAGGCTCAAGTGAGGGAAAAAGGAAAGAAACACAAGTGTGGAACAGAATGGGGATATACAGTACAAGTGGAGAACATGAAAAAGAAAAGAGTGAGGGGAATTTGGAGACCATGAACAACACAAATGCATTCAGCGTCACCCAAGTTTGCAATAAACAAATTAACACCTACGTTCATCCAGTACACGCACAAATATAAATTGGGAAACACATTCTGTTATCTAAAAAGTTAAGTGTGTTGGAAGGACCACAGCAAATCGGTTTAAGTGACACTTCCTCATCATGTTGTTTTAGTCAAAGTACACTTGAGTTTTCAACTTCTAAATTCAACTTGCCTAAACCTTTCACAGAAAGATTCCCAAAAGGAGAAACTTGAAGATATGAACAAACATTCTCACAACAACAACAACCAAGGAGCTCAGAAAGAGGCTGATCACACGAGTCACATACCGGATAACAGACACAACGACACTGCAAAAGTGAAATACAAATCTCATCGACAAACCTATGACTTTGAAGGTATGCTACTTACACATCACAGTATATAAGCTACAAATTGTGGAGTAATACACTGCTCAAAAAAATAAAGGGAACACTTAAACTGTCAGGGCTTACCTGGGTTGGGAGTCCGGCAGGCAGAGTAGACACAGGCCGAGGTGGTCAGGTAAGAATTCACCTGGCCTGTGTGTAGGTGCACGGGGGCTGTGCAGGATAATTATCCAAGTCGCAGTACAGGAACGGATAAAGCAGGAGAATCGTCGTGGGTAAGCCAGAGGTCAGAGGGTGCCAGAAATCAGGATTAACAAGAAGAAAGCCAAGGTCAGAGGATGCCAGAAGTCAGGATATTTGGAGTAACAAGCCAAGGTCAAGAGTAAACTGGAGAACGCAAAACAGCAGAATGATCACCAGAGTCAAGGAACTGACACTGCCTTCTGGAAGAGGCAGTGTTTTATACCTGGCTAATGAGGCCATCAGCTGCAGGTGTGCTGAGAATGTTGGAGCAGCCACAGAATAACGTCCAGCACCCAGTGGGTTGTAGACTCCGTCTCATGCTACCACTAGAGTGAAAGCACCGCCAGCATTCAAAAGTGACCAAAACATCAGCCAGGAAGCATAGGAACTAAGAAGTGGTCTGTGGTCACCACCTGCAGAACCACTCCTTTATTGGGGGTGTCTTGCTAATTGCCTATCATTTCCATAGGTTGTCTATCCCATTTGCACAACAGCATGTGAAATTGATTGTCACTCAGTGTTGCTTCCTAAGTGGACAGTTTGATTTCACTCCAAGTGATTGACTTTGAGTTACATTGTGTTGTTTAAGTGTTCCCTTTATTTTTTTGAGCAGTGTATATAATTTAAATGCATACATAATATAAGTAGTTTAGATAAAACTATTTCAGAACTCGTTAATCTGAGAATATAGCATTGATATACCAGGCAGATATCTGGGCCTTATCTTAAAATAAAGGATAATAAAGTTAACAGAATATGGTATTACGATATATATCTGGTTGGGAAGTAACTATGATTAAAAGAAATATGGTATGCCAATGCCTGAATATCCTATATAATATATCTTGCATTAGCAGTGTCTTATGTTAAGGATGCAAAAACTATCAGAGAGCAAAATAATTAACAGTAGCACATTCCACACCTGTATGAGGCTCTTGAAATGAAAACGCGTTGGCAAGTTAGAATGAGTGCAGATAAGTTCAAGTCTTCTTTATACTGTCATTGTTATTCGCTACAACAGTAACTTTAGAGCAATTGCCTTGGCCAAATTATGTGCAATTCATGGTTTAGTGAATAAGACCATGTATCCTGGACTGTACAAGTGTACACAATCCCTACACTTCATATTATCAACCCATTACAAATGCATCTTATGAAATAAAGGTTACAGATTCTTACTGTTTTCTGTTAGAACCAATTTTTCTCTTAATATTCCGTTACTACTTAGTTTTTACTGCTTTGCACTGGATATTATTTATAGACTTCTTCTTCTATATATATATTGACTATTTTTATTGCAATATGTTTAAATCTAACAGGATTGGTTGAGATGCTTAATAAAGTTCAGCATTCACGAACAGAAAATCAACGTGGCCTTTTGACTAAAGAAGACCTAGAGTTACCAGAATTCCTGAAGCTTCCTTCAGAAGTCCAATGTGATAACTGTCATATAGCCAGTCTCGATGGTTCTATAGAAGTTCCAAAGATGCCACCACCCACCCAAGATGCTTCACTGGATTCTGAAATTGAACATAGGAGTTCTACTGAAATTAAACCATCATCAATAATAAATGAATGTTCTACAGGTATAAACAACCACGTCACTGTAAAAGATTCTGCATCTCTGACTGATGAGACCCAGGAAAACAAAGAAATGATTCACACAGACACAATTTCAGATTCAGACTTCTTGAATCATACTTCACCTAACAATGACCAAATATGTACCGAGGATCTAGATTCCGCATTGTAAGATGGGCAGTGTTTATATTTATGGGACAGATTCACTTGAATGCAGCAGAATCCTGTATATAAATGTGTATAATAATAAAATAATATTGATTTATTTTAGATTACCAGATTGGATAAGGCTAATCAAACCGTACTTCTTGTGTACAAAAGCCTGTCCCATCCTTACATTGCCCGTCACATTGAGGAGCAGTTACATTTGAATATTATGAAAAGGGGAACTTGTTACAATATGGCAGCTATATCCAGTTTTATTGATAGCCATTGGTGTGGTAGAATGGACTTTTTGGATTCACTTGGTAATTGGTACCTTAGTTGACGACAGGATGGCAATTTACGTCCCTTACAGCAAGTTCTACCCTTATTGTTCATTAATGTGAAAGCCTAATTTTAATGCTTTTTTAAAATGTTCTTTTTGTGAAAAAAGAGGGACCATTTGGGCAGACTAGATGGGCCGAATGGTTCTTATCTGCCGTCACATTCTATGTTTCTATGTTCATTTGCCTTCCTGCCCCCCTTGCCAGCTTTCCATTGTCTTCTAACAATGTGAAATTTGTATCTTCTATGGAAAATGATTTCTTCTAAAGAATTGGAGTTTGACTATTATACTGTATCTGAAATTATCTTTTAATATTATATAAATACCAAAATACCTACTGCTGGAGGATTTAACGCATATTCGAAGAGGTGTGTAAATATATATATGTAGCAATGCACTGTAAATAAAAAATTAGGCACCTGAAGCATTAAACCGGTATTGTGCACTCTGACAAAAAAATGTCTCTAAAGACAACATATGTTTGGGTTATCTTTCTAATAGTATTTACGACATAACTCAACATCTGTATTCATGGATATGATATAACAATATATATATGTTGTTTAAAATGCAGTATATAAATATACTGAATACATATAGGCATGCTATTTTTTTCTCGTTATTTTTCATACTAATTTGGACGCATTGGTGTTATACTGTCACAAGTGCTCTTGGTGAAATTACGAATGCAACTAACAATGTCTTCAATTTAATAAGCTTACCAATGGATTCAATATTTTTAGAAAAACTTTTCAAATTATTTATTTATAAAATATTTTACCAGGAAAGATACATTGAGATTTCTCTCGTTTTCAAGTCTGATCTATATACAGAAGTCACTAAAGTCTACGGGGATGTTTGTAGATAAATAATTTTGAAAGTTTGTCTAACAGTATTGAATCATTTGGAAAGCTTAAAAAATCAAGGCCAATATATGAAATAATCTTTTGTAAAATACAGTGATTTCTAAATGAGACCTTTCTGATTTTTGAAAGTGTACGTCTACAAGAGAGAATTGTCGGGAATTCAAAGTGAATTCCAAATTTAAGGCTAAAGTTGCCCAAATAAAAGCACAGCTAGCTTGGAGAAATTTCCAGTTTGGCTATTTTGGCATTAAAATAAATGTTTAATCCCCAATAATTCTCACTTTAATGAATAACCCTGCGAGTGACATAAGGCCTATTGAATGTAACTACAGAATCTAGCTCTAAACTGTGGAGTTCGTTCACTAAACCATTAATCGAGAACAGCTAGTACTGTTAACTGGAATAAACCTTGATGTAGGTATTTGAGCCAAGAGCATTTGAATGTAACGGAGAATAGAGACACTTGGATATATAGGTACATAATGTACATCCGCAAAGCAAGTGAATAGGTAATAGGCAAATCATTTGTTTTTTTGTTTTTTGTTTTTAAATAAATTTCAGGGGATCCTATTTTTATTTGCTACTCTTGATATCCTATTATATCTGCAAAATCATCTTGCTGAAATTATGTGAATTATAGGGTTGCTATTCAAGAACAAAGGGAGCATCAAGTTCTATGATTTCTTATGTAATTATGAAATGTTTTCCATCATACTGTTATAGCGCATGATTCTAGTGGGAATAAATAAATAAAGAGCATTAGAGGCACTGGTAGTCTCAAAATATGCAGAGCCTGAGCCCAAATAAAAATCACTAACTTTTATCAAGTCCTGTCCACTCTGAAGGTCCCAGTAGACTGTTAATATCTCTTCTCCTCATCCATGCACGCTTACTCCCAGTTCCCAGTGCTACTACCTTTCCAGCTTTCCACCTCACTAACACCCACTCCTCACCCTAGTATCACAAAAATGTTACTACTTCCACAACCCTGAGTCTCTAGCTATTCCCACTGATGACCTCTCCTATCCAAGCGTTATGCTCTCGTCTTCACAATGCCCCTTCTCAACGTCACTAGTGAATGCAGAGTGTGTGTTTGTGTAGCGGATGCAGTGTGTATAGTGAATTCAGAGTGTGTTTGAGTAGTGGATGTAGTGGATGTAGTGTTTGTGTGTACTACATGCAATGTGTTTAGTGGATGCAGTGTCTGTAGTGTGTGTATTAGACGCAGTGTCTTTGTATAGTGAATGCAGAGTGTTTGAATGTGTAGTCGATGTAGTGTGTGTACTGTGAATACAGGATGTTTGTGTAGTGGATGCTGTGTGTATAGTTAATGCAGAGTGTGTGTCAGTGGAGTGGATTAAGTGTGTGTTAGTGTAAAGAATGCAGAGTGTGTGTCAATGTAGTGATTGCAGAGTGTGTGTCAGTGTAGTGAGTGCAGAGTGTGTGTTAGTGTAATGAATGCAGAGTGTGTGTTAGTGTAGTGGATGCAGAGTGTGTGTTAGTGTAGTGAATGCAGAGTGTGTGTAAGTGTAGTGTGTTTATTAGACGCAGTGTCTCTGTATAGTGAATGCAGAGTGTTTCAATGTGTGGTGGATGTAGCGTATGTACTCTGAATACAGGATGTTTGTGTAGTGGATGCTGTGTGTATAGTTAATGCAGAGTGTGTGTCAGTGGAGTGGATTAAGTGTGTGTTAGTGTAAAGAATGCAGAGTGTGTGTCAATGTAGTTAATGCAGAGTGTGTGTCAGTGGAGTGGATGCAGAGTGTGTGTTAGTGTAATGAATGCAGAGTGTGTGTTAGTGTATTGGATGCAGAATGTGTGTTAGTGTAATGAATGCAGTGTGTGTCAGTGTAGTGGATGCAGAGTCTGTGTCAGTGGAGTGGATGCAGAGTGTGTGTCAGTGGAGTGGATGCAGAGTGTGTGTTAGTGTAATGAATGCAGAGTGTGTGTTAGTGTAGTGGATGCAGAGTGTGTTAGTGTAATGAATGCAGAGTGTGTTGGAGTGTAGTGAATGCAGAGTGTGTGTTGGTGTAATGAATGCAGGTGTGTGTTAGTGCTTGTAGTGAATGCAGAGTGTGTGTGTTGGTGTGAATGCAGGTGTGTGTTAGTGTAGTGATACAGAGTGTGGTGTAGATACAGGGGTGTGTGTTAGTGTAGTGTATGCAGAGTGTGTGTTAGTGTAGTGGATGCAGAGTGTGTGTCAGTGTAGTGGATGCAGAGTGTCTGTTAGTGTAATGAATGGAGAGTGTGTGTCAGTGTGGTGGATGCAGAGTGTGTGTTAGTGTAATGCATGCAGAGTGTGTGTTAGTGGAGTGGGTGCAGAGTGTGTGTTAGTGTAGTAAATGCAGAGTGTGTGTTAGTGTAGTGAATGCAGAGTGTGTGTTAGTGTAAGGAATGCAGAGTGTGTGTTAGTGTAGTGAATGCAGAGTGTGTGTTAGTGTAATGGATGCAGAGTGTGTGTCAGTGTAGTGAATGCAGAGTGTGTGTCAGTGTAATGAATGCAGAGTGTGTGTTAGAGTAATGAATGCAGAGTGTGTGTCAGTGTAGTGGATGCAGAGTGTGTGTCAGTGTAATGGATGCAGAGTGTGTGTCAGTGTAGTGGATGCAGAGTGTGTGTTAGTGTAATGGATGCAGAGTGTGTGTCAGTGTAGTGGATGCAGAGTGTGTGTTAGTGTAGTGGATGCAGAGTGTGTGTTAGTGTAACGAATGCAGAGTGTGTGTTAGTGTAGTGGATGCAGAGTGTGTGTCAGTGTAATGAATGCAGAGTGTGTGTTAGTGTAGTGGATGCAGAGTGTGTGTTAGTGTAATGAATGCAGAGTGTGTGTTAGTGTAGTGGATGCAGAGTTTATGTCAGTGTAGTGGATACAGAGTGTGTGTTAGTGCAATGAATGCAGAGTGTGTGTTAGTGGAGTGGGTGCAGAGTGTGTGTTAGTGTAATGAATGCAGAGTGTGTGTTAGTGTAGTGAATGCAGAGTGTGTGTTAGTGTAGTGGATGCAGAGTGTGTGTTAGTGTAGTGGATGCAGAGTGTGTGTTAGTGTAATGAATGCAGAGTGTGTGTTAGTGTAGTGGATGCAGAGTGTGTGTCAGTGTAATGAATGCAGAGTGTGTGTTAGTGTAGTGGATGCAGAGTGTGTGTTAGTGTAATGAATGCAGAGTGTGTGTTAGTGTAGTGGATGCAGAGTTTATGTCAGTGTAGTGGATACAGAGTGTGTGTTAGTGCAATGAATGCAGAGTGTGTGTTAGTGGAGTGGGTGCAGAGTGTGTGTTAGTGTAATGAATGCAGAGTGTGTGTTAGTGTAGTGAATGCAGAGTGTGTGTGAGTGTAGTGGATGCAGAGTGTGTGTCAGTGTAGTGGATGCAGAGTGTGTGTTAGTGTAGTGGATGCAGAGTGTGTGTTAGTGTAGTGGATGCAGAGTGTGTGTTAGTGTAACGAATGCAGAGTGTGTGTTAGTGTAGTGGATGCAGAGTGTGTGTCAGTGTAATGAATGCAGAGTGTGTGTTAGTGTAGTGGATGCAGAGTGTGTGTTAGTGTAGTGGATGCAGAGTGTGTGTTAGTGTAATGAATGCAGAGTGTGTGTTAGTGTAGTGGATGCAGAGTGTGTGTTAGTGTAGTGGATGCAGAGTGTATGTCAGTGTAGTGGATACAGAGTGTGTGTTAGTGCAATGAATGCAGAGTGTGTGTTAGTGTAGTGGATGCAGAGTGTGTATTAGTGTAATGAATGCATTGTGTGTTAGTGTAGTGAATGCAGCGTGTGTGTGTTTACTAGTGTATGCATGTAATGTAATAAATGTTACTCCCTCCTCCCTGTTTCTTAACTGGTCCAGGGAGGGGGGAGATTCCATCCCTGGTGTTCCGGTGGCATTGTGGGGCCCCCCGGCTCCCTATACTTGCAGAGGGGGCCCAGCAGACTGCAGGAGCACATTACAGCATTTCCCTCTCTCTTACTCCCGCGAGCGTCGGTAACCCGTGGCAATGCTCTGACGACCGCGGGTCTCGCGGGAGTTAGAGAGAGGGAAATGCTCCTGCAGTCTGCTGGGCCCCCTCTGCAAGTATAGGTAGCCTGGGGGCCCGCGGCTGCACATATATATAGCAATCATCGCTATATATATGTGCAGAGAGGGAATGTGGGGCCCAGGACTGCCAAAGCAGTCCGGGCCCCCCAGGACCGCTGGGCCCGTGACAACCGTCATGGTCGTCACCCCCTATTGGTGGCCCTGCATGCTGAAAAGAGGCACTTGTCCATAAAGTTCTGCCTTTTTCACAACTGTTTTTGCTGTTGACCAAAAAGGCAAAAAAAAACAGTTTGAAGCACTTTCCAGTTTTGCAAGAAACAAAGAAAAAATTCAGATCTTGAGAGTCAGATCTCTCATTGAAACAATAAGCTATTATCCCACTAATTAAATTGTTATCCCTGAATATTATGTTTTTTTCAAGTTTTTATACAAATTGCTGTTTAAACATTTGTATAGACTCTGATAAAACCTCTGGTTAAGGCAGAGATTCCACATCCTTCTTGTTCTTACTGTAAAAAACCCTTTCCTTTGCCTTAGACCAGATCTCTTTGCTTCCCGTCTCAATGTGTGACCTTGTGCTCTATGTATAGTAATGTTTATGAATAGATTTGCAGACAATGGTTTGTATTGGCCCGAATATATTTGTACAATGCTATCAAATCCCCTCTGAGGCACCGTTTTTCCAAACTTAACAGATTTAAATTTGTTAACCTTTCTTCATAACAAAAATGCTCCATTACTTTTATAATTTTGGAGCCTGCCACTGCACTTTTTCTAGTGCCATTATATTATTCTTTAAAACAGGTATCTAAAATTGCACAGCATATTCAAGGTGTGTTCATATCA